ATGATGGGTGCATGGGTAAGCTTCTCCTTCAATTTCTCGAATGCAGCTGTGCACTCAGGAGTGAACTGGAATGGTGCATCCTTCTCTAGCAGCTTGGTCAGAGACAGGGAAATCTTCGAGAAATCTTTAATGAAGCGCCGGTAGAAGCCTGCATGACCGAGGAAGCTTCGAATCCCCTACATAGAAATGGGAGGCGGTAGCTGACTGATCGTCTCAATCTTCTCGCGATCCACCTCAATCCCCTGCTTGGAGATCTTGTGCCCGAGCACAATCCCCTCACGGACCATAAAATGGCACTTATCCCAGCTGAGTTCCAGATTTATCTCCTCGCACCTCTTCAGAACGAGTTCCAGGTTATGGAGACAATGAGTGAAGGAGTCTCCATAAACCGAGAAGTCATCCATGAAGACTTCCATGATCTCTCCGACCAGTCGATCGAACATCGCCAACATGCATCTCTGGAAGGTCGCCGGTGCATTACACGTTCCGAATGGAATCCTCCAGTAAGCAAAGGTACCGAAGGGGCAAGTGAATGTGGTCTTCACGTGATCCTTTGGTGCAATAGGAATCTGGAATTAACCAGACATGCCATCCAGGAAGCAATAACACTCATGGCCAGCCAACCTCTCCAGCATCTGATCAATGAAGGGTAGGGGAAAATGGTCTTTCCTGGTGGCATCGTTCAAGCACCGGTAATCGATGCAGACTCTCCAGCCGGTCACGGTCCGCATCGTGATCAGCTCTTTCTTCTCATTCGGGACCACAGTCATCCCGCCTTTCTTCAGGACCACCTGAGTGGGACTGACCCACTTGCTATCAGATATAGCAAAGATGATCCCTGCATCCATGAGCTTCACAATCTCTGCCTGGACCACTGCCTCCAAGTTGGGAGACAGTCCCCGCTGTGGCTGCCTGACTGGCTTAACCTCATCCCCCATCAGAATTCTGTGGGAGCAGAAGGATGGGTTAATGCCTCTTATATTTGTGATCTTCCATGCCATGACCCAGGCATACTTCTGCAGCAGAGCCACCAGTCTGCTCTTCTGCTCGGGTGTCAGATCCGAGCTGATAATGACCGGGAGCTTATTCCCCTCCCGGAGAAATGCATACTCTAGGTGAGAGGGGAGGGACTTAAGCTGCAGCTCTGGCGGCTCCTCCAATGATGTAGAGATCCATGGCGAGATAGGGATCGGCTTGAATGGTATCTATCGCCCCTCAATCGCGGCCTCGTCTAGCTCCGCGAACTGCTCCTCCAGCTGCACATCCTGTGATGCCTGTTCCCCTAACAAAAGACAACGCTCGAGGAAATCGTCAGTACCCGCACTCGTGATGGCGAGTGCGGTCTCAAAATCAGCAACAACATCACAGTACTCTAGATCATCATGGAGCTGGGGGGTGTTTCATATTATTAGAAACAGAGAAGGTGATTTGTTCACCCCCAGCTCGCAAAATCAATTTCCCATCATTCACATCAATGAGCGCCTTGGCGGTGGTGAGAAAAGGTCTACCCAATATTAACGGCACATCCACATCCTCATTTATGTCCAAAATTACAAAATCAACAAGATATGAGAATGGCCCTACTGCGACTATTAAGTCCTCTGATGCCCCTAGGATGCACAATGGATCTATCAGCAAGTTGAATGCTCATCCTAGTATCACTAGGTTCACCTAGGCCTAGCTTTTTAAACACTTTATATGGCATGACATTTATGCTGGCGCCTAAATCTGCCAAGGACTTCCCTATATGCAAACTACCAATCATGCAAGGGATAGTAAAACTCCCTGGGTCTTTTCGCTTCTCTGGTAGTTTGTTCTGCAGGATAGCAGAACACTCCTCATTGAGCATCACCGTTGACAGCTCCCCAAGCTTCCTCTTGTTGGTGAGGAGATCCTTCATGAAATTGGCATACTTGGGCATCTTCGATAATGCCTCCACGAAGGGCATGCTTATGTTTACCTGCTTCAGCATTTCCATGAACTTGGCAAACTCAGTCTCCAGTCGGTCCTTGTGCAACCGAGTAGGAAAGGGAAGCTGCGGTACATACTCCTTCACCACTGGTTGCGGTTTAGGAGAAGGCACCTCAACCTCCTTCTCCATTTCCTCCTCATTAGTTGGAAGTGCTGAAGCAGGGGTCTCTCTCTCTCTCTTGTGCCCGAACAGGTGGATCAACAGTCATTTTGCCACTCCTGGTAGTAATGGCCTTGTAGTGCTCATTTGGTTCCTGTGGATGAGGGATGGTCTGACCGGGTAGAGTACCAGGAGTCCTCTGAGCTACATCCTGGGCCACACTCCCAAGCTGGGTGTGGATGTCCCGCAACATAGGCTTGAGGTTGTCACCATTAGACCAGCTTCTAGCTCCAAGAATTTACCCGAAGCTTTCTCCATGAACTGCTTGATGTTCTTGAACTTGTTTTCACTGGAGGTGGTCAGAGAACCCACCAGATCTCGCAATCCCGCCATCAGGTCACTCTGTGCTGGGGCTGCTGCAGGCTGATGTAATGGCCGCACCTGTGAGTGAGGTGGAACTGGCCCCTGTCTGGGAGGGTAGAGAGGTTGTTGCGGCTGCTGATATTGCCCTTGTCTGGGTTGGTAAGGAGGCCTCTGGAAGCCTGGTGGTCCTTGGGGAACTGGTGGTCTAGAATTTGCCCCAACCCAGGAGAAGTTGGGATGTTGGCGCCACCCCTCGTTGTAAGTGTTGTTGTAGGGTCGAAGCGCCTAGCATTGCCGATGAAGTCCACCTGCTCCTGGGGGGTAGACGACCCCCTCATCGCCTGACAGTCCTCCACGGTGTGAAGGGAGCTCTCACACCAATGGCAGTGCATCGCGTGCTGCTGTCCTGTACCTGCAATCATCCCAGAGCGATCGATGACTGAAACTTGCTTCGATACCACCTGCACCAAATCAGATGACTGAGTGGCTACAATATGCACACCCCACCCAGGTGCTCGTCTCGATCTCCTCGCAGTTCCCCAATCATAACCCTGCTCTGCCATCTCTTCAAAAAGTTGATTCAGTTGTGGCGGTGTTTTGGTGAGCATATTCCCACCACAGACCGAGTCAATCAGCTGCCTGTCCTCCGGGAAGAGGGCATGGTAGAAGGTGCCCACCTTGAAGGCGTTAGTAAAACCATGGTTGGCACACTTGAGGAAGAGACTGGTGTATCTCTCCCAAGCATCCCAAATGGTCTCATCTTCGTCTTGAGGAAAGTGGGTAATTTGCTTCTGCAGGTCCGTCGTCTTGGACGGGGGATGCTAGCGAGTGAGGAACTTGTCCGCCAGGTTGGCGAACGTGGTGATCGATCCAAGGGGCCTGGTGTCTAGCCACTCCTTGGCCTGTCCCTCCAAAGTGAATGGAAAGTACCTCAGCTGGATGGCATCGGCTGGAACCCCATTGATCTAGATCCCATTGATGAGCTCGTGGAATCGCCTCAGGTGTGATCGGGGGCACTCCCCCTCCTTGCCACGGAATACCACCGAACCGCGCATCATGGTGATGACAGAGGTGCTCACCTCAAAGTAATTTGCGGGAACTTGAGGGTGTTGAATGGGCGACCTCATGTCTGTGGCTCTGGCGGTCCAGTAATATCCCATGGTCTGTTCCTCGGGAAAGACCACATCATTGTTCTGTGGGTCACACATCTCTTCTTCGTCGGTGATTTACAGCTGTGCTAGCGCCTCCTCCGCAGCTAGTCGCGCCTTTAGAGCCCGCTTGAAGTTCCTACAGGTCCGTTCAAGCTCCTAGTCTAATGGTAGTAAATCTCCCGACTGGCTACTGGTCATGCACTACCTGCACACAATCAGCAAAAGCAATCCGTGAAGGCACACAGGTGGAAGAGAGAAAATGCAGTAAAGAAAAAGCTATAGTAACAAACTTTCACGTTTCTCCAATAACCTAGAGGGTCCCCGGAAATGGCGCCAAAAACTTGACACGCTAAAACACAACACCAAACTGCGACCAAGTGGAATCGCAGTCTGGAAATGCAGTAACAGGCAAGATCTAATTGTCAACTCGGGGTCTAGATCACAGTTGTAATTACTTTTGGTTGCTTTACTGCCGATTATACTGCGGAAGATCCGACAGTAGCTTGGAATCTCTTAAGCTGACAAAGCCCTCTCAGTCAAACTACCCGGTAGACGACTAGTCTTCACCGTGATAGAACGCTGAGGCAATGAACACAGAACTCCACTACTGGAATTAGATTCCAGTACAAAGCAGTGAATCGACTAACTCTCGTATAATCGATTCACTACTACTGATTGAAGAAGCTCTAACAACCTAATCAGATTCTATCTATCTTAGGTTGCAGTAGAAATCAATAAAAGATTATCAAATTTCAATTGACTCAACCAAAACACTTCAATCGATTATAATCAAGCAATATTACAATCCAAACGTAATTACAATCAAGATTCCTAACACATAGAACTAGGGTTCTTCATACCCAAGTGAGAGAAAGTTCTACTCCATAGAGAGAGAGAGGAAAACAGAAATCAGAGTAGTCATACTCATAAAGATGATGAAAATCTGCTCTGGGATGTCAATCTTCACTCCTAGGGATGCAATATGGGCTTCAATGGTGAGAAATCCACTCCAAATAGCTCCTAAGGTTTGTTCTTTGCACTTTCTCTCTCTAAAACTATGTTTTTGCACCAAAAAGTCGATTCCTTCTCCTTTGGCTCGAATCTGCCTAAAAAACCCGATTCTGGGCGAATTACGGGCTGAATTACGGTCGTAATCATGGTCTGCCCGTAAATCGCACAAAATGCGCGTTTCACTTCACTCAGAAGAAAGGAATTACGGTCGTAATTACCCAATTACTACCGGTGTTTTAGGAATTACGACCGTAGTTACTTTGACTCTTGCCCGTAATTTTCTCTGCGACAGGAATTCTCCAGAATTTGGCTCGGCATTGCAATTACGGGCATGACAGTAGCAATTACGACCGTAAATGGGCAGGGGCTGCCCGTAATTTGCATCTTAAATGACCCGAAACTTGCGCCTATGCACCTCTTTACTTGCTAGGACCTGAAATACGACAAAACAACACAACCTAGCGTAAAATAGGCCAAGGAACAACAAATTCGAGCTAAAATGGTAAGGAAACAAGAGTGAAAACATGTGCAAAAACGACGCCATCAAATTCCCCCACACTTAACCGTTTGCTTGTCCCCAAGCAAACCAAGTTAGATACAAGGTAAGCTCAGAACATCTCAATCATGCAACCGTTGGGGACATATCACATAGGCACGAAACACGGGAATCATACTCGCTTTCAAACATCAACACATGAACAACTTTAACCGCAACCTGGACAACCACCACAGAGGACATTCGAGTGCAGCAAAATCGAGGACGAGGAAGAGATCTAGTTTCAGAGGAGCTCGACGAGGCCAAGGAGGATGAGTGCTAAGGTGACATGGAGGAGGAGGAAGATGAACCAGACGAAGAAGAGAAAATACTAAGGTTCATCGACATTGATCCTTAACCTGAGGTCGAAGGACCCCCATCAAAAGGTGAAGATGAAAGATCGAAGAATGCCAGCTGAGGCCGAAGAAAGTCCAAGTCCGCACGTGTAGAAGAATCCTAAACATGATAGTATGATAGATGCTCCAAAAATACCACATGACATGATATGCAGATCCGCCGATTGAACACATCGTAACAGACATAGCCTTTGTGTTTACCACTATAACCCACAAAGATGCATCAAACTGCTTTGGGTACGAGCTCATGCCGCTCCCGTCGGGGAAGGAGGACTTAGCAAACACAGCCAAATACTCAGAGTTAAGCATAATCTGGTGTGCGAGAATGTAACGGCTCATACGGACTACGATGAGAGAAAACCGGAGTGGGTTGGCGATTTATCAAATACACAATCGTATGAACTGGCTCGACCCAGAAACCAGAGGGAATACTGGACTGAAAAGGAATGGCTCTAGTCAACTACAGAACATGCCGATGTTTGCGTGTCACTAGACCATTTTGTTGCGAGACACCTGGACAAGACTATTGTGGAAGTATACCATGGGCTTTAAAGACCTCCTGTAGTAGCCCATAAAAAAATTCCCCGACTGGATCAGAGCGAATGACCTTGATAATCTTTCCAAACTGAGTTTTAATCAACTGAATAAACTCCTTGGCAACAATCAACAAATCTGACTTTTGACGAAGAAAATATATTCAGGCAAAGCGAGTCGCATGATCTATGAATAAAGCAAAATATCGAAAACCCATGCGAGATGTAACATGAGAAGGATCCCATAGGTCAGTGTGAACTAAATCAAAGGGATCAGAGTCAACTGTAGTACTTGAACCAAAAGACTGTTGAGATAACTTAGCTTCCAAACAGTGTGTGCAAATAGTATCTGAATCAGAAATAAATGTATTAGATAACAGCTTATTCTTAAACATCTCTAACAATCTGGCAGAAAGCGGATGACCCAACCTGCGATGCTACAACTCCCAATTGGACAAGTTAATAGAATAACCAACAAAAGGTGAACTAGACAAAACAAGAACTGAGGCCTCAACGGATCCTTTACTGCCGCTGCACGCACACCCCTACGGATCCAACTGCTCCTAGTTGTCAAGAGTGTACCCCCGACCTCGTCTAGTCCCGTGGCCGATCTCCCACCGCGTTTTTCGGTCCTGCACAATGCAACCAGTAGTATCAAAGATGATGTGACACCCATTTTCTGCCAACTGACCAACTGATACAAGGTTAGATACCAATCGCGGCGCATAGATTGTGTCCGGGAGAGATAAATAGGACCAAAATCTACACCAATACCCTAAGCTGGTAATCGAGTGCCATCACCAACCTATAACTGAATAGAACTAGAAAGGCGAAGTTGACTAAAGAGAAAAACGAGAACTGGTCATACGCTTAAATGTTGCAATGTCAAGATGCCAAGTGGGAGAAGAGCAAGATGACATACCAGCAGTAAAAATCGAGCCTAATGCTGAAGGAATCACATCCCGAACAACCTCCTGGAGCATTTGGCGAATAGTATCCTGAGTGAGAGAGACTGCAGAAGACGGAACCAGAGAAGCCACATAGGCTGGAGCTGCCGAGGAACCCCTCGACATGGAGCCATGAGACGGACAGTTACGCCCCTGTTTCGCCAAGATAGGACATGCATTTATTTTATGGCCAGAGGCCTTACAGTAGTTGCAAGCATTCCTCTTTGGGAAGTGAAGCTGTACATGTCCAAGTTCTTTACAATAATAGCAAATAACCATACCGATTGCAGTTCGCTGAAACGAAGGTGCTCCGAACTAACAGCAAAAGCAGAATTATCAAGAGACTCAGAATTACCATAAGAAGGAGCACGGGTTGCGCCAGCCGCAAAGGAAGTGGGGGAAGATTCCACCGCCTGGAAATCGACCTTAGGTTGACTCCTCTACCTAGATTCTTCCCGAATTAATTCTCCCAACACATCCTCCACCTTGGCAACATTGCGATGGAGAAGAGATGCTCGAATACCTTCAAACTCCGGACAAAGCTTCATCATGAAATGTATAAGATGCAAACTAGAGCGTTCACGGATAACCTCAGCGGAGGCAGCATAGAAGACCAACGAGGTAGTGAGCATGTCATGCTCGGTCCACAAAGTGACAACAACTTGATAATTTGCTCGAGCATCAAGATCCCCTTGCTGCAACTTAGATATATCAAGTTCAAGCTCAAATTTACGAGAAGCCATTATCTGTGAGTGAAGCTCACTCAGGTGCCGCCACTAGCATGAGTGGTAATAACCCTCTCAAGCTGAGAGCAATGACAGACTCAACAGAAGAGAGAATCCAATTCATAACTTGAGCATTGGAAACAACCCAATCCCCCTTCTCTTTGTCTGACGCCGTGGAAGCTGTCCCAGGAGAGTACCGTCAAGAACAGGCAGAAACGACGCCCTTGGACAAAAATCCGGAATTGGAACTCCCAAAGGGAGAAGTTCCTCCCATCAAAATGAATAGAAACCCCATCTAAATGTGATGACTCAATGATCACATCCCGCACACACACACACACACAAGAAGGAAGAGCAACCGAACAAGAATAGAAGAACTGCCAAATCTGAAACCGGAAGAGGACGCCGAACAGAACGCGGTCGAGCGAAGAACCCAAGAATCTTAGCCGTAACCAATAAGCAGCAGCGAACAACCAAAAACTGCCAAGAAAATCCTGAATATCCGAAAAACCACAAGAACAGAAGTAACCTGAATACCTGAAGATCACTAGAAACTCTGAATAGCCAAAGACAAGAACTGAAATTCACCGAATCAAGCCCGAGGCTCTGATACCATGTCAACCAAGATTAAAGCATTAAGAACAATACAAGATTTACGTGGTTTTTTCAACAAGTATCGTTGAGACTAATCCAAGGAGAGGACCAACCTCTCAGAGCCAGTCGTATAATCTCGGTAGAATAGAGTCCGTAAGTACATCAGGGGAGGCACTCAACATATATACATGGCTTTCCTAATCCGACTAAGGCTCTAAACCAAGGTTGTCAACCTGCGGGTTGACCCGCGGGTCGACACGGATTAGCCCGGACCCGGAGGAGAAAACGAGCGCTGATCACCCATTTTAGAGATAGCTCAGAATAGTCAAACGTGGAAAGACTGTGTCAAAATCCAGCATACCCGGCGGTTGGCCCGGCCAGAACAGGTACCAGGTTGCAATTTTTTCATGTACCGTCTCCTGGGATGGTGCGGGTGGACGAGCTGGAAGGAACCCGCGAGCGGCTGCCGATCTGGTGGAGGGAGATAGGGACGGCTAGGGAGGTTGTCAATCCGGGTGGAGAGAGATGGGGATGGCGACTTGGCGAGGTAGGACACGGTGAGGTGTCGTTTCGAAGAAATAAGAGGCGAAGAATTGATGGAATAAGAGTAGTTTGCAGCGGCAGCGCGGACGAGGTGAGAGAGGACATTGGAGGTAGTTAGGTAGCGGAAGAGGGAGCTAGCGGGTTGGATGAGGTGACGAAGATAGCAGTGGAAGAGAGAGGGCAGTTAAGGATTAGGGTCTGATGGTGACAGAGATAGGAGTGGAAGGAGGAGGCCGTTTAGGAGTGGGATGTGGGGTAAATGGTAATAATAAATTTTCTTCTTCTTTATTTGGTGTGTGACATTTAGGTAATTTTCACTATTGAATTAGAGTGATTATAGTAAAAGTATGTCAATATTTAGTTGTGTCATAATGTTATATATTATTACTTAGCTGTCAAATTGAACCCGATCCGACTAACCCACCCAACCCACAACCCGTCCGTAACTCGATTTGACAAAAAGTCAACCACCCGAAGCCCGCCTGTAACCCAAAACCAATTGACCCGTAATCCGATCAACCCATAAATCGAGGAACTCGTTATCCGATCCAACCCATAACCCGACCCATCTATAACCCGAATGATTCGTAACCCAAATAACCTGTAACCGAACCGAACCCAACTCGAATAACCCGAATAACCCATTTGACCCGAACGCTTGTACAAAAATTCAATGTATACATTATTATATTTTTAAATTTACCAAGAAAGAATTGTTGTTCTCATAATAATTGAAAATTATTTAAAGAATTGATGGTATAAATTGAGGTTTTTTTTAAATATTTAATTTTTAAAATAATAATATGTGAAATATCTTTTCATTTATTTTTTATTTTTATGAAATTCAAAGGATAAATTTTTGAAGATAATAGGAAGATTTAGAGACAAAGCTTTTATATACAGTATTTTATTTATATTTAGTTTTTATACTAACATAATGGATATTTAATTTGTATGTGTAAAATATTATCGTATTATCATTTTCTTAAATTTTGTATCATCAGCTACAATTTATATTCATATATTGATAATTTTTAAAACATTATTTTGTGTCAAGAAGTAAATGATCCAATAGGTTGACCCGAATAACCCATAATCCGACCTGACCGAACCCGAATTAACCCGCAATCCAATAAACCTGTAATATGATGCAACCCAATTAAACCCGATACAAATTGAAACCGACCCGATTGAACTCGCAACCCGATTGAACCCAACCCGGTTAGACCCAATCCGAACACGACCCAACCCGCCCAATTGACACCTCTATGTACTAGATGACCTTTTATATAAATTATGTATGTATGATATTATGATTTTATTCATATATTCGGGTTAAACCAGGCTAATCCGGGTTAATCTGGTCGATCCATTAACCCTCAACCCACTAACTCAGTCGGGCCAGCGGGCTAAACATGATTGACAACCTTGCTCTAAACATAATTAAGTGAAAATACTTAATAATTACATATTGCTGCATAAACTTCTAACACACTACTCCACCATTTTAACCACAAAAAACTAAAACAAAAGGTATTTTAATGCTAAAACTGACACATAGAGAATGTGAAATGTTACCAGTAGCTAGGATGCCATATTGATTAATCACAAAGCAAATACGAGCGTAGCATACTCGTTATGTTAAATACAAATTAAGTGCCACACACATACATTCTCACTCTCGTCTCCCAACTCCCAAGTCTCAATTCGTCGGGAAGACGCAAATCAAAGCCTACATGGGGAAGGGGAGCCTGACGTTGCACCTGCCGGGAATGCCGCCGGCAATGCTGTAGTTGATACCTGGGACACTACCGGCAATGGTTTTCAAACAGTGGCAAGCTTCTCGCCTTGCCGGAGTGGAGCTCGCGGCACCGTTAAGGGATCTAACTCCGCCGCAGCAGGATGCCACCAGGGGGCCCTTCCTCGTGATGTAATTCAAGCACGGTGCCACGCTGGACGCCACCAGGCCACATGTCACGGCCCCGTTGGCGGCCGGCTGCCGACTCGCCACCATCACCACCATCAGCGCCACGAAAACCTGAAGCTTAGTAGCGGCCATGATACCACGTTGTAATTCTTTTCTATAGTTGATGATGGAGTGTGCATTTTGAAGGCTAAGTGGGTGTGGTTTTTATAGGCTCTATGGATGTGAAATGTTGGGGAGTTAGGTTGAAGTATTAAATTAAGTGAAATGAATTGTCATGTGGGAGATGTGTAGTGTTATGTTCATCTACCGATATATATATATATGTACGAACGGAAGTTGATTGGAGTAGTAGTACTCCATATATATGTGGTGGTTTCAATGTTATCTGTTACTAAAGGAAAGTAGTCACATTGCATTTAGGTCAACCCTCAATAGTACTTTAAGGATGACGCAGCTCACTTCAAGAAGTGAAACTTCAGAACAAAACTACAGAGGCTGGTTAGTAAAATATGGTACGGGAAAGTTACGTAAAAATTACGTACGGGTATTATATTTCGTCTCTAAATTAAAATTTTGTTCAATAGTACATTAATAGTCATAAATATATAAAATTAATTATTTTAAAAATAAATAAATATGTAAATAATAGTAAAGTTAACAATTTAATTCATAAAATATGGATAATAAACGTGTTATACGGGTTTTATACGTATTTAGTACGGGAGCCATTAAATGAACGGGAAAAAAATGAAACGGCTTGACAATAATACGGATATGAAAGTTTTAAACGGATAAAATACGTACGGGTACATATACGTGTATTAAACGAAGTGTTTACTAACTATGCAGATGTAAGGTATCAGTGGCGAATCTAGGGGGGCCGCCCCCAGGCCACGACCCAGCCTTCCCCGGATCCAAAGCTCGTATAGTACTTGTAAATTTCCGATTTTGAGTATATATTTCAATGTTTATAGGGTTACGGCCCAGCCCTCTCCACCGCTTTTTAAATGCTGTCCAGTGCTCTAACTTATTCTGGATCCGCCGCTGCAAGGTATCAGTTAGGCCACGTACATTTTGGTTGATTATTTGATATGTTAGGAACAAGTTATTCCCAATGAAGATTATTTTGTCTTCTATAAGTTTCCACCGTTGATCTGATTAGTATTGTGGAACATAGTCTACTGGAATTTATCGATGAGGAACTATTTAAAAAGATTCGAATTTGGGATCTTTAGATTCAAGACTAGTACTTTTATCACTAGTTTAATTATGGACTTGCAATTTTAATACTTCGATGTGTATGGTCTGATGTCTAATTCAATGGTGGAGCTAAGTTGAAGACAAAAGAAACTGTAGCTCCTACTTTAATAACACAGATATAATATATAGAAACACGCTACGGACATTAATACATAATATTTACTCTCGCTCCCTCCCTGAGGCTGAGACCCAGATGTAAGCATACATGAATTGATGTCTTGTAGCATTATATTATCTATGTACTACACTACAATAACCAACAATCCCTTTTATTTTCTTCGCAATACATGCAACTTCACTTAATTAATTAAGTAACTTGGGCACATCAATCGGCTGGCTTCCTCGATCACTATACCTTCTCCTTACATGACCCTGTAAGTACGATATTCATGAATAAATAAAAAATATACGGAAGAAATTTGGCTGCTGTCTAGGTTGCAGCGCAACGCTGCTATCCAGCCACATGGCCTCATTTTATTGGTTTAATTATTATGCTAATTGAATTTGGACGGAACGGATATGCATGCATTTAACGGCGTTTTCAAACGGAGAAGTAGGTAAGACAGGGAACTTTTTTCCCCAAATACAGGCCAGAATTCTATTTAATATAAAAGGAAATAGTGAAATACAGGAACTTGGTGCTAATGGAAATTTAAAGAAACATATTATCAAAACAATTTGAAAGAAACGTACAGTGAACTTATGGGTGGCAGTGTGAGTGTGATACCAATTTATGTTTCTTTATTTTTATTTTATTTATATTTGTCATATAATTTTTTTAGGTTTAATAATATTTTGTATTTCTGTACTATGCTAAATTAAGAAACATATTTGTCTACTAAATTTTTGGACAAACATACCATTCTAATAATTAAACATAACGAGTTTACCATTCTATCTAATATGTTAAGTGTCATTAAAGGGGCATGAAATTACTCAATTTCCCCTCATTTACTTATATACACTCCTGATTTTGATTTTAATTATTTATTATGTCTCAAATCAATTAATTAAAAAAATTAAACCCCTAAATTAATAAAGAAACACTAGATGAGAGACCGTCTATCTGGTCGTCGTATCAACCAATTCTGTCTACTCCAGCCACCGGGAGTAGGAGCCGCCGCCGCAGAGTAAAGGGGTTGATTGCCAAGGGAGACTTCAGAGTAGATACGGTCAAGTGCGTGTGAATTAGTTTAGGATTTTGATTTTTTTAATTAATTGATTTTGGACATAGTAAAATAATTAAAACCAGGAGTATTTGGGAGTAAAGGAGGGGCATTGGATCATTTCACAACTTCTTTAACGGTCACTTAGTAGATAATTGGATGAAAGATTAAACTCATTATTTTTTAATATTAAAAATGTCTGTTTGTGCAAAATTTTAATAGACATATACGTTTGTTAATTTTCCATAATAAATCAATACGAAATGCTATTAACCTAATAATTTAATAAATTTTACATAGCCATTTCCTCTTCGCTATAACCTAATGGAGGAAACCCACGTATGATCAATTTGACATACCCATCATAAAATGGCCTGCATAACACAAACAATAGCCTAGCACTAAGTTGTCGTCTTTCCTGCTTCGCCGTCTCATGTCCCGTCCAAAATCAAAGCTGTGAAATGTCTCCGTCGGTCCGTCCCGTCCAAATTTAATTAACATCTAATAATAAATTAACATAATAAAACCAATGAGATAAGACTATGTGGCTGGGTAGCAGCGTTGGGCTGCAACCCAGACAGCAGCCAAATATTGCCCAAAATATACAACAAATAACCGTCACAAAAAATTTACATTAAAATATTGACTTCAGTTCAGAGAGAACAGACCAAAAAAATCCACTCACTTGTTGCAATCGACGGACGGGTTGATCGGGAAGCCGACGCTGACGCCGCACTTGCCGGGAATGCCGGCGGCGAGGCCGAAGTTGATACTTTTAGCACTCGCGGCGATATCCTTCAAGCAGCGGCAAGCCTGCTGCCTGTCCGCCGTGGTTCTGGCGGCTGCGTTGATGGACTTGATCCCGCTGCAGCAGCCGGGCGTCAGCGGTCCCTTCCCCATGACGTAACTCAAGCACGGTGCCACGCCGGTTCCGACCTGGCCGCAAGTCAAGGCCCCTTCACCCAGCTCCGCGCTCGCCACCGCCATCGCCACCATTAGCGCCATGCAAACCTGCAACTTAGTAGCGGCCATGATCATATATCTTTCAAGGATTGGTTTTCTGAAAGACTGGAGTGCGTACTGCGGCACAACGGGGTTGCGGGTTTTTATAGACGTGAAATTCCATGCGTGTAATGTAAACGAGACAAGTGAGCGGTTAACGGTTGAAGTTAGGCTGGAGTATTAAATAAATTGTGTCGGCACTACACTCTAGAGTATGCTACTAAGATACGTAGCGTAGGCGATTAGGAATGTGGGCTTGTCGTAATAATGGATGTGTATTATAGGGACCAGTTACGGTAACAACACCCCTTGTGTTGTTATTGTAACAACACTAGTCTCCAACCAATAGGAAGCTAGGATTGTGATGACTTTTTATTAGATGAGTTGACCTAGTGTAAAATCAAAGCAGGGGTATAATTGTCATTATGAAAAATCTGTTTAAATAATAAAAAAATAAAAAATAAATATTTTTTTATTTTCTGCCCAAAAATTTGGTCGCCGGAATTCTGCCACCGGTCGCCGGAAACCGGTCACCGGAATATGCTTTTTGTCGCCGGAATATGCTTTTTGTCGCCGGAATATGCTTACCGGTGTCGGAATATGCTTACCGGCGTCGGAATCTAGTCATCGGGGCCGGAATATGCCTATCGGCGTCGGAATCTGCTGGCTGACGGTCACTGGAGTTCGGTCAACGAACTTCGTTGACCGGTCAACGGTCTTGGTTGACCGGTCAACGGTCTTGGTTGACCGGTCAACGGTCTTCGTTGACCGGTCAGCGGTCAACGACCACCGGATGTATGGTCTGCATTGTGAGATTTATGGTTTGGTTTCTCATATTTTTGTATGCCTTTTGTGGTTTGCTTTATCGTGTTTGTGGTTTGCATTAAGAAGTTTCTGGTTTGCTTTATCGTGTTTGTGGTTTGCATCGAGAAGTTTCTGGTTTGCTTTCAAAAAATTTGTGGTTTGCTTTGCGGGATTTATGGTTGTTTTAATATATTTGTGGTCTGCATTAGGACGTTTCTGGTTTGTTTTTGTGGTTTGATTTACTGTGTTTGTGGTTTGCATTAGGAGGTTTCTGGTGTGTTTTTTAAAATTTTGTGGTTTTCTTTGCGGGGTTTCTGGTTTGTTTTAGTAGAATTTTGGTATGCATTAGGACGTTTCTAGTTTGTTTTTGTGGTTTGCTTTATCGTGTTTGTGGTTTGCATTATGAGATTTCTGGTGTGCTTTTGCAAATATTGTGGTTTGCTTTGTGAGGTTTGTGGTTTGTTTTATGAGATTTGTGGTATGCATTAGGAGGTTTCTGGTTTGCATTAAGAAGTTTCTGGTGTGCTTTCGAAACTTTTGTGGTTTGCTTTGCGAGATTTATGGTTTGTTTTAATATATTTGTGGTCTGCATTAGGACGTTTTTGGTTTGCTTTACCATGTTTGTGGTTTGCATTAGGGGGTTTCTGGTGTGCTTTTCAAAATATTTATGGTTTGGTTTGTGGGGTTTATGATATTTTTTAGCGAACTTGTGGTTTGCATTAGGAAGTTTCCAGTATGTTTTTTGTGGGTTGTTTTATTGCGTTTGTGGTTTGCACTAGGTAGGGAGTTTTTGGTGTTAAAAATATTTGTTATTAGAATTACTAAACACCAATATAGAATTTCTGATATAGAGTTTCACTTGACACCTACCCATGGCTTAATCTAATTACACACATAGCTCTCTCTCTCTCTCTCTCTCTCTCTCTCTCTCTCTCTATCTAGGCCATCGTTTCTGATTTTCCATGATGAGAAGAATCTTTGGCAATTCTCATCATTTTTAGCCCCCTGAGAAATCTCCATCATCCGGTAATGGGTCGATCCAAGTCCAACCTTAGCCGTAAAATCCACCGCCGGTTGTCCGTTCTCCGCCACTGCATTCTCCGGGTGTGGAACCAAATTCTCATGTGCTCCATCGGAATGCGGATTAGGTACCGAATGTTGTCTCATCCCGCCGTTGTTCCCTCCGTCTCCTTGCCTATTTCCTCTGCTGGTGGCGGCGTAATGGAGGAGGTGGCCCTCGTCAATTGTCCCCCGCCTTCCGCGGCGGCGATTCTTCACAACTACAACAACAACGTCCACCGGGTCGATTCGGATTTGGTGACCTTAAAGATTAACCTCTTGGCTCTTGGGTGATAGCCAGATTGGGAAAACAAGCTTTTTGGTACCCAATTTTCTTCTTCTCGTGATTTTCATGTTATCAATTCTATTGTTCATCGCACAACAGATTATAGTGGCTCAGTCTCTGTCTCTTTCCCCCTGATTTGGGTCTCATGATTTGAAGGCCAAGTAAGTCGGCGACGAGACGGATGAAGGAGTGAGAATCGAAGGATCAGGAGATGGGATTCATTTGATGGGCAAAATATTGCAAGTCGGTGGCGCTTGGATTTCCTACCGTCTGCAGTCGCCCTTCTCGATTCCGCTTCCGGCTACTCAATCTCTTACCAAGACCTCTTCCCCCTCGTCAAATCCACGGCCTCAGCTCTCCACAAATTGGGCATCCGCCACGGCGATGTCGTCTTGCTCGTCCTCCCCAATTCAATTTGCTTCCCCGTCGTCTTCCTCGCCGTCCTATACGCCGGCGCCGTCGTCACCACCATGAACCCTCTCGCGACCGTCGTGGAGATCCAGTAGCGCATTGCCGATTGCGGCGTCCGTTTGGGACTCGCTGCGCCGGAGAGAACAGAGCGGAAGGAAAAGCACATACATAAGGGCTAATTTTTATTTTTATTGTAAATTTCCAATTTTGCCCTTAATGAATTATGTTGTTACGGTAACAACAGATAGGGTGTTGTTATTCTATCCTATCCCTTCAGTTTGGGAGTCTCTGAAGCATAACAACTTTTGGCTCTTCAGGAAAAGATCCCAAACGTACAAGTTTGGCGAAAGATCTAGAGCAGGAAGAAACCCTTCTGAAGCAATGTGTTCAGAAACTTAAATCCGTTGAAGCTAGTAGAGCTTCCCTTGTCTCTCAGTTGAGGGATGCTCTAAATGACCAGGTCGGGAGAACTCTTTAATATGACTTACTTATCTGTGATGGATCTATTAACTTTCTGTGCATGTTTAAAAAAGTTTGTGCCATCTAGATGCTCAGATTTTGCTTTTCTCATCTTGTTCGTTCAGGAATCTCAGTTGGAAGTTGTGCGAACTCAGATGCAGGTATGTAACTGGTTGCCTATTTTAAAAATTGGTTCTTTGGGTGTGTTTGTTTCGGCGTAAAGAGAATTTACTCGAGAATATAAGGCCTTAAATGCTGAAGCAAATACACTTCTTCGAGAAATACACCCTTTATAACCTTGTTTCTGTTTAACATGGTGGTACTTGTGTTGATTGGACAACTGAGGGTTATTTATCGAGAAATGAGTTGTTTCCGGTTGTCGATCTCCAGGTAGCTCAGGCTCAGGTGGAGGAGGTCAACATTATGATAAAGCGGCTCAACGATGAAGACTATGTGCCCAAAGCCACAACTGCAACACAAACAGAAGCAGATACAAATGGCAAAGCAGGACACACGCCAAAGAAAACTGCAGCAGCTATTGCTGCCGAGGTTGCAGATAAGCTTGCAGCCTCGAGCTCCTCCCAAATGATCATGCATTCCGTTCTGTCTTCATTTGCGGCGGAAGCAGCAAAGACTGGAGCTTTGAGATCAACCCCCGTTAGCTCTTCTGCCAATGATTCTGTGCCAGACCCCGCCATGTTCATGTCAGCACAGCAACCCCTTTCTGCTGCTCCTTCGAACCATCCATACCATACTATGCAGAATCAGATACCGAGCTCTCAGCCTCAGTTCCACATGATGCCGAATCCTTCCTCTCAGCAGTACTTGCAGCCTCCTGGCGGGATTGTTACTCCCTACGGATATGGTAGCATTAGTTCCTTGCCATCGGGACCACCGCCTCCACCTCCTCCCTATATGATTAATCCCATGGCGCCTATGGCTCAGCAACCACCATCGCAAGTTCCAATAACCCAACAGCAGCAAATGACATTAACTCAGCAGCAAGCTGCTGGTGGTCCTCCTGGGTTTAGACCCTTGCAGCCGCCTGGAATGGTGTATTATGGGCATCATCCATCATCCCATTCTCAGTGATGATAATAAGGTCAGTTGGTTTTAGGTGTGTTGATTGTATAATTTATCTTGCGGCCCTGTTGTCTTTTGTAACCGAGAAATTTCTTGGTAGTGAGTTAGTGCTGCTGACATTAGAACATCTGACGACGATTGATCAACATTTCTTTTTACATAGCTACCAGTAGTAGGGAAGTGTTAGTGATTCAAAGTGGAGGTGGAAAATGAATCGAGCTGGCGAGTTCAATGGTTTGTAACAAATAGGTTGGGTTCGTGTTTGGTTTAAAATGTGTTGGTGGATTTATCGTTTGGATTAAATAGGTAAAGCTTGATTCTCAAGCAGGAAGAGAAGTTTTGTGGCAAATTAGATTCTCAAGCGTGAAGATAAGGATTACTACACGAGTCAAAACAAACAGGGAAGTGAATCCGATTGCACAGTGCAGAGGAATCAATATCAGGGTAGTGCTGCTATTCAACAGGCGAAATTCAGTTGATGATAACATCTCTGATACGAAGCGGGAGATGATGCAAGATGGCCATACCGGCCCGACGAGAACCATGCTGGCGGATCCTTTCGGAGTATGGCAGCAGCTACTGTATCTTTCGCGAATTCTTCTACAGGGGTGGATCCGAGGCTTTGGGAGAAGTATGCCCTCTTCCTGATTGCAGCCTCGAATGGTTTGTACAGTTTCCTCTCGGGCATCTTGTCGTAGTTAGCTGCCGCGGAGTTCCCGATGTTCGACCTGATGGCTCCTGGATGTGCTTGCTTCAATTGCAGAGTTCCTTTTGTCAATTGGTGAATGGCCCTTTTGGATGGTAGACTTGCTAGTGGATAATTTGACATGGTTGAACGAGCTTTGGTTGGTTGGTTGGTTGTCCAAAATAGCTGAAACTTGGGTTGCTCTTGTTTTTGGAAAATACTATTGGCTTTCCACTTTCTGCAGAACTAAGAGGCCAATTAAGTGTTGCTTTGAGGATGAATTGATGTGTAACTTGCTAATTGCTTGAGGCCTGTGTGGAGTTTGTACGAAAGGTCGATCGATGGCTATGGCGAGGAACTAGCAAGTAGCAACCATGAAAGGATGGATAAGTTTGCAGTGCACTTTAGCCCTTCAGTCTTTTCAATTGGGGAAATGAAGCACACCTTGTCTGGGAAACTCTACCAGCTGCTTATTATCATCCCAAGCGCCAATACTGCTTTGACTATAAACTTTCATAGTCTGTCCTCAGTTGCTACTTCCATGGAAGAACTCACTCACTATAGTGGCTCATTCGGCCATTCTCTTACATTTTGGCACAGTTTATCAACTGAACTGGTGGTGTCTGGTATTGTAGGTCCCATGAGGATGATTCAAGCTGTGGTTCCACACATGGCGTCTCGCAGAAAGGGTACGATCGTAAACGTAGGAAGTACCATAGTGCTGATATCTTTCCCTTGGACCGGGGTATACGCTGCATCTAAAGCCGCCCTCCATGCTTTAACTGATGCATTGAGGTTAGTGTATATATATTTCCATATGAAATCCATTTACAGGTACCAACATATCAATCAAGTAGCAGCATTGCTGGCATTTCCAGTTGAAATGACAGTCCGAGAATCGATCATTTTTTCTTGCTTGGATGCAGGTTGGAAGGGAAGCCACTGGGGATCGATGTGATAAATGTGGCTCCAGGATCTATTCAGTCGAACATATTGCCCTCAGCTGAGGTTAGCTGTGCTTCTGAGTGGAAACTGTACAAGCCATTCGAGCCAGCAATTCGACGCTTTCTCTCCCAAGGCAGAGTAGACACTCCTGCTGAAAAATTTGCCATGCATACTGTTGCTGCCATCCTCAAGAAGCACCCCCCTGCGTGGTTCTCTACAGGCAAGTTCTCGACCATCATCGCCATCGCGTACCATTTGCCACTTCGCGTCAAGGATCTGTTCGTGCAATCTTTTGTCAAACCCTGAAAAAGAGTTTCTTCCCTTTCATTTTGTTCGCTGGGGAAGGATCGGTCGGTCTTGCTGTGCAGCTTCTTGTACAGATGTTCAGATTTACCACATCTGTAATTGTTGTAGCAGAACAACTAGAGTTTCCCCCCCCCCCCCCCCCCCCCCCCCCCCCCCACCCCATTCTCAATTCTGTTCAATGGCCAGGGAAGCCAGAAATTACTTGTTTTGCACGACATGGGAAAAGAGGGGTTAAGAATAATAGAAAAAAAAATGTTGATGTTCTTTCTTAGCAAGTGTTTATGTTTGTTTATGAACTTTGAAAATGGTGATTTCCAAATGATGCAAAGTCCTTTCAATTTGAATATAATTTACCATAGCACAATCCTCACTCAACTATGATTACTTACAAAACGGGTTGGGTCGGGTCGTGTGGTTTGGGATTGGTTAGGTAACGTGGCATTTTCATATTAAATTTGGTTGGCATTTGCGTATTAAATGCAGGTGATATAAGATGGCCGTGTGATATTAAATGCAAAATATATGAATATACCGATTAAAAGAATTAATTTCATTTCAAAAAAAATTACTAGGTAGAATTCAAAATATGCCTCCAAACCCATGAAGTGCCAGATTAGTGAAATATTTACGAAATTCATTTGAAATTCTATCTGAATTTTTTAAAAATGCTGTAACTACAATCCTGCAGAGTTTAAAATTTAGAGTGAGAAATGAATTCTGTTAAATTCCACAGATAAAATTTTCATTTCAAAGAAATTCCTCAAAAAAACTTTATAAAATTTCATTTTATAATTTTTTTTATGAATTCCCTTTTATTCTAAAAGGTATGCTAGTAAATTCATAATGACCTGTATATTACCTTATATTAAAATTTAAATGTTAGTAACTTAGTATATACTTTTTTGTAGTGACTCTAAATATAAGTGACCGTTATGTGATTGACCCTTCAGAGATAGATAAAAACACGTGGCTTTTCTTCTGAATTGCTATTCGTCGTCCTAAAATTTAAATTTTATCGCCCTAAAACACACTAAATTGACACATTTATCCCTAGCTCTAATTTCATTTCAACACTCTGCGTAGCCGCCCATACACCATCATCACCTTCCTAGCCTCTGTGGAAGCAAAAAAACAAGTTCCTGCTCCACTTCATCTTCTTGGACGTGATAAGTAGTAAATAGCAACTAACTAATTTACCACTTACCACATGTCTCTCACTTTCATCCTTCTTCCCGAAAAAACCATTAACTCCCTCTGATCCCCTGCTTTGCAGCTGACGCTAGCAATAGTTTCCACGGCCATCACGGCGGCCGGCGATGTGGCCTACGTCGGCCTGAAGAGCAACAAGCACGCGGGGGTGGGCAAAGGTGTGCAGCGTTTCGGACAAGTACTACAAACACTTGGGAAGCTCCATCTCCATCTCCCTTTTCGCCTCTGTTCTGCTCGTTCTCCTAGTTTTTCTCTCTGTCCTGTCCCTACACAGCAAGATCCCACTGCCTACAACGACAGTTGCCTAGTTATTAGCGTGTCTGAGTTGCTACGCAGGGTGATGATGGGGCTGAGGCTGACTACGACGATTGGGCCTCCGGTGACGTGGTCTGCTCCAGTAACGATTGGATGTATGTATTTGTTTAAGGGTTTAAGTGATTAAAAGATAAAAAATAAACTAAGGATATTAGAGTAAATTTAATATAATTAGGGCGACGAATAAGGATTTTTAGGGCGACGAATAGCAATCCCCTTTTCTTTAGATAAAATATTGTTAAAATGGATGAACGGTGGAACAATTAACTTTGTAATTCCCGCTGTAGTTTCCCTGAGCAAACGTCGCTCTTTCTGCCGGACTCCAAAGAAACCGTCGAAATCGCAGTAGCCAAAAAGCTCCGTTACCGGCCAAGGAAATGGCGCCAATGCCGCCCATCGTTGTCAGCGGAGAAGTCCCACTTTCCGCTCCCGGAAGTCCCACTTTCCGCTCCCGCTCCTCTTCCTCTCAGTACAAAAACGCTTCATCAACTTCCCAATTCCCAGCAATTCTCGCCGATATCTCGCCTGAAACCCTAAGATGGACGCCGTTGGCTTAGAAATAGTTCTGATCACCGGCTGCTCGCAAGGAGGCATCGGCCACGCCCTGGCGAAAGAGTTCGCCGCCAAAAACTGCCTGGTCGTGGCCACGAGCAGGTCCTTGAGCTCGATGCAGGACTTGGAGCAGGACGAGAGGTTCTATCTCCAGGAGCTCGATGTGTCCTCCGACGAGAGCGTGCAGCGGGCGGTGGCGAACGTCATGGAGAAGTACGGGAGAGTGGATGTTCTGGTGAACAACGCCGGGGTTCAGTGCGTCGGCCCTATTGCTGAGGTCCCGCTTTCTGCCCTGGAGAATACTATCAATACCAATGTTTATGGTAAGTTCTAAAGTTCAAACCTGTGGTTCAAGTCTTTAATTTTTGCTGTGCTTGATAAGATGATTCTGAATCAAATTGAGGGTTCTTGTTATCAATTGGAGAATGCCCATCTCGATGGTAGACTTGCTAATGGACAATTTGACATGTGGGTTTCCCCTTTTCTGATTTGATATGGTTCTCGTGGAACATGTGGGTTTGATTCTGTATGTTTTTGCCATTGCATACTGTTGGAAATAGTTTATGCTAAGGAAACAAGTGCATCATTCAATGGTAGCTCTGAAACTCTGGAAACATAGAGTTTGAAACAAGTAGACCTATATATGAGATCCAAATATCCAATCTCGCATGTGTAGTGGTAGCTCTAGAAACATAAGAAGCATATCACTGCTCTCTGTTGCTACTTTCATGGGAAGAAGTTTGGGCATTGGTTTGGCACACTCATTTCATTTTATGAAATAACATGTATATGGTATTGCAGGTCCCATGAGGATGATTCAAGCTGTTGTTCCACACATGGCGTCGCGAAGAAAGGGAAAGATCGTGAACGTAGGAAGTGTCATAGTCCTGACGCCTTTCCCTTGGACCGGTGCTTATGCTGCGTCTAAAGCTGCTCTTCATGCATTAACAGATACCTTGAGGTAGTATCTATATCCTTTCATCCTATCCAATCCATTTGCTTCTCATTGTCACTTTGTAGTGGAAGGAAATTATCTGCAGAAGTTTATGATTTCTTGCTCGGACGCAGGTTGGAGGTGAAGCCACTGGGGATTGATGTGATAAATGTGGTTCCAGGAGCCATCCAGTCAAACATAATGCCCTCAGCTGAGGTTCGTTATATTTCAGAGTGGAAACTATACAAGCAATTTGAGCCAGCGATGAGGCGGTTTCTCACCCAAGGCAGAGTGGGCACCCCAACCGAAGAATTTGCAAAGCAAACCGTTGCTGCCATCCTGAAAAAGCACCCTCCTGCATGGTTCTCCTCGGGCAAGTTCTCGACCATCCTCGGCATCGCTTACTATTTCCCTCTTCGTGTCAAGGACTTGATGGTGCAATCTTTTCTGAAACCCTGAAGAGAGTTTCTTCCTTTCTATTCTTCGCTGGGGATCAGTCTTTCTTTCTCTGCAGCTTCTGATACAGACTGTTCTTCAGATTTAGCATATTCCATATCTATAATGGCTTCCTTTCCTCCTGCATGACTTGTTGCATCATGTAGATGTTAAGGGTCTGCAACTATCTTGTTCCCTTACAGTGTTAAATCTGTTATGAAAGTATATCTTGATGATTTATTGCGGAAGTTAGTTGTACTCTGCAAGTCCTTTGTCGTATTGATAATAAACTCTGTTTTGGCTATGGATTTCTGATGAGTACTTCTGGCCGGGTTGTTTAGGCATTGACACCTGCTCTGCTGCCATGGATTTGAGCTTCTTGCTTAATGCTAACCTAGTCATGATAAGTTAACACCAGCCAGTAATCCTAGAATGTTGTTAGTTCAATTTGTAGTAAAGCTGGGAGGAGTCTACACAATAAACTAGTGATCCTGCTGAGGTAGTGGCTGAGCTTCAATGCAACTTGCTTGTAGTCTGAGTCACCCGGGAACAACTTTCTGATTTTGGTTAAAGACTCATAACAGAATAGTTTAATACATCAAACTTCAAAATTAGCCACTAATCAGACCAGTACTGAATATAATAAGACTGGTGGTCTGAAATGAAATCGAACGAAAAAGCCTGCAGAAGTTCATGATGTTTCTCTCAGATGCAGGTTAGAAAGTGAAACCACTGGGGATTGATGTGCTGATGTAGTTCCTGGAGCTATTCAGTCAAATACAATGGGAAGGTTTGTCTCCCAAGGCAGAGTTGGCATCCCCCTTGCATGGTTCTCATCAGGCAAATACTCAGACCATCATGGCCATTCTGCACCATTCGTCACTTCGTATCGAGGATTTTCTTCTGCGATAATCGCGATCGGTCCTCTCTGCAGCTTTACTTATACAGATTGTTTCCCTTCCTTCTCCTGAGTTACTTTGTTTTGTGTGGGTTTTAGCTTTGTTCTCTCATACATCATGTGGCTGTGGAGGGTTGTCTATGAATTAAAACTTTTGTTTTGCATTCATGGGTTTGCCTTTTCGAGCTTCTTCTTGCTAATGCACATACCTAATCATGATGATAAAACTAGAGACAGGAAAAGCTTGGTGCTGGCTGGAGAGATTGATGAAGGTGTTTAATGGTGCTAGCATGTTAATAGTTTATTAGCAGCAGAGCTAAGGATAAGTTAATAAACTGGTGATCCTGCTGAGTGAGATGGAAGCGGCTAAGCTTCAAGGCAACTTGCTCTGTTGCTGGAGTCTGAGTCACTAGGGCACAACTTTTTCTGGTTTTGGGGGTTAAGAACCATATATAACAGAATTAGTTTAGTATATCAGCAGCATCCTTAAACCCACTGAGAAAAACTAGTGCACGTACTCATTATAGTAAGGCTGCTGGTCTGCACTTTCATGAAACTTCCAAATTATTAGAACCGATTTAAACGATGAAGCATGGGGTTGATACGATATGTTTCTGAATTCAATTTTTACAATTAATTATTATAAGTAAAACTCCGATATACACTTGTTGGTATCAGTTTGAGTCACCCGCTTTTATAAATGTACTAAGTATTCACAAATCAACTAACGTGATCGAGATAATTTGGAACGTATGCTCTAAGATGGGTTATAGGTATAATATGCCCTTCTACTATGTAGTTTTATCAAACATGCCCCTAGACTATTTTTTATATCAAATATGCCCTTGTACTTTGGAAAAATGATCAAACATGCCCTTCTGTTAAAATTTCCATTAAAAAAATCGCCAACCATGGTTGAACCGAGATGTAGATGACCTGACATCGGCAAATGAGAGCGAAAATGTCAGTTTTGTTCCCGATTTTTTTTTTCTAGGTCTCGTTAAAGTGAAATTATTAGAGGTATTTGGCTCTACAAAAGAACCCGAAAATTTTAAAGTGAAATTACCAAGAATATTTTAGACATTTGTGTCGCCCAAACCAAGGTACGACCATGATTGACTGTTTTTGGATGAAAATATTAACAGAATGGCATGTTTGATCATTTTTCTAAAGTACAAGGACATATTTGATGTAAAAAATAGTAGAGTGGCATGTTTGATAAAATGACATAATAGAGAGGCATATTATACCTATAACCCCTCTAAGATCTACAAAGAAAAAGATTTTATAGAATTTACCTCTGTGAAGTGTGAACTGTGAAGTGATGACAGAGGTATAAAATAATGTAGGATGGGCCACAGATTTGGGCCTTTGCAGCCCGTGGGAACTTTCATTGGATCCTGTCTCCAGTTACACCGGTTTGTTTGATTTATTTGGTAAAAGTTAAGGGTATATATATGAAATTTGGAGCAAATATAATAATACCATTTAGGAACCAAATAATAGAATGTGAAGTTTTCGTTAGTGCAAAATTTAGGAACATAGACCACAGTTGAGGTTCCAAGAGATAAATTTCGCTGTTATAACATATAAACGATAAGAATAATGAAGCAGGAGGTCATAAAATTAAGATCACATTATTAATTAGGTGATTAATTTTGAGATGAAATATTCAAATCATCAACAACTTACAACTTCTCACATTGCTTGTTAAATTTAAAAAAAAAACATAAAAGCTACTTTTTTATCCGATCTTTTCGTGAGAAGATATGTTTGAGTTCGAGTCGATCAAATAACTTAACAAAAAAAATTTCTGCCACCCCAGAACAACATGTCGTTTTAGAAGAATATCCTATTTTGCTAAGAAACGTAACTTAACTTCAAGGTTCAAAGAGATTTCAAGATTCCAAACTTCATATACACAACAAATACTCATCCTTTTCATGTATATTATTACACTCCCAAAATCACACCTTCATAACCTTCTTTTTTTTATTTTATTTTTGGGAATAATCACACTCACACTTATAACTTGGTAAATGAAAATCACACCTTATGAAGCAAAAGTTTCCTACCAAATTAACAAAAATATAAACAGACTCAAGCAATTAAACCAGCAATTAAAAAGCATACATAAACTAATTATAACCACATAAAAATACACATCATTATTTAACGGCAATCAAAACGCGAATATCGATGCCGCGCTACACATCGCCGGTGGCGCCTCCGGCGGGGTGAACCCTGTTGCCGCCGTTTCCCTTCCCTGCGCCGTCCGGTTTCGTCGTCGCCGTCTTAACTCCAGCATCGCCGCCAATACTAACGACGGTTTGGTTACTGACGACGTTACTGCTCTCTTCTGCCATCTTCTTCAGCTTCTCCTGCTGCCGCTTCTGCTTCACGTAAACTACAGCACAAGCTGCTCCCAAAGAAGACATAATAATTAATTAATAACGTATTTTTTCCTTTTCCTAGTAAGATCAGTAAAATAAAGGAGAAAGAAATTAAGGAAGAGTGGTGATGTTTGATCGAGTTGATGAGCTTATGAAATTATGGAGGGTATTTATAGAAGAGATTTGGACCAGCTTGCGTACTTAGTGAGGAGTTAATTTTTTTAATTTATATTAAGAACAAATTAATTAATGATAATGTATTTATGATAGTGGTTTATTATCTTTAGAGCATTGTATTCTATGCTACGGTTAACCAATTTGCTTATAAACATCGATCTTTTTAATCGACACGTTGATTGTAACTTATAAGCGGTCGATTGCGTTCTTCTTACTTGTAATGATTTGAGTCCATATTTGTAACTGTACGTCTCGGTCACCGTTTTGGGATGTGGTCGACCTTTTTGTGAATGCAATTCGAAATCACATATGCAATTTTAAGTATTGTATCAAATATGTAAATTATATTACACTGTTGCAGTCTTATAATATTTTTCATTAGATTTCCCTACAATGGTTACGTTACGATGAAAAATACTGTACATGCCAATGTTAAATGTGATCATAACTCCAAAGATAAAGATATTACCGCTAGATTAAACTCATATTCGAGCACTTAAATTAATCTTCAAATTAGAAACTAATTACGTTATTACCGCTAGATTAAACCCACATTCGGGCACTTATAATCTTTGTCTTACTCTTTGGACGTGTCCAAACAACCTGAAATATGTTTCCTTTTCTGTGAGCCCGTTGGCTTGGCGGCTCTCTCCCACTTAATTAGGCGCATCCATAGAATAATAAAAGTAAATTGTGATTGGTTTAGCTTTACTACTCACAGATTAGAGTGTTTGATGTAGTGGCTTGGCCATATAATTAGTGGTGAAAGAGAGGAAGTCAAATTAGTTGGGCATCAATCAAATGAGCTGTCAGAGTTTCGCTGTTATAATTGGAGGATAACAATAAAATATTATTTACAATTTTTTTTTTCATAGTTGAGACTAAATTGGTAGACAGAATTTTGTGGTACGAAACGGTTGAACTATTTGGTTTCTATACAAAAAGGTCTATTACTAATTTTTCCAACAAACCAAAGGAAGCAAATTAAATTACCATGGTGGTGGCATATTATTAGTTATTTTACAAACTTATGTATACTCTCGACAAATCTTAAATTCACATACCAACTCGAGTTAGTAAGACCAATTGGTTCTCTCCACATGTTTCAGAGTCTTTGACGAACAGGTTTGTGTACGAAACTCTTTACGACTTCTGTTATTAATAAGTTATTTGAATTATTGAATACATGACATAACAAGTATGTTCAAATTCTAGGACCATGAATTCGCTTTCAATTGAATGAGCGTGCAAGATTCATTCTTCCGCCTTATTCAACAACTCAAATAATTGGAACCAACGAATTCTCAATCATTACTTTGTTGTGATATCTCAAATTACTAAGAGAGATTCAGTTATATAAGTTCGAAATTAAGAGAAGGTTTTAGATGACAAATGAGATAGAATTTAGGAGAAGTTGAGGCCACTCACTGCCACTTCTCCATAAACTGTTTAAGCATAGCATGGAGTGCATTGTAAGATGTATCTTTTTAATCTAATTTTGTGGTGGAGAAGTGCATGCTTTTTCAAAATTGGCGCCATTTGCTTATTTTATTGCAATGAGAGACTGGACATATACATACTATTAAATTAGAATTAGCATGCAAATTGACAATAAATATGGAGATAATTTATAATTATCTTCAAATGGATTCTTGATTATACAAAAGGAGTTTAATTTACGGTTGATTATGCAAATAATATGTATTGAATTCATCTATGACACCTTTAGACCTAACAAGTGATGCAAAATTGCACATATACCATCATCTATTTCTATATTTGTTCCATGCTCCATGAATTTAGGCTATATTTTCTTGTTTATAAAACTTGCACGACATAGGGTCGAAAGTTTGATACCCGTAATTTTGATATACTTATTTTTTATAACCAAAAGAAATTTGTGATATAACTTCGCATATTCAGGGATGGTTCAGGAACATCCGTAAAATTTGTTATTTTTTTTTAATATCCAGATAGTAGTTTCGGGTTTGCAACAAAAAAAAAAAGCCGTTCCTATGTTTGGAACTCGTGACCAAAGGACAAATGTTTCATTACACCACAAGTCGTTTTATGTCAAAAATTAAAATACCTAATGAATTTATACAATAAACCAAGGCCCAATTAAGGCCCAACGTAATTAATTCAATATTCTCTCAAATCCTAATAAGTTTACTTCTTTTTTCTGACTAATTTTTCTATGACACTTTGAGAACATGACCATTATTATGGTATAAAATATGAATGATGAGATATTGAGAGATTCATTGGATTAAAAAGAAACGATGAATGAGTTGATGATAAAAACAAAAATGACTCTATCATATTCATCTGTATATTTGCTTCTGAAACTAATATTGATTACATCGATCAATTGACGTTGTAAAGATGTTTCAACTCTACACTACATAGAAATTTCATTTTAACATTTGATTAATACTGAAAATGAGCAATAGAGGCAAGAGAGAGAGAGATACACACCAAGAAAAAGGACCAGAAGAATATATAATACAAAATGAAACTGCAATGGAACAAGAAGGAATTTCACGGCAGAAACAATGAAACAACATGGTCAAAGATCAACGGTCAAAGATCAACGAACTTGCCACACAAGATACGACAGCCAGAGTGCCAGCTGTCTGGTTAGATATATAGAATCTGTAAAACTAGTAAAGGTTAAAAGCAAAGCTTCTAATTTATGAACTGTCTATATTTTCTTCCAAACTAATTCAAAGACAGCAATACTATGTTTATGATTCTTATCATCAATTGAGAAATTTTGTATGTAGGGATGCAAATTAAAACTCGGTCTGATCCGTGTTGGGATGAGTATTACTTATCCGATATGCAGTATCGTGGGGCTTGTCATGGCTAGTAGTTCTGACCTGTCTTGTCCTGCTCTATTTTTGACCCGTCCTGAATCATGCCTCAATATCTATATGTATTTCTCCTAATTTGAACTTAAATCATATTTGCAGCCAATGAAATTTTGGAATAGGTGTGTAGGATTTCATCTTTCAGCTAACTAGATACAATTACTCATTCTATTATCACCGATTTTCAATATTCATGAAGTGTAATTTTCCTATATTTCACCGCAAAAAAAAATCATGTGAAAATGGTCAACTTGTTGTGACTTATATCAGCACATGTATTAATACCCACCTCGACCCACGGTTGATGCGCGGATGCATATTGAGATACCTACTCCATGATGGAGTAGGTATCTACATGGTAATTAACAAATACTTCTACTAGTAGATTGCGTGCTCGAATTCAATATAACAACTCTCCCATATAATTTATGATATGTTCAACCCGCACAACCCAGAAATCCGCAAAACTTTATCACTTGCGACTATTAGAGTATGGGTAGTACGAGTAGTATTATTTTATACAACAAGTACTGTTATGTAATTGGGCAGAGTTTTCCTTATCGGAGTCGTATAAGACTATAAGTTATGTAATTTTCGTATTAGTGTTAGGGTTATTACAGAAGTCGGTCTCTGTACTCAATATGACCCCTATGTAGTTTCAGTAATAATACACAACAGTTTTCACCGAATTCTGATTTATCAACCGCCGCGGCCGTACATTAAAATTCTAGAATGTTTATGGTGTTTGAACACCTGCTGAGTGATGACGTGTCCGATTATCACTTTGTTTATTTTGCTTACGAGAGATTTAATTTTGACCGGTCGTTGGCCAAGTATATATAAATCAAAATCCATATCCTACGGTTTCCTTAATCAACAACACGATTTAGCCGCGCTAATCATCATATATATAAATCAAAATCATAACCCTAATTTTTTTTGTTTGTCTCAATCTTCTCTTAATCACCCCCACGAAAACACTAACCAAAAACAACAAATGGCAGAAATGGGCATGTTCCAAATCTCCGGCGACGTGTTCCAAACCGTCGGGCTAATCAGACGCCGTCACAACCGCCGGACCGTCCACAAAGTCGCCCACTGCCCCACCGGCGCCCTCTTCGCCCTCAAGTCCATCCCGCTCGACGCCGACGGCCGGCGGTTCTGGGCCGTCCAGCCACGCCGCGAGTCCGTCCTCCTCCTCGACCTCGACCACGCCAACGTCGTCAAGTGCCACGGCGTCGCCGAGGATCGGTACGGCGGCGAGTTGAAGCTCCTGCTCGAGTACCTGGACGGCGGGTCTCTCGCCGGGAAGAAAATCACCGACGTTGGCCGCAGGGGCGGACCTATGTTATAGGGTGGTGTGTCAAGTAAGGTTCGTCGGTGCCAAAATTCGAACATAAGACCTCTTGACACAGCTCTATAGTAGACTCAGAATCATTCCATTAGTCTACGAACATATTATTGTTATAACTTTGCTAAAGAACTTATTGTATACGAAAAGTTTATTAATGTGTAAATAATTTCCTTATACAGAAAGTTCATTGCTTCAAATTCAAACATTTGGGTTTGTCTTTTACATGAAGTTGATGATTGCAGTGCTTGCAATTACAAATGAGTTGTCCATATCATTACAAAGGAAAGATCAAGACCTTGTTAATGCTATGCAACTAATTAATTGCTCAAAGCACAGATTGCAAGAGTTGAGAGATAAAGGATGGGAGCCTCTCCTTTGTGATGTGATTTCATTTTGCACTAAGGAACAAATTGATGTTCCTAACATGAGTGACTTGTTTACTCTTCCTGGAAGAACAAGGCGCTACCCTCACCAACCCACAAATTTGCATAACTTTCAAGTTGATGTGTTCTATGCGGTTATTGATATGCAATTGCAAGAACTGAACACTCGATTTAGTGAAGTGAATACTCGATTGTTGACTTGTATTTCTTGTTTTAGTCCAGCTAACTCATTTGCTACTTTTGATAAAACAATGTTGATGAGTCTTGCTGAGTTCTATCCTGAGGGGTAATGGTTCTCCATCAGGCTGAGCAGCCGGTAACACCTTTTGGCATTCAGGAATTGAGAGACCTCTAAAACGAATCCCCTGAACAACATCATCAGGAGACAAACCAAAAAGTACACTCATTAACCATGAAGTACATGAAGTGGCAGATTAAGTTAGTTGACAGCAGTAGTTTCTTCAGTTAAAAAACTGAGAACAGTTTTACCTCTTCCGGATCAAGCAGTGAGGTCTCCCATAGCAATCCAACCATTCCTCGCATCCCACCAATTACCTTTCAGTTCAAGTGCACAAAAGAAAGAAATCACCTCCAGACGTCAGGAAAACTAAAAAAAAAAGCCACAAACTAATTAATGAAAGAACCTAGAATCTCCATCTCAAACAAGAAAAGAAAGAGCCTAATAGGAGCATTTACCATGTCAGTGGTGATGTTTCCCAACTGAACTTTTGATAGAAACCCAATTTCCGGGTTTATTCATAATTATCATAATTACTATAATTAGGATATTATTAGATATGGTAGTAGTCATTGAGTCATATTAGGATAGTCTATTAGGTTTTTCCAGTCTTTCGTTATAAATATGTACTTTGCGTTTTATTCAGAATCAGTCAAGAAGAATATTAAGAAACCCTCTCCTAAACCCTATTCTCCCAATCCTCTCAATTCTCGTTCCCAATCCCTCTAAAGGCCTAGGCCGATTCTCTATCTTTCTCTTCTCAAAACCCTAATTCTGTTCTTAATCCCTAAATCTCCAATTCTCGATAGAACCCTAATCTCAGGTTCTATCATTTGGTATCAGAGCCCTCATGAGTCCTTCGAAACTCACTGATCCAGCATGGGCTCGTACGAAGCAACTGATAGAGTTCACGTTATCTGAACTCAAGCGTGAGGCTCAGGAACGCGGGTGGACAGCAGCAACAGCGGAAGAGGCGGCCGATCCGTCCGCGGTGGTCCCCGTACCGTTGGGCCCGACGCGGTGCGCGAGAGGGACGGCGCCCGCGCTGGCGGCAGGAGCGGGCGATGGCCGCGCGGGGGAGGAGGCTGGTGCTAGCGGCCGCGCCAGGGTGGCTGCGGGGTCGGCGGAGATCGGTGCTGGCGGCGGGGCCGCGTAGGCGAGGCGCGGCGGCCAACGACGGCGGGCGACCGCGGGGTCGTGGCTGCAGTGACGGCACGACAAGAGAAGGCGCAACAGCCCGTGGCGGCGGACCGGCTGCGCGAGGCGCAGAGCGCGGCGGTGAAGGGCGCAGAGCGCGGCGGTGAAGGGCGCCGTGGTCGCGGGCTCGGCGAAGGAAGGGGGGTGCGACGGGTTGTCCGGGTCTGCGCTGATCGATGAGGAGAAGGCGGCCGCGGTCGTCGACGGGGGGAGCTCTCGGCGACGGAGGCGGCAGACGTGGTGGCAGCGACGCGGGCGCGTCGCACGGAGGCAAAAAGGTGGCAGGAGCTAGCTTGTACAGGTAGCAGGAGCTTGCTTATACAGAGGACGCAGCTTCAAGGTCATAAAGAGTGGTTGGGTGAAGTTAATTGCTCTGGGAGCCTTTTCCATTCCAAATTGGTCAAATTGATTGATTATTATATTGGAGAAGAACCAAAGTTTCAGGTGTACGAGTTTATGTCTTGGGGGAGCTTGCCTATCCACCTCTTCAGGAGGTACTCACCACTTCTGTGGCTGATCAGGATGCCAATTGCCCTTGGTGCCGTGGAAAGTCTAGTATGCGTACTTGTACGCAATTGGAAACGGAGGAATGTCATTTTTGTTGGAGCTGCTTGTGTTAAGAGTCGGGTTCGAGTGTTGGAACTCAATTGGAAAAAAAGGAAGCGCAAGAAGTGGAGGAGACAATGCACGATCTACACTGGAGATAGGTTTAAGAAATGGGTCGAGTCGGTCAACCTTGAGGACAAGGTTGGTTTGAAAGGGGAGGGGATGATAGAAACCCAATTTCCGGGTTTATTCATAATTATCATAATTACTATAATTAGGATATTATTAGATATGGTAGTAGTCATTGAGTCATATTAGGATAGTCTATTAGGTTTTTCCAGTCTTTCGTTATAAATATGTACTTTGCGTTTTATTCAGAATCAGTCAAGAAGAATATTAAGAACCCTCTCCTAAACCCTATTCTCCCAATCCTCTCAATTCTCGTTCCCAATCCCTCTAAAGGCCTAGGCCGATTCTCTATCTTTCTCTTCTCAAAACCCTAATTCTGTTCTTAATCCCTAAATCCCCAATTCTCGATAGAACCCTAATCTCAAGTTCTATCAACTTTTCCATAATCCGATCTGATCTTTTTGAGGCGCTCCTGCAATCACATTTGACAATCACATCTGAGACCAGGGAGCTCCAACAATTGATTTTTTTCACATTCAAATCATAGAAAAGAGAAACGATCATGTCTTTCATCTAGCTGGTCACAAACAAAACAACCAAGAATGGGAAATGCAACAAACCTGTTGCTCTGGGATCAACTCTTTCAACTGGGAGTGAAGGTCCTACTTCCACACCAAAAAAAAAAAAATCGTCAAACAAGAAATGACCAAATAGATCCGAAACAAAGAGCTCCAGGAGCTTAGATGCATGCACCGCATTTAGCAAGAACCAAAAAAGCGCCAGCACCGTTGAGTTTATAAGCGAAAGGATATCACATTGTCAATCACATTATAAACTGGAATACAAGGAGAAGGAAGAGGAGAGTTACGAGATCAGTGGAGGTCTGCATTTGAAGCCATCTTACGGAGCCGAGATTATTCGGCTGCTGAACCTGACAGTAATCACCCCAGAGAAATATTTAACAATCACACCCTGAACAGTAAGATATAAACAGGAAAAACAACTACAATCAACAGCAAACGGAAAAACTGCTAGCTTACAGTGCGGGAACGGAGAGTGGAAGAAAGACGAGAGAGGCCTCTGAACAGCACCATGGCTGGCTTTCCACGGAAGCTCCAAATTCACTTGAAATAATCACACCTGAAACCGCAGCCATGAACAGAAAGAAACCATCTCAATCTCGACTAACAAAATCAATATAGAGTGATACCATACCGGAGAAACCAAATCAAATCAAGAGAAGAACGGCAAAAAATCACACAATCAAGCGTCCAGCTGAGCAAACAGCGGATCTCAAATCGGAGAAGATGAAATTACCTTGTTCAGCGGTGAGCGGAAGAAGCTTTCGGAAGCCGAAGGAGGAATAATATGGGCGGGGGAGGAAAAGGTCGGAAGGATTCCGAGGGAAAGGGAGAGAGAAGCGGGTCGGGGAAGAACTCTCTTCTTCTGAGTAGCGGTGTGTTTCTTTCAGCGAGCGAACTTTGGGACAGGAAAGGGAAAATTAGAACCCGCGAGAAAAAAGGGGAAGAAAAGAAAAAAGAAAAATCAAACCAACTTTTTTTTTTCATATTCCGTCGTCGTCGGTCGGCTCGTCTGAAAGGTCAGAGAAGCCGGGTCGGTAATGCATCCATAATACGGTGTCATTTTTAATAAACGATAGAACACTCAAAATAAAAATTTCCGTTGCCGGGACTTGAACCCGGGTCTTTCGGGTGAGAGCCAAATATCCTGACCAACTAGACTACAACGGATTGGTGTTATTATTTCGTAATATACATTTATTATTGTTTTTTTTATTCTGGGAGGTTCAGTCGTCCATCAATCGAAATGGGACGGGGTACAGCTTAGAAGGCAGAAGAGTAAATGATGCTTTGTGCAACAAGTTTTATTTTGATCATCAACAGTTAGAAACAAAGTAACAAGCTGAGGCTCCCAACAAAAGAAACACAACTAGGCAACGACTAAGACTTCGAGAGCTTTTTGAACAACTCTCGTTCTATGGAAAGATGCCTATGACTCGAGACTAAACATTCAGTAAACAAGTAAAGCTCTCAAGGACACCTTGGGGGATGATAGAAGTGACAGCAGCCGTGCGGATTGTATCTTCAAGATGCAGCTTGATATTCCCTAAAATCAACAGTGCTCTGTAATGAAAGAGATTTGCAGGTTCACGTTCTCGATTTCTTCCAATCACCTTCACAGCTTTGACATAGAATAGTCCAATGCGTCGACGAGGAAGTCTATGCATACACAAAAAGGGGGAGAAAACAGTCATTGCATGCAAGGCTTTGATATTGGTCATATAGACATGAATCAGTGATCAGGTTGTCAGTCTTGTTAGATAGAGAGAGAGAGAGAGAGAGAGAGAGAGAGGAAGGGAATTACCAGCATCATCTTTGGAGAAACACATAGGTGGTTTTATTCGAAAGACGTTTCCGTGGAGCCCTCCTTTCCCAACTAGAATACCGAGCTCTGCAGATGGCTGGGATAAATGACGAGTAGCTAATAAACCAGATTGAAGAGAACTACTAGCAATGTGCTCTATTAGTTTATCTCGGAGCTGCTCGAATAAGACTGCTGTTTCAGCTTTGGCAGGGGTCTTCTCCTTCCTGTCAGTCACTAGCTCTACACCCACCATCAACCCTCTGCCTCTAACATCTCCAATGACTGAAACCAAATTGGACATTTAACTACAAGATTCATTCATCCCTTAACGACCAAGAATCCATTACCAAAGGTAAGGAAGAAATAAGAAGTTTCATCTTATTCTCAGAATATCTAAATGTATCAATTCATATTTGCCTGCTTGGCCATTTATGCAGCAAATGGAAGACCAACGGCTAGATGAGAGCTTCTCATGGAGCTTTTCTCATGGATTAATACCCTAGGGATATCAGGAGGAGATGTTACAAGCCAAGCAGACACTTTTCATAACGTTGTATGTGGTTTGGTTATAGAGCCACCATCGGCTGTGCATTAGCAAAACATCTGATATGCAAGCACAGAATTTAATCTTCACATGGGATGAAAGTAAAGTTGGAAAGAAAATTACTTTCATATTTTTCCTTTAGATCTCTCAAACGTCCAATTAGGTGAGTGCCAACTTGGGCACAATGTTGTTGACGCTTCTCTTTGTCAAGAACTCTCAAGACAGCAAGTCCACCAGCAGAGCAAACCGGGTTGCCACCAAAAGTGTTGAACTGGATTTTCTGAGACATCACACTAGCTATTTATGGTGTTGTCACCACTGCTCCTAGTGGTAAACCATTGCCAATGCCCTGAGATGAATTACACGGTAAAAAAAATAGGGCACCATTGAAAGAACAGCGCTGACAATTTAGTGAAGAATCTCTTTTGAATTTGGTTACCTTTGCCATTGTAACTATGTCAGGGATGACACCTTGTGTTTCGAATCCCCAATAGTGGCTTCCTGTTCGTCCAAACCCGGTTTGAACTTCATCAGCAATACATACCCCACCAGCCTTTCGAACAGTATCATATACCGTCTTCAAGTACCTGGGGGCCAATTCAACTGCTCCTCCAACTCCCTACATTCGGCAATTTCTCGCACAAGCTAAGTCAATAATTTGATACATACTACTTTAGTATCTCAACTCATGTAAGCCACGAGTACCAACCTGAATTGTCTCGGCTATAAATCCCGCAACTCTTCCTGAAGTGCCATAAGCAATGTGGTCTTCTACATCTTTGGCATAACCAGCCGCATCAGAGCCAAAGATCCCTCGGTATGGATCGGGGTTCATGACATGATGGATTTCACCCTGCAGCAAGATGATCATTTAACTACTAAGCAACTATCAAATTATAGAGCTTGGAATTAAAGCTGAAGCGTTCAGAAGTTCTAGCTGAAACTACCTGTGGTATGGGGTACTTCCATGTGTTCAGAGCCGTAAGGCCAATAGTATTCGAGCTTCCACCATGATAACCATTTCTCAAAGATATCATTTCAAGATTACCAGTGTACAACCTAGCCATCATCATCGCCAGTTCATTTGCCTCGGACCCAGAATTCACAAAATACACAACCTGAATGCAGCCATTACAAAATCAATTTCACAGCAAAGCCAAAACCATCATCACTCTAACTACTACATATCAACTAGTTAATCAAAACCCATTTGCAGGAACCACAATCAGACCATAACCATTCAGAGAAATTAATGAGAAAGTAAAGAACCTTAAGGTTGCCGGGCATCTTCTCCGCCAAACCCTCGGCAAAATCAGCAATCGCGTGGTGCAGGTAAATGGTGGTCGCATGCTGCAGAAGCTCACTCTGCTCAACAATGTCTTTCAAAATCTCCGGGTGGCAATGGCCAGCAGAAACAGTCACGATCCCGGCGAAAGCATCCAAATAGCGCTTCCCATTCTCATCAAACAGATATTGCATCTTGCCCTCCACTATATTCAACTAGAGAAAAAGATACAAAGAAACAAACACGCAATCCACTCAGCAAAAACCCAACGAGGGGGGAAATAGGAAAAATCGAGATGATTTCTGGACGAGACCTTACAGGTTTCTGATAGTAGTAGAACAGAGAAGGACCCAGATAAGTCTTGCGCTTCTGGAGCACTTCCTCGGCGGAAGGACCCTTGTAGGGCTTGGGCCGGTGATCGAACGGCGGGAGCTGCGGCGGCGCGTCGGCGGTGGCCGCGGAAAGGGAAGGAGACGCGGTGGAAAAGCAGCGGCCGCCGGCGCGAGCGAGTTGTGCGAAGCTGTTTCATTTGGCATTTTGCAAAGTAGCCCTGATGATTTGCCTGCGGAACGCCATTGTTTGACGTCGAGATTCGAACGGAGAGAGAGAGAGTGTGTGTGTGGAGAAGTGGGGGAGAGTTGGTGGAGATTATGGAGAAAGGGATAGGGATTGAGCGTGGCAGCACGAAGGGAAGTAGTTAGTTCGGAGAAATGATAGAGTGAGCTGACATGGAACGAAAATGGCGTCTTCGAAAAGGTTAAGACGATGGAAACAAGCAAACGTTACGTTTTCTGATTCTCCTCGGCCCTCGCTTTGTAATCGAGCGATAAAAAAGATCCCCCCATCAACTTTCCTTTTCATACCCGTTTTAATTGAGAACTCTAAAATTTCGCACAATATTAGATTTAATTATATTCTATTAAATAACGCTTGTTTTGATATATTTAGAGAAACAATATTAATCAGAGAATTTTTTTTATGACCGTATATTATATTGATATGAAAATGAATTATGATAGTATGAATATATCATAGTAGAATGGTGGATATAGATGAAGTGAAGTAAAAAAAAAAAAAAAAAAAAAGAGATGTGATACACTCTCTCCTCTCTCTTCGTGTGGCTGTCCGCTGTCGAATGCAAGTTGATTAGGGTTTCGACGTAGCATACCCAAGGCCTGGCAAGGAGGCTATTGTCCTGGGTGGTACTCCCTTCTCGATCTGGAGAAGGTGAGGTGAACAAGGATTCATTCAGATGGGCTCCTATAGGAGGAGGCCCGAGATTAAATCGGCGAATGGGGCAAATTGATTTGCTCGCCCGATATATCCAAATTCGAAAATCGGGGAAGATAGACCCGAATCGGGAGACCGTCCAGAGTACGGTTCTCCGCTTGGCTCCAGAGTGGAGTTATATAGTGTCCTATATGAGATTTGTAGAGCCACCAACGAAAGCGCGGTGTCTACAATGGTGGAAACTTTATCGGCGACCGGAGAATATTCAATCTCGGCAGCGATACTTGATAGCAACTGTGGAAGCAGACCACTATGGTGACGATTGGAGAATCGATGGATGCGACTCCTCCCATGGTGGAGGGTACCAAGATGCAGGAGACACCTGTGTTGGATGAAGCGATGGAGACAACATCACCCACAGTAGAGGCGACAGGGAGGAAGGAGTCTGATGATGGGGATTCAGCTCAGGAGGTGATGGTGAAGGTTGATGAGGTAGCAGCTGGGATTCAGGCCCTAGCTATGGATCAAGTCGTGGAATTCACCATGGAGGATGTGGCTGCTGGTGTTCAATGGGCAAAGATGAGTCTCCTGGGAAGGCTATTCATGGAGAATCCTCCAAGCTGATCAGTAAGGCTGTGAATGGTGAATGGAGCTGCGCGGTGGAAGTCAGAGTTCTGGCAGCAGAACAGGGATTGTTTCAATTTTTCTTTGCGGATGAGGCTGATCGTGACTGGGTGCTGCAAAGATCTCCTTGGACAGTCAAGGAGAGGGTGTTACACTTGAAACCATGGTGTTAGATAACCAAAGCGGTGGTTGATTCTTTCATCTTGGTCCCCTTTTGGGTCCAGATGTGGGGAATTCCTAACCATTATCGTACAGTGGCTTTTGGGAAGCGAGTAGCTGGAACTAAGATTGGAAGGGTCTTGGAGGCTGGGGCATTCGCGATTCAAGGGATCCCTGGTCACTTTATCAAGACGAAGGTGTTTTTGGATGTAACTCAACCTTTGTGCTCTCAAGTGTATGTGAGCAACCCTCTTGCTGGTGAATTTTGGGTAACCCTCGTCTATGAATTCCTTCCCCTACTTTGCTACCATTGTGGGAGGTTAGGGCACACGACACCCAACTGTGCATATCCTGACCCGGTTGGCATTGAACATTACGGCCCTGAGCTGAGCACGGAGATTATTGGGTATCGCGTGGAGGAATCTGCATTTGTGCCTCTGCTGCTACGCCAACCGACTCAGTCGTCTGTTTGGGTGAATCCTCACATTGGGGGAACTACTTCAGGTGGTGGGAAGCCAAAGAGAGATCGTGATGTGGAGGAGATGTCTACTGATGAAGCTGGTAATCCAGTGGTCCTTGCTCTGCCGGCAAAGGGCCCTGTGGAACATGTTCAAGGGATCAAGGGGACCCAAATGGCGAAAGAGAGTAATCTGGGTGTTGCATCGAGCTCAGGTGGACATGGAGGGGCTGGTAACGCCCATCGTGGGACATACTCGAAGATGAAGGGGAAAGGTGGGTATGGACAGCAGCAGCAACACCCTAGGGGGAAGGTGAATCTCGAGCGGACTCGTCCACAGTACTGGCGTGGGGGAGACTCGGGCAGTGAGACTGGGTACAGGGGCGATGATACCTTTGGTCCGCCAGCTCCAAAACAGCAGAAGCAGAAAGGGGAGCTAAGAAGGCCTCATAGCCGCCAGTCAAATGAACCTGGGGTGCAGCTAGCAGCAGCAGGTGCTGTGAAGAAGAAGGGGAATGAAGTTTTCCGTATGGTGGCTCCAGATCCTTTGGAGATAGATGAAAGGAAGAGGGCAGCGGGGGAGGTTGCAGGGCTGCAATTTGATCCTACCCCCTGTTAAGAAGAAATGTGTGCAGAATGAGGTGGAGGAAACCAGCCAAAAGTGGTCCCAGATGGATAAATGAAGCTGCTTGCTTGGAACGTTAGAGGTATCGGGCCGTCTCTAACGTTTCAATCGTTATGTGGTCTGTGTCGGTCGAATAAGCCAGATGTCGTTTTCCTTTCGGAAACGAAGTCGTGTAGGCGAGTAGTTACTCGGCGGATGCGGGGTTTAGGTTTTCAAAAACTTTTTCTTGTTGATGCGTTAAATGCGTCGGGAGGGCTTGCTTTGGCTTGGGATATTGATGTCGATCTTCATGTCTTGGAGCATGACTCCTTTTTTGTGTCTTTTGGTGTTGGTAATGAAAGAGATCATTTGAATTATGTGTGCGTGTGTGTTTATTTCTCTGCTGATTTGGATGTGCGTTCGCAGCAGGTGGAGTGGCTAAGGTTGTATTGTTTACAACTAAATGTGCCATATATTGTGTGTGGAGACATGAATTGTGTCCTAGATGCAAGTGAGAAGTCGGGTGGATTGCCTTGGGATCCATCCAAGTCTGCAAGTGTAAGGGATTTTATGAATACCCTTACGTTGGAGGACGTGGGTTTCATGGGACCGCAATTCACTTGGACGAATAGACGTATGGGGCCGGAGTGTATTATGGAGAGACTGGATCGAGTTCTGGTCTCTCCTAGATGGATAGATCATTTCCCGCAAACGGTGGTGAAGCATTGTACTGATCTAGGGTCAGATCATAGAGCGTTATTGCTGGCGGACAAACCATTTACCAGAATTTCTAAATCTTTGTTTAGGTTTGATTCGAGGTGGGTGGATAACCCGTAGACAAGGCTCCTGGTCAAGTATGTGTGGAACCAATCGTATATTGGGTCTCCCATGTTCATACTTTGGCAGCGGCTGAAAGCTCTTCGCCATCTGCTTTATGACTGGAGTAGGGCGGGAACGACTAACTCGGCTAGGAATATTCGAATTCTTTATACTGAGATTGAGGCCTTAAAGGCTGGTAATGTGGTGGACTGGGAGCACATTGGTGAATTTGAAAATGAATTATCTCGACAATGGGAGTCGGAGGAAGAGTTTTGGAAGCATAAGTCGTCGGTCCGATGGCTGAAGAAAGGAGATCAGAATTCCTCGTACTTCCATACACTCACTTGAACAAGACGTCGACGTAACTTCATTAAGGGATTACGTGACAATAATGGTGTCTGGGTGACTGATGATGTTCAAAAGGGAGGGATTGCTGGGGATTTCTATGCTTTCTTGTTTTCATCAGAGAGGCAAACGATGGATTTTCCAACCAGGGTGGCGGAGCTGCCGGTGCCTCAGTGTGTATCCGAGGAGATGAACCGGAATCTGACAACTGAGGTGACTGCGGCTGAGATACGGAGAGCGGTGTTGTCGATTGGGGTGACCGAAGCACCGGGGTCGGATGGGTTCACTGAGCACTTCTACCGGACATACTGGGATATCGCGGGGATGGAGGTGGTGGAGGCAGTGCAGTCCTTTTTCCGATCAGGGAGACTTTTGAAGAGCTTCAATCATACCTGGTTGACGTTGGTTCTTAAGGTGGATGTCGTGGAGTCTATGAAGCAGATTAGACCAATTAGCCTTTGTCAGTTGTTCTACAAGATTATTTCGAAAATCATGACGGAGCGGATGGCCATTATTTTGCCTCCATTATCTCACCGGAGTAGAATGGGTTTATTCGTGGCCGCCAGATTGTAGATAATGTGCTAATTGGACACGACGTCATGCATTATCTTAAGATCAAAAAGCGGGGGAAAAAAGGCTACCTAGCTCTGAAGGTCGACATGGAAAAGGCCTATGATAGAGTAGAGTGGGATTTCTTGTTCGCTATAATGACTAAGATGGGGTTCAATGATCAATGGATTGGATAGGTGCGAAAATGTGTTTCGACAGCTACATTCTCGGTGATGATGAATGGTACACCAGCTTGTTACTTTGGCTCGACGAGAGGCCTTCGACAAGGAGATCTGTTGTCTCCTTTGTTGTTTGCTATATGTTCTGAGGGGCTTGCGGCTTTACTGCGCCTGGCGATTGAGAGGAAGAGGTTAGCAGGGATTAAGGTAAATCCACGGTGTCCGAGTATCTCTCATTTATTTTTTGCCGATGACTCGTACTTGTTTTTGAGGGCTTCTAGGGAGGAGTGTGTGATGTTGGTTCAGCTACTACAGTCATACCAAGACCTGAGTGGTCAGAAGGTAAATTTGATCAAGTCGGTTGTGTGTTTTAGTGGTAATGTGGTGGCTAGGGAGGCAGAGGAGATGGCGGGTATCCTTGGAGTAGGAGCTATTGGAGTCCAGGATAAGTACCTGGGTCTCCCTTCTTTGGTTCAACGTTCTAAGGTGGAGACTTTTTCGTATCTGGAGGAACGATTGCTGTCAAAGCTTCAGGGGTGGAAGCAAAGGCAGTTGTCTTGGGCAGCGAAGGAAGTTCTTCTTAAGGCGATGGTTGCGGCGCTGCCTATCTACGTTATGTCATGCTTTCTCTTGTCGGTAACCTTATGTCGAAAGCTGGATAGGTGCATGGATAGATTTTGGTGGGGCTATACAGATGAGAAGGACAAAGCGCATTGGGTGTCTTGGAGAAATTTGTGTCGGAGTAAGTTCGATGGCGGTCTTGGGTTCCGACGATTCAAGACCTTTAACCAAGCTTTGCTGGCAAAGGTGGCTTGGAGAATTTGGCAAGACCCGGACTTTCTGCTGGCTCGCGTCTTGAAGGGCAAGTATTTTGCCAAGTCCGACATACTCCAAGCTCGACGGGGGTCTAGGCCGTCCTGGGGATGGACTAGTGTGCTACATGGACGAGATTTGTTGGTCCAAGGGTTGGTCTGGCAAATAGGTGATGGTTACTCAGTGCGGATACTGGGTGATCCCTGGGTCCCGGGGTGTGGTCAGGAGGAGATAACGCCATGTTCTGCAGTTCCAAATTTGGCGGAGGCTAAGGTGGAGTCGCTTATGGTCCCTGGATCGGGGAAATGGTGTCTTGAGTGTTTACAACATTGCTTTGCTGATGAGATTATCAAGAGGATATGCACTATTCAGCTCCCAGCCCAGCCGGTTCCAGATAAATTGGTTTGGGCTTGGGAGGGAGATGGTGTCTATTCTGTTAGCTCTGGGTACCATTTAGCGGTTCGTTTAAGTCGCCGATTGCCGGGGTGGAAGAGTGAAGTTTCCTTCTATGACATGGCTTTTTGGAAGAAAGTGTGGGCCTTCCGTATTCCTCCGAAGTTAAAGTTCTTTATGTGGCAGGTTATGAAACGGATTTTGCCAACTATGGAGGCTTTGATTGAGAAGGAGGGGAGGGTACTGGAGGAGGTTGGGGATGCAACAGAGTCTGAGGCTGAACTCTCTCCTAAGTGTCCGGTCTGCTGGGCTCCATGTGAGATGTTGGAGCACATGTTTCTCACTTGCCGGGTCGCCGTTGATCTTTGGAATAGTTCAGGCTTTGCTGGGGAGGTGATCACCCCTGAGGTCACGAATTTTGCCTTGGTCTTACGAAAATTTATTGAGCAGGATTCAGGGACGGAGAGGATTGTCCGCTTTGTAGCCTTACTATGGCGAATTTGGAAGAGTAGGAACTGGGTGGTGTTTGATCATGTACAGTATAGTGTTCCGACCCTAGTTCGACAGTATGAAGCTCAGGTTCGGGAGTGATTGGTATCTATGCAACCGAGTCAGGATCAGTGGATGCCAGGCCAGGTGTCGAGAGGTTTGGCTGAGGTAGGTCGGGTTTTTTCTTTCTCCTGCTTCGTGGATGGGTTGGCTCATATGGTGCGGGTGGACTGGTTGTTCGGGATGCGATGGGCAGGGTTTGTTTTGTTCAGGGGTTTTATTATGTAGGTCTCGTGGATCATTTCATCATCGAGCTTATGGCCTTCCGGAATGCGATTCGGTGGTGCTCTTTGAAGGATCTTGCTGAAGTGAAGTTCTGCGGAGATGCGAAGGTTGTCATTGAGAAGGTTCAAAGGAGGGATGCTCAGGATGTTAAGGGCGGTCGGATTTTTATGCAGATCGAGAATTTGCTTCGTCAGTTTCAAGAGTTTGGTGTTGATTTTGTTGGCAGGAGTAACAATCGGGTAGCTCATGATGTGGCCAGGAAGACCCTTTCCTTGTTACCTGCGAGTGTAGAGAGTTTTGATTTTTCTCGTTGGTTTTGTCTTGGTGTGTAAACTGTGCTATCTTTTGGTCTTGGTAATGCAAGTTATCTATTGGTAAAAAAAAGTGGATATAGATGGTGTGAGGAATATAGCATAGTAGCAAAATGATGATAAATCGATGGTAGACCACAGTGCAATTGGTCCTAAACTTTGTCCCTCAAAAATCAAAATATATTGAAAATGTGTATAAATTTGTAGATCACAATGAACTTATCTATTTTGTTCAAAATTTTACTGGTTAAATGAAGGAGGTAGAGGATGATATAATTGGTCTGAATTTTTTCCTTAAATGTAGAAAAAATAAATATGGATTTGTAGTTTACAATGAATCTGTCTCTTTTGTAAAGTAATTGTACATCTAATTATCATGATCTACTCTACTCAAAATTAAGATCTCATATATACATAATCTAATTGTATATCAACTCTCATGATGAGACACTGCTCAAAAAATCAAAATTCAGGATCATTGTAGACAAATGCATAATTATGCATTTGATCAGTAAAGTTTTGCATGAGTTCCACTTTAGTCACTAAATTATTTTCCTGTATCAAATAGACTACAAATGTATTATACTCATAGTTTAACAAATAAGAGTGTGTACTATACCGTCTATTGATTTCTATTTCTGGTAAATTACGCTAAAAATCCCACTCCAAATCTATCACTAATGGTGGTTCGACCATGCTAAATAACTTCGTCTTGATGTTGCACATGTCATTCACTGTGAAATTATGTGTTCTTCTACCGCATACAATCCGGCTCCATTGATCAATATCGACTCGATTGCATCCCAAATGTCACCTCTAACGTAAAATCAAGAGAAGATATGTGATTTGAGAGTCAAATCAACATTGCATTCAACTAAACTTCATTCTAAGAAATTATAAAAGTACTAAAATTTGAATTTCTCATTTTGTCCTACCAAAATCCTCTACATGGAAATTCATGTCCAAATTCAGAAACCAGCAGGAAAGCCTCCCTTTCTAGGGTCACTAACTCCCACAAGCCTTCCAAAAGCTGTTGTTCCATTGTTGTTTTTCAAGGAGGAACGATGATCTCCCTGAAACTCTTGGACAACCAACTGGGAGATCGTCCCACCAGCAAGCCCTTGTAGGACATGTCCCCTTCTTTCTAGGAATGCCCTTGTTTCAGCAGGAACTTCAAAGTGATCCCTGTAAACCGTGGTCCAGTTCTCGTACGACACCTTGTTGGGTATCAGCTGCCACAGCCACGAAAATCCAAACAACCATTTCAGTAGTTTCATCACCAAGTAAAGAGAAATCAGATTAATCAACCTCGTTAGTTCGTTGGATACGAGCACATCTCAATACCCATATCCGACGAACATCAAGTTACGAGACACGATTGTATCTATGACACTAAAAAGAATGTAATAAAGTAACATACGTTTGAAATAGGTTAAAAACAACGTACAGTCCATCAACTATTAATGTCGCGAACTTATATGTAGTAATATCCGAGCAGTTAGTCACCTAATGGTATCAGAGTACTTAGTCATTTATGACTCTGTGGCACTAAAAAATAAACTAATAAAATAACATTCATTTGAAATAGATTACAGAGCGAACGATTCGATTGTGAATATGGTCGATGGAACTAATGTCGAACTTTATACGTGATATCATAGTATTTAGTGATCGATCACCTGATGGTAGAGTCTTGGAGCCAGGACAGAGGAGAGAGGATCCATTCCTTTCCCAAAGTAATTCAAGAAAACCTCCGTCGTCGCGGCGATGATCATGGCTCCCCCGCTAGCTCCCATCACCGCTCTCAGCTTTCCGTCCTGAACATGTCTCAACAATTCGAGTCAGTTTCTTCGACGTAACATAAACGGTTTCTTCTTATATGATAAAAAAGGATTAACCTTGCGTTTTCAAACCTCAACTAACCTCCAACACAATGGTAGGCGCCATCGATGACAACGGCCTCTTCCCCGGCCGGACGAAATTCGTAGGCGCCGGCGGCGGCACGTCGGCGTTCCCACCGCCGGTACCGTTGTTACTCAGTATGGAGAAATCGTCCATTTCATTGTTCAGCACGATCCCCGTGCTCGGAGACAGGATCCGGGCGCCGAAGTAGTAGTTCACCGTGCTCGTCATCGCCACGGCGTTCCTCTCCCCGTCGACGATCGACACGTGGCTGGTCCCGTGGTCGTCGATCTGGTTCCACCTGCCGGTTTGATCAGCTTTCATTGCGTGGAACGGCGGACGATAAATTAATGGCAGGACGTCATCAATTTGCAAATGTTTTAATTAATTAATTAATTACCTGCCGCCGTAATGATCGGGGCCGAACGTCGTGTTGTCGTAGATCGTCTTCTTTATCTCCGCCGCGAATTTCGGAGAGATCATGTCGGAGAGGACTTGTTCGACGCCGTTGGCGAAATCGGGGTCGCCGAGGTTCATCCTGACGGCGAATGCGTGCTTTAGGGATTCGATCAGCCGGTGGACTCCTAGCGGGCCGGAGATGCCTTTGGGGACTCCGTACTGGGCCAGGATGTTCAGAATCTGCAGCCAACGAGAGAGTCAGTCTCATCATCACGTTACAAACCTGTCGGAGAAAGAACTGAAATGGGAAATCATCGACGAACGCATAAATTTATGTGATTCACTAATACGATTTGTATGAGATAATTTACAGATCCCATATATGAGAGACCCATCTCCAAACCCTCAAATTCACTATACTTGACATAATTCTTTCTTTAGACGGTATAATCCTAGTTTAACCTAGAAAGAAAAATATTATATACCAGATCCAAATAGTAAAAACAAATTAGTATGAGTTCATACACCGTGGATCGGGGACAATTACCTCCAAATACTTAAAATCGGGTGCTTTATCACCAGATCCTGACTCCAGACCCTCAGAGTCACTATACTCGAGGAGATAACACCTTTCCTTGACGGTCTAACCCTAATCATACCTAGAGAGGAAAAAAGGTTCGGGTCCAAATAGTAAAACAAAATGTGTATGACTCCATATATCATGGATGGAGTTGTACGCTAACCCTAAACCCTCAAACAGAGCGTTTCGTCTCGTCGTCTATACCCTGACCCGACACAAAAAATGCCACATCCACACCTAATGATGCAAAAAGTGCTACCATTTAACAGTGAAATGTTCTTACAAACTCCCATAATGTCAGAACCACATAATCTGTCTTCAAGTCAAAGCAACATATCAAAGATTTGTATATGAAACTCACCATGAACATGGCAGCGCCACCGGACGAAGGAGGAGGCATCCCGATCAGCTTCATCCTCATAATCTCCGCCGAAACCGGCTCCCTAACCCTAACCCTGTACCTCGCCAAATCCTCCACTGTCAAAATCCCACCAAGCCGCTCAACATCTCGAACCAACTCCCGCCCAATCGAGCCATTGTAGAACTCCCTCACACCATTAAACGCAATCTTCGCCAGCGTCACGGCCAGCTTCCTGTTCCGGCAATTCTCTCCCGGACGCTTCAGCCTGCTGCCGGACTCGGTGGCGTACACGCCGGCGAGCCCCCTGTCCGCGAGGATTGATTGTGAGATTTGTGTCATTTGGAAATGAAGGTACTTTGAGAGCTTGTAGCCCTTTCCGGCGAGAAAGACGGACGGCAGGACGAGGCGCTTCCATGGGAGCCGGCCGTGTCGCTTCCAGGCCTCGTACAGGCCGGCGAGCTCCCCTGGCACGGCGATGGAGAGCGGGCCGCTTGATTTCAGGGAAGCGTTGCCGGCGTACATGTTCTGTGTTTTGTAGAAAGAAGAGTGGTGTAAGTGTTAGGCGAGAAAAGTTCGGGTACTTAAATAAAAAATTTACAGTGATTCGGTGCTCACCCCAAATCTAATCGACATTACGACTGAACCAAATTATATCAAATATATCGTGGTCTGATTCTTGTTTTCATTAATTTTTATGAATATTGAAACAAATGACAGTATTGACATTTGAATCGGAATCAATGCACTAATCATCTTTCGAATTATTCTATACTATTGAAAAAAGAGTCATGGTTTGATATGTTTCTGCACTACTGGACCGAACCGTTGTTATCGACACAAGTTTACTAGTGGATTGGGGGGGGGGGGGGGCTGCGCAACGATTTGGTCTGTATCTATCGACCGTGTCGGACCAAACCGATGCTTGAAAATCGAACCGTAATCGATCGAACATAATGCAATCCAATTCTTGGTTCCATTAATTTTATGATACAGAAAAGAAAAATGGAACGTATTGATCGGATCAGATCAAATCGACCTAAATACATTGAAAATACGATCTTCAATCCTAAAAAATACCTGGGAAGCTTTGATCGGAGCAACCTCCCTCATGTCGAAGGCCTGGGCTTCGCCGGAGGCCATTCGGACGATCATGAACGCGCCGCCGCCGATCCCGCTCGACGCCGAGCTGACGACCCCCAGACAGAAGGCCGCCGCCACCGCCGCGTCCACCGCGTTGCCCCCTCGCCGGAGAACGTTCCTCCCGATCCACGAGCACCGCCCGTCGTCCGTCGCCACCACGCCGCGCCTGGCCGCGACTACCCGGTTCCCGAACCTGCCGATCGCCGCCGGCGGAGGACGATCGGCCGGAAGATCCGACGGAGAGGTTAGTGGAAGGAGAACGAGTAACAACAGGGGAACGAGTACAGGGCAATGGCGCCACGGCGGCGATTTGGGCAACATTTTTTTTTTTTTTTAAAAAAAAGCTTACGCTTCTACTCGCTATTGGAGAGCATAAAACTGTGTAAAAAAAAGACTATTAGACTGTAGAGCTCTGCGGCTGCGGCTGCGGCCATTAATGGAAGAAAATCGAGTTCTCAATTCTTAACGACATGGAGAGCCACTTGGCGGATTTTACGGTTGTGCTTTCTTGTTTGCGCAATTTGTGCATCAAGGACAAGAGAAGAGAACAAAATGAGCATTTTTTTTTTTGATAATGATGATGAACTTTATTAAAAGGAAATAACATAACGTACAAGACAGACCCACGAGCAGTAGGCCAAGAAAAACAGAGAGGCAGCAGCAACAAATGCTACAAAACTGACAAAAGCCGAAGAAAAAAAAGAACAGAGACGTGGAGGAGCCCAGAAAAAGATCACCCAACAGTGGCCCCCCAACTCCGGAATCGATCCTGAATGAAGCGCACCCCTTGCTGTTCATCAATCTTCTTATGTGCCACCATCCAGTGGACGATGTTCCTGGTGATTTTCCTGATGACAGTAAAGTGAGGGCAGCAAGATTCCTGGAAAATTCTCTGATTTCTTTCTTTCCAAACAAACCAGCAGATCGCGTGAATGACACATGCTGCAAACCAGATCTCAACGCCTTCAATATTAGGACCATAATGATCAATGATGCTGGTTATGTCTCCTGAAGACAAATCCGGGCAAGTGATGTTTCTGAGCACCTCATCCCACACCCGCCTAGTGTAGGGGCACTCCACCATGATGTGGTTGATCGATTCTTCATTCTTGTAGCAGAGAACACACCGGCTTGCCAGCTGCATACCTCGTTTCTTCAAATTGTCGAGGGTGAGGATCTTCTTATGCCAAACGAGCCACAGAAACCCACAGATCTTTGTAGGGATCATGCTTTTCCAAATGGATTTGTACTTGAAATTCTCGTTCCCATCAAATTTGCCATCCACAAGAAACCTGTAAAACGATCTAACAGAAAACATACAATCTGCATTTGGGTTCCACACCATACGACTAGGACTATTGGTGATTCTGTGAGAATTAGCAATAACTTTTTCTATACAACCCACTCTCTCAAATTCAGCCCCACCCCTTAAAGACACAGAAAATGAAATTTCACACACTAAATCATCACCTGAACGTGAGAAGGAGTCAAGCAGGCTAGCATCCGGATGAGCAGCAGCAGCAGCAGCCCGCGGAAAAGAGCTGGCCAGCAGAAAGCCCGGGATCCAGACATCGTGCCATAAGGAAACTGCAGAGCCAGAGCCTGGTTCAATGGAAGCCCCTTGCCAAAACAACTCACCCACCTTACTAATGTTTGCCCAAACCGAACTGCTAAACCCTTCCACACTCTTTTTAGTTTTCCATTCCGAAACCGTGCTAGCGTATTTCACCCCAATGAGCTGCCTCCACCAGCTATCTCTCTCAGTAGCGTATTTCCACAGCCACTTCCCAAGCAAGGCCATATTAAAACTTTCGAGATCCACCACACCCAGTCCACCCCTCTGTTTTGATGCTTTGCACGTATCCCATCTAATGAGATGAAATTTGCTTTCCTGCTGCCCACCACACCATAAGAACTTCCTTTGGATCTTTTCCATTGTATTCAAGACAGTTTTAGGAGCTTTCAACAGAGAGAAATGGTAGACAGATAAACTATTGAGAATGGATTGGTTCAATACTATCCTGGCACCCAAAGAAAGGAACCTGCTTCTCCACCCCTGCAGCCGATTATGGTATTTGCTAATGACAGGATTCCAAATGGAAATGGAGTTTGGGCGATCCCCCAACGGAAGACCAAGATATTTTGTAGGCTCGCTACTCCAGTTGCACCCAAAAATTGCAGCAAGGAAGCTAGGCTCGGGGACATCTCCCACGGTAAACATCATGGATTTATCGAGATTAATTTTAAGCCCCGTGACCGACTGAAAACAAACCAAAGTAGCGAGTAAGTTAAGAACCTGGTCGGCAGAGGCATCGCAGAAGATTAGGGAGTCATCGGCGAAGAGGAGATGTGTAACCTCACCTCGTCCGCTGTTCTCATCCATGAAGAAGCCAGAAATACCATTCACCCCCCGAAGCTTCGAGATCATGAAAGACAGAACATCCATTACCAATACGAATAGGCCAGGGGAAAGGGGATCGCCTTGCCGAACCCCTTTACTAGCCCGAAAGTAGCCATAAGCTTCCCCGTTAACCAGAACAGACGTCATAGGAGAACAAAGATCCCCTTTAATCCATTGCTGCCATTTATTTGGGAAACCCAATCTCTCCATCACACCGAACATGCATTCCCAACTGACATTATCGAAGACCTTCTCTATATCTAGTTTGAACATAAGTCCCGGCTTCTTACACTTTCTTCTGCTGTCCACCAATTCGTTAGCGATGAGTGTAGCTTCAGAGATGTGTCTTCCGCGAACCGAAGCATGTTGATTATGTGTGACCAGCTTAGGAAGGACAGAACTCAGCCGCTTCATCAAGCATTTTTAGTGTGTGTATTATCGGGGGATCACTTATCCACTCACGACGAGCTGATTTGGATTCTTCTTTTTAACTGGTGTATTTGTAAAAACCATGTGTGGTTCAGTTCAGCGTATTCGTAAAGACGATTGAAAAAAAAAAAGAATACAAAAGTTTGTGAAATCATATTGGCGGTCAATCGGAAAAACATTTTATTGGAGGCTAAAATGTTAGTTTTTAGCATTATGAAACGGTTTACCCATTATTAAACTACGGTTTCAGCACACAATATATTATCGTTGACTTTTTCGGGAAATCCACTGATCCGTCATGTAAGAAGATTTGGGGTGGCCATTGGCGCTGGGGTGAATGATTTGCAATCCGCCACCACCCATCCAAATAATTGCGAATATAAGGTTTATCGATCCATACTCAACCCATATTAATCACTCACTTACAGTGATTTCGTTATTTATGAGTGTATCGATATTAAACCGCGATTTAACCATCCAATATGCCACCCATAAATAGATAGTCCATTATCTATTTTGTACCTCAAGAAGCGGCCACCGATTGTGTCATTTTTGCTCTTCGATTCAATTGGTTAAAATGATACAGTAAAGTCGGGTAAGATCCTGCTGAAGGAATAGAAGTTGCACGTAAATATGTTGATAACGCATGAGAAGATGTTAATAATCTAATTTAACAGAGACATAACTAGGAATTAAAAAAATGTTAATAATGAAGAAAATTATTATATAATTGTTGTAAATAACACAAGACCAAAATTAATAGTTCCAATCACAATCGTTAATAGTTAACTGGAGACTTATTATTAACTCAAATACCGACATAACAACATTTTCTCTTGTCAAAACATTAACAATGGATGCAGGCGATTTGGCAAGAAAGTGGTGCAACAACAAAAACTATGAAACAAAAATATAAAAACAAAAACAGTAGCATACTAAACGCCGGCATTGACCTTTCCTATCCGCGTAAGGAAATAAATTCCGACCACGATGACCGGCGGACTGGAGGTTCAGCGACCAACAAAACTGGAGACCATTGACAAAAAAAGCAAGTCAGAAATAATAAAAAGGACGACCGCCCCTCTTTCCCGGCGGCGGGTATCTGAAACCACAAACGTCAAATCCTGCATATGTTTCACGGTGAGTATCATAAACGAAAAACAAGCTACGTAAGAGAGAGACCACAAACAAAGGGCTTGCAGCTCTTACCCAACCAGCCTTACCAAGCCTTTTTATTCGAGGGAAGAAAGACGTCGGCGGCAAGATGACCGGACAGTGGCTGGACGGTCACTGAAAGTTTACGCTGGGCAGAAGACGACGAAACTGTAAAAAACAAAAAACAAAAACCCTAACCGGCAGCCGTTATGAAATTAGGGTTGACGTTTAGTCTTTTAAATATCAAATTAGGTTAAATATTAAATAAGTTAAATATGTCATTTACCAGCATACCCTTCATTAGTTATTAACTAAAAACTTCTCCTTAACCGCACTATCCACTAACAACCAATAAAATTGACTTAAGCATATGCGGCTTGCGATAATTTGATGAGACCAAGGAACTCGAACGTAGTTAAATATATCTTCACCTTTGTCAAACTAAACTATTTATTGATAGAAGTATTTTTAACGCTGTAAAATAGATTATATTCATATATAATATGCTAATTTAGAGTATTATTATGTATAGTTAAGATTGTAAGATCTTGCTTCTCTGTGATCCAATCACAAATTTCTTCCTTCTTCAAATCAATGATTAATGGTGAAAGGACAAGGTCGATCTTCCATTTGCTACTAATGGATCCCTCTCAGAACTCTAATCCTACTAATGAGAACGTTGATGGTTAATGTCTGAGTAATCTGCACATTGTGATTGTCGGGTATCAATCTTCATCCATATTCCTGCACCTTCTAATAGAAAAATGAAAGTTCCCCTGTATGTGTAAGGTTGTTTCATTGCGAACCTAAGATCACCTTGCCCTAAATAGATGGGAATTGCAATTTCCCTAAACCTATGTCGATTCGCCGCTACTCTTCCTTTTGCTCATATACCAAGTGCATGACTGCAGGTTTTCCGTAGTGCTGGATTACGAAGCTTCAATCACTCACGAAAGCGACATGGCTCAGAGAAGAAGTCGAGCAGTGGAACCTCCTCGAGAAGAAACCTAATGCTCGCTCCTCTTCCACCTCCAGGAAGCGGCGGTTGACTACTGATAAGAAGGAAGTGGAAAGATACTGAATTTGGTGAGCCTGAGCATATACTATCTCATTATATACTCAAAGGAAGGAACCCTTGTTGATCGAATACACTTAATTGATGGACACAGAGGATAAGGGAAAAACCCACACCTAGAAAGAAAAGGACACAGAGAATCGTCATCACCGGTATTAATACGCGAGAAAGGTCGGCCGAAATACACACAACTCGAGGAAGGACGATTCTTTCTCGTCGAAACTCTCCTGGTTATCGACTGTGTTGCTCGTCGCCTGACTCCTTCGTCGTCCTCGCTTTCCTTGTTCCGATGTCCTTCTTTCTCGTCGACAAGAGAGAGATCTTTGTTTTTGGGAGGGGTGGTCTCTGTTGCTCTGGTTCGACGAGAGCAAAAAAGAGAAAGAAAGCCTATGTTCTTGTCGACGTAAAAATCGAAGTAAAAACGAGAGTAAGCCTCTGTTCTTCAGGTAGCACTGTGACAGATCCTCAAACGGTATCAGTGGCGGATTCAGAAAATTTTCACAGGGGTGTCCACTTCAAAAATTAAATTTAATTGTATAATAAATTAAATAATTCGTATATTAAAAATATCATACTTGTATAATTTGTATAAATTTTTTATTAAATAATAAATTAAAATTCATATTTTGAAAAAATAATATAAATAAACTTCGTGTCTGCACTGTTCAAAAAAAATCTACATATCCTACTAGACAATACTTCACGAACTTATCACATATTCGATTCCTAACATTGTTCTTAATGTAGCTCAAAGTAGAAAAGACTCTTTCAACACTTGTCGTGTAACCATAAAATCAATTCAAAATTAAGGGTAGCGTGTACGTAGTTTAATTATTAGGTATTGAAAATAGTTGGGGATAAAGAAATAGTGTTTTGCTGTTGCATGATGTTTAAAATAGAATAACAAATGAGTAGCAACATAATTAGAATATGTTTGAAAATAGTAGTGTCCTAGGTTGACACGGACTACCACTTATATTTTGTTAATCATAAGCAAACTATTATCGAGGGTAGGATAATCATTTTTTCAAATGTTAGGGTGTCCCGGATTACCAATTATATTTTGTATACCATACGAAACTACTACCGAATGTTGGATAATCGTTTCCCCAAATTTTAGGGGTGTCCCGGGACACCCCTAGAGGCCCATGTATCCGCCCCTGAACGGTCTGATCTTTCTGTCTGTCTGCATTCAAGCGTCCAAAATGATTTAAACATATAAATAAGTTAATTAATATAAATTATAAAATAAATCTCTCCGGCCAACGGGCCTGGTAAAAAACTAGTTAAATAGATAAATTTGAATAATTGAAACTCAACTCATACTATGTAAAACCTCATTGAAGATTGTACCGAACAACTTAACAAAATAGGATTTAGTCGTACAATACAAACATGGTTCCACCAAATACCAATATCATATTATTTAGTTGTAATATATTTAACAAAATCATACCAATTTAATATTAGTTGGTATCAAAGCGAGTTATCAACTTAATGGAGTAAAATTGATACCAACCGATACAGATTAGGCTAGTAATATATTTTATACTTTATGTAATATATTTTATACTTTATAGATAGATGATGTTAATGGTGAAAGAAAAAGGAATAATACCCTAGTTTAGCCCGAAGTTTAGCGTAAGTGTCAGTTTTGGCCCAACTTTTCTAATAAGACATTTTTGGCCTACTTTCCAAATTATTGAACAAATTTGGCCTATAAATTTCTTTGACCGTTAATATTGACAGTCAAACACATCAATAAGACGGGCGATGATTAACGGTGAAACGATGCTTAGATTTTTTTTTTTTTTTTTTACAACATGGCTTAGGCTCTAGGAAATTAGGGATTTCTACCCCTTCCTTGTCTTCTGCAATACTAGCTAACCCTTACTCCTCCGGTGGCGCTATCTTGCACCCGCCTGTTTGTCTACCGCGCTGGCGACTGAGAACAGCACCACGGTTTTGGATCAACTGGCTTTTTTACCTCCTCGCGGCTGCAGAAAGAGACGGTCCCGTTCAGAGGTAAATCCTCGTTCTCCGATGATCAGCAAACTCGGAAACGATCTCCTCGCCGAAATTCTGATTCGCCTCCCGAATCCTAGATCTGCCTGCCAGAGCAAAGTCGTCTGCAAGCTGTGGAGATCCCTGATTTCTGATCCCTGCTTCAGTCGTCGTTTCCTTTCTCACCACCAGCGCATGAACAAACCACCTCCTCCTCAACTTCTTCTTCTCTCAGATGACAGGGAATCGGTCGTCCTGAGATTTCTCCCCACACCCGTTGAAGAGGGAGGCTACCGTTCACTGCTTTTCGCAGTTTTCGATTGTTACAAGGACTTGCTTTTATGCGGGTTTGGGGAAGTAGGTGACCGCCATACTAATGCTGAACTTGCCAGATCGTACTTGATCTGCAATCCTTTCACGAAGCAATGGATCGCTCTCCCTTTGGCCCCCGAAAGACCCGTGGGGCTTACGGAATTGTGTGCAAGGTTAGTTTGCGAACCCTTAATTTCTGATAGTCTTGATCTAGGAGGTGGCTAGGTTCCGCGTGGTCTGTATATATCAAGATAGGAATTCCATGAAGCTAGATGTGTTCTCTTCCGACTCTGGAAAATGGAACAAGGAAGCTCTCGTTCTTCAAGGTTGTCGCAGACACCGAATGATTGATGTTGTTTCATGCAATGGGCTTTTATATGTGCCCTATCTTAGAACACAAGACAGATATGTTGGCTTGCCTAAGCCTTTCATTACTGGTTTCAATCCTTTCCGCCTTGATATACCTCCCACTCCTATTGATGTTTCCCCAATCCTTGAGAAATGGTGGTGGTGGAACATCTCGGTTTCGCAAGGTGCTCTGCACTTGATTGTGTTTGAGGACGGCACTAAGCCTGCTAGTTCGAGGATTGTCTTGAGTGTGTGGAGGCTAAATGAAGGCAGTAGTAACTTTTGGAGGAAGGTGTGTGAGGGGTTGGTGAAGCCAAAGGGTGAGTACAGACTGGAGTCCATTTTGTTTCCTACTCTACATCCAGAGAAGCCGCAAACTGTCTTCTTTGCTCTAATTGCTGGTGGTGGTAGGGATTGTCGTGTGTCCTGCGATTTTTACCGGTTGGAGGGTGTTCCAGCCTATGGCCTCTTGCTGGCCTACTCCGATTCCAAGGTACCAGAAGCTGAGAGTTACCTACAATGGAAGCTACAACTATTGGGTTCAGACTCAGAGCAATGAACCAATAGCCCCCTCAATAACTGGTACTTATACTTGTACTTGTGAGAATCTACCTTCTTCTTTGCGTCTTTCCTTGCAGAGTGGTCTAACGAAAACAACTAGGAATGTGTCAAGGTAGTTGCAATCTGCAGAGAGAGCGACAGAGAGGAACCGCACTAAATTTGTTCTCCTTATATTTCTCCTTGTGGCTTGGTATCTAATCACATTTCCCATCTCTTTTCTTTGTTGTGGTTGGTTTTATTTTTCTGAACTAACTAATAGAAGAATGGCAAGGAGTTGAACAATCTGGTAACTGGAAGAAGCCAAAGGTGGCGAATGGCTCATCTTCTCAAGGATAGGATGGACGTTTACTGCACCACATAATTGGCAAATGAAGGAAGACTTCAGTAGATGGGGAACCCCTACTACCGACTTTATGCAAATTTTGGACAACAATATTTTTTTTCTAGGAATATAAGCCTCTTTTTAGTAAACCAATGTTGGGGCTCGGTTTGATAATCTTAATCCCTATATTGCAAATATTTAGCTCGTGTATTTACTAGCCCAAAGGTAGGTGAATATTTAAGGTTTCATCTCCGCGCACCTAGTGTTATGATTATTTGGTTCGCATGTGAATATTAAATCGGCCGAAATGTAGATTTACTATTTCACATAGTTCTTATCATCAATATTTATTACTATGTCATAAGATATGTTAAAATTTTGTCCAAAGATAAAAATATTAATGGATTTCATGATGTTCATTTTATGAAATAAACCTTTATTTAAACAAGACAAGGAAATTATCCAATTTTGGGAAAATTAAACGTTCATCCCTTTTAGACTCATAAAATATAAAGATTGATATGAGGCGTGGCAGTCGGTCGGTTTCGGTTTAACCGAAAACCGAAAACTCGGTTATCGGTTAAACCGAGCCACCCGTATAGCTGCCGACCACCGACCGTGAGAGGTCACGGTTAGCCGGCCAAACCGACCGGTCGGTTTCGGTTTTAGCCTCGGTTAGCTTGCCAACCGGAAAACTAGCTTTTCTAAATAAATAAAAAATTTAAAAATTCTGCACCACTCATCTCACACATTATCTCCTCCACCAGACCACTTCTCTCTACTTTAGGGATGGCAATGGGTCGGGTTGGGGCGGGTTTTGTCAAACCCAAACCCATGGGTTTATCCGCCAAAAAAACCCGGGGTAAAACCCGTTGGGTTTGAAAAACTCAAACCCAACCCAACCCGCTGGGTATCCGCGGGTTCATGGGTACCCGTGGGTTTTTGTGGTAAAAAATTTACAATAACAAGTTTCTTTCAAAATAAAAGTTTAACATCAATTTTCTCATACAAATTAATCATACCAAAAAACACCAATCTAGAGCATACAAGCAAACCGCAAATGATCAATACAAATTGTTCAAAATTAAAGATAAACATCTATAAACAAAAGATTAATTGAAAGCTTCTTCCTTGTCAACTAAGTTTCTTCACTCTCCACTTCATAATATCAACTTAATTCTAAACAATTAGAAAGAACAAGTTATACATGTCTCCACAAACATACATAATATTAATTGTTTAAGGAAAATATATTATTTAGAATATTAAATATACCGGAAAAGTAATTATATGTGTGTGGGCGGGTACCCATGGGTCGGGTTTACTTAAACCCAAACCCAACCCGACCCGGTGAATAGTGTAGCGGGTTTAAACCCGAACCCGGCCCAAAACCCGTCAACACGGATTTTATCCGCGTTGACCGAATCCGTGTTGACCGGATTGGGTCGGGTGGGTACCCGTGGGTTCGGGTTTTGTTGCCATCCCTACTCTTCTTCTTCGATGGTGGCTGCATATGCTCGATCGTCCAGACTGGATGATGCGATGAGAATTTTTGAGCAGATGCCTGATAGGAATACTGTTGCTTGGACTAGCTTGATGGCTGGTTTTGCACAAAATGGCCAGAACTACAGTACATTGGAACTATTTAAGCAAATGCTGGAGGAAGGGGTGGTGCCAAATGCTTTTACTTTTGTTACTCTTTTGGGCACATGTGCAGATTTAGCACTTCTGGAAGGAGGCAAACAGATTCATGGGCACTTATTTAAGTTTTGCAACCGAGAACATTTTGGTAGCATGTATGTAAACAATGCGTTAATGGACATGTACTGCAAATGTGGAGATATGGGATCTTCTAAGTCTTTGTTTGAAGGAATGATTGAGAAGGATGTTGTGTCCTGGAACTCAATGATTACAGGGTTTGCACAAAATGGACTTGCAGATGAATCACTCAGTGTTTTCAGAGAGATGGTTCAGGGCAAGGCAAGGCCTAATCATGTTACATTTCTCGGAGTGTTATCAGCTTGTGGTCATACAGGATCACTCGCTGAAGCCCTTCAGATTCTGGAACAGATGGAGAAGGATTATGGTATTAGCCCAAGATCGGAACACTATGCAGTCTTGATTGATTTATTAGGTAGGAAAAACAGACTGAGTGAAGCAATTGAATTAATTGGAAAAGCACCTGGTCTGACAAACCATGTGGGGATGTGGGGTGCTCTATTAGGTGCTTGCCGGATCCATCCCAATGTTGATCTTGCCATGAAAGCTGCAGAAACTCTGTTTCGCTTGGAACCGAGTAATGCTGCACGATATGTCATGTTAAATAATATTTATATAGCAGCTAATAAATGGAGTGATGCTTGTAGAGTAAGGAGGGCGGCAGAGGAAAAAGGTATAGTGAAAGATGTAGCTTATAGTTGGATTGAGGTGAGGAATGAGAGGCATGAGTTTGTGGCCAAGGATAAAGCTCACAATCAGAGAGGGGAAATATATCAAGTGATTTCTCAACTTCTTGATCATATGATGGGAGCTGGATACCGTTATTGTACAAGTGACTGTTATTTTGTAGGAGGAGATGATGCTGTAGTTTTGTAGGCTGTCTCTTCTCTATCCGCAGAAGAAATACGGCGGATGACATTCATGCTATGCAGCCAGCTCAGCCAATCTGGACTCATGAACAGGTTGATATAACACATCTTGAACCACCCTTCCTGTATCCAGTTATGCTTTTGTTTGCAGCAATCTTGAGTAGTACTTATGAACTTTTTCATGCGAGACAGGAGGAGCTTGTTTTTTGACATGTTCAGTTTTCCTTCCAGGAAGAAAACTTGCAATCTACCTCTTATCATTGCAAAATTTAGATGGTTAATATCGGTGCATTGGATGAGAAAAGGGAAGTTGCTAGGAATATTGGAAATCGTCAATATCATGCCTCTTTTCTGAAGGTGCATGAGCTGAAGTATTTGTGTCTCCATTGGTGATCCCTCTGATGTTTGTGTATCTTTGACTATGGAGGTAATGATGGTATCTTTCTGGCCCTTATTTCAGGTATTTGCTCAAATTATAGTGCTTAAGAGCTACATCAGCAGCTACAGTGGCCTCATTGTCATTCTTCTTTTTCGTTTTTTAGCAATAGTTCTTCTTCTTGATACTCGTTCTATTCACAATTGTTCATGCTACTGTTGCTCTTTATGAATCTCCAGAATAGATATCTGAAGCATAGATTTCTGGCACTGCAGATGTGGTTCTACAGAAACAAGTTAAATTGACCACTTATACAAAGTCAGATCATGGAAGGCTTCTAAACCCTGATTGAGGTGCATTTCTCTGCTGAGAATAGCTTGTTTCATAATCTTGGTGAACCACCATGTCTCCATGATATTAACAGTGGCCAATTCAAGTCTTGTGAGCGTTCAGAATGCAGAGAGTATCCACAGTTTTAAGAACTTTATGCAGTTTTGCACTACAAGGTCTGCTGCTCATGCTACTTTGCAACAAAGCTTTAAAACTCAAGGTACATACTCTACATCTTGGCTGATTACCTTAAAATCATCTCTAATTTCTACCCCAACTCTATGTGTTCCTTCTTCATCATCATGTTGAATGTTTCCCTATTGACTGAATGAAATCTAAAATGCCTTTCAAGTGACACTGATGGATGATTATACGTAAACGGAAATAACTACGACGAGACTCGAGAGCATCCTGGGCCGTACACCTAGAACCTTAGGAGGTCCTTTTCCTCGAGCTTTGTTGATTCCAAAGTAGGCAATCAAAGTCAACAGTGGGGCTATACCTCTCGATTTGAAAGACCTTTTAAACCACATAAAAGATCAGCTCTCCAGCCTATCTTGCTTTCTAACTAAAACTTGTTGACAATTCTCTGGTTCTACTTTTAGCACACGGCAAAGGTTAGGAATTCCAGCAAAATGACCCAAACTTTCTACCTTGAAAATATACCCGTGATCTTTTGTGTCAAGTGCATGCTGTGCTGAGCCAAAGTTGCTAATTACTAGGGCCCCGTTTTGACAATACCTTGGTTAGGCTAATGGGTTATTAGTATATTTGGCAAGGTAAATGGATGCATTAGGTATATATGAAGGTTGTCAAAGCGGTTTCTACCGTTACGCCATGATACAACCAGTTTATATGCCAGTTTTAAGTTTTAACAAAGTATAGGACAAAGTAGGAAAGCATTAACACAAAATGGATTGTCATTTATATAAATCTAAGACAATATATCTATAAGCTCCATCTATATTTAAATAAAATATTACATTACAAACAAAATGACAAATCATCATAATTTAAATGCAACATTTAACATTAATACGAAGACATCACAACCACTCTTTATGTCCTGCATGCACCACAACCCTAAGGAGTCATAAGTATGATGTTTACGTCTACCCTATTCAACAGAATATCCAAATTCAACTAAGAAGTTCATTGTCTACGTAGTAGTTTCTTATAAATGGAGACATATATCTAGAGAAATTATATTACCGAAAGTTCCCGGAAGAAGAGCTTTGTTCTGACCGCGATGACACTTTGTTTTATAGAACCAATAGCTTAACTGTTCCGAGTCTCCAAACTAAACCGACATTCCACGCCAAGAAAAGAAATGTGCCGGAGTTAATCTAATGTTTTATAATATGACAAACAAACAAACAAACAAGTGAAGAACAACGTTGCCGGTTGATCTTTATGCTTTGTATAATTAGAGCTTCGTCTCTGCCATGGGTAGTTAACTAATTTTTTCTATTATTATTACACGGCAACGAGCAACTTAATAATTTAGAACTTAAACTAATCAGATCAGGTCATCACGTAATGCCGGACATTGCATCAGTCTATCCAAAATGTATGTTCGGCCATGACATAATGAATCATCCAATCGACAAATTCTTGTTGATGTTACCTTGTTTTGAATTCATTGGAGTGAAAGCTCTAGGTTGATTTGTCCTCTAGTTATTGGGGGTGATGCAGTTTAACTTGCTGCAATGATTGGTTTAAAATAATTACTTTCTCTCTCTTTTAGAAACAGTAGAGCTATATTGTCTGAGTTGGGGACATGAATAATTTTTGTGATTTGTATGAGTATTATCAGAACCATGCATGTTTTTTATATTGGAAACTTGTATGGGTGGTTGATCCAAAGCATTTAGTCTAGGTTAGAATTGTCTAACCGGTTCTGGTCTTTTGGCTAACCGGTAAAATGGACTTGTTCCTGGTTCAGTGTAAACGACGGTTCTGGTTCGAGTATATGATACCCGGTTGTTGGTTTTCACCAAACGGACTGGGAACACAACCGAGAACCGCAAATTACTTTTTATTTATGTAAGAAAAATCATTAAAACATATGATGAACTAGTTACATCTTAGCGAATTCACGCAAAAACCACGGAGATCTTGGCCATCAAGCTCGATTTGGTTTTGCTGTTTCTGGTAACTGTTAGGGTATTGGGTTGTTTTTTACGACCTTTAGCTTAATGGTTTTGTTGCAGTCTCATCTATGAATCTAAAGAATATATTAAAGGGTTTCTCATTAAGGACTTCACAAATTCAAATTCCCTGTTCCCTCATTCATCCACGTCATCATAATCTATCAACCAATCAAATTCCTTTTAACAAAAAAACCTAACCAAAAAAATATATCCCTCCGTGAACTCTTCCCCGAATTTTTCGGTTCCTGTTTTCCTTTTTTACAATTTTACTGAACCGTTAATTTTCTTTCACTTTTTTTCCTTTGAATGTTTTCTTTTTCTTAAATGCATTTGTTTGTCTTTTAGATATCACAGTTATGTTTGTTACCACTTACCATCTAAAAAAAGTGTTGTTGTATATATTTCATATTTCAATTATACATAATTGACACGGTGTTAATTATAACAAAGGAAATTTAAAATGCGAACAAAAATTTAAAAATAAATTTAGTTATATTTCTTATGCACTAGCAATTTGTAGTATATATTGCATAATATTACCGTCAATTTTGTTTCACTTTTTTCCTTTGCATGTTTTCTTTTTCTTAAATGCATTTGTTTGTCTTTTAGATATCACAGTTATGTTTGTTACCACTTACCATCTAAAAAAGTGTTGTTGTATATATTTCATCTTTCAATCATACATAATTGACACAGTGTTAATTATAACAAAGGAAATTTAAAATGCGAACAAAAATTTAAAAATAAATTTAGTTATATTTCTTATGCACTAGCAATTTGTAGTATATATTGCATAATATTAATAATTTTGAGTATTTTGTGTGAGACTCAGTTCAAATATTGTAGACATTAGCTATTTAGTCTAAATATCGGAAGTAACGGAATGATATATACTATTTAGATATTTATTTTGAATGGTTTTTAGACAAATTTTCATATAGATTATGCACCGAGACTTCATAAAACCCCATTTGAAAATAATTTTTTTAGTAAATTTTTGTCCCCACATGATTCAAAATTGGATGAATGAAAGGTAATGAGTATAGTGACAAACTTTGAAATTTTGTAAGATTATGCTATACATTTAGCCAAGGCCCAAGAGTTAATATCTCTCAATTCCGAATTGAATGTTTTCACTTGAAAATTATCTTATATCGTTCCAATTTCCTAGGTGTCTCTGTAGGAACAGAATTAACTTTGCATGTACGAGTCAACCTCTCAAATCATACATTCGGGTCTTAAATAAATAAAAAATATTATTTAAAATGTATAAAAATAATTAAGTATGACAACAAGTTATTTAATACAAGGGTTATATATTCATAAGATTAATGAGAGTGAACAAAATTCCTTTTCTTTTAAATTAATCAAATATTCCTTAAATGGGTTTTTGGTTTTCAGTTTAACTAGGGCATGAGTTAACCTTCTTGGGTTGGAAGTTGGGAGAAAGATCCAGAAATTAGGCAAAGAGTAGTGATGATTAAGCCAGGCAAATGACAGCAGCAGCTAGACTAGAAATAAATATAATGTGGCCATAGCCCATATGAGCAACTAGATTGTTGACTCAGAATTCTATCGAGGAAAATAGAAAAGGACCATTAATTACTTAATGCATGTACAGGTAGGAGCATTAAAATGTTCCAATCTTTTTTCTTAATGTAATGCTTATTCTATATTCACTTTTGTTCTCTAGCCGTGTAGCCATGTCGTCTTTACAAAACGGCAATGTCTCTATTGACAGAGTTGCCATGGATGGGCAATAAACCGGACCGGATCATTTACCGAATCTGGTGTCTGAATGATGCAGGCCCGGTTCCAATCCTTGCAGTATCATACTTAAAAAGGGTCTTGAAAGGTGAACCACAATGGTAAGCAACGCCTTCTGCTCTCTCCTCTCTCTCTCTCTCTCTCTCTCAAACAATATCAAATACATCACCATGCTTGCTTCTACTGCCACCCGCACACACCTCTCTTCTCTCTGCTCATCTTACCCTCCATACAACGAAGCTTATCTTCGCAGGGAAAATCCGGAATTCGATTTCTGGGCTACAGCCGAAACAAACCGCTCTTTGAGGAGCTTCCTGAGTCGAGGAAGCCATGGAGACGAAGAAGAAGAAGTTGATGACGACCACCACTATGAAGAGCTGGAAGCAGAGTTATGTTTCCCTTTGCAGAAGCACCCGGCACGGAGCAGCTTGTCTAATTTGCAGGCCATAGCCGAAGGCAGGAAGCAGCTGATGGAGCTCGCCGGAGATATGCCGGACTCCAATCTCGAACTCTCCCTCAAAGACATCGTGAACGAATGGAATGTTTCCCCGTCTCGAGCAATAACAGAAGGGGATCATGTGGGGGTCGTTAAAGGTGGAAGCTTTCATTTTGCGACGGAAAAGCAGAGCAGCAGGAGAAACAACAGTATGCAGCAGCAGAAGAAGAACGCGGCCATCAAGCCATTTGTTGTCCCGAGGAACTATAGCGTCGACAAAGGAACCTTCTTGATCAAGATGTTCAGTCCGTCTACTCGCAGCAGCTGGAAAACGAACCTGAAATCTTCGTCGTCGTTGAAAGAAGGCTGTGCCGTCAGAAGCAGCAGCAACAGATGCGGAAGCTCTAGAACTACCAGCAGAAGCAGCAGCTGTAGTAGTAGCGGTTTCAGTTCCAGCAGTACTACCAGGTATCCACCTCTTTTAATCGATATTCATTTAACAAAATTTCATTGCCGATTTCCTCTACATCAGCTTTCTGCGTTTTGCTCCATACAGACTCAGAAGGCAGAGCAGCGTTACCACCACTTCCACTTCCTTCCTTGACTGCTTAACTTGCTTGCCTTCCTTTTGCGCCAGAGGAACGCACAAGAGCAAGCAACGAAGTAGAGAGTGCATGTTTTGAACAGGGAAATCACACTAGAGATCGAACCGGTCTACTGGTAAAAATATCGTTGGCTCTGAATCAACACGAATTGGCAGGTCTTCTCATCAGAAACTTTCCTTGGCTGACAAGTAATTGTAACTCATGCCAACTTCTCTTCTCAAACATTGGCTTGGAATAGGCTCTCATGGTAGAAACTGTTCTTCATCAGGTGTTTTGCTCTAAGGTTCGGAGACTTCCTCGTTCGCGCTTCTCTGTACCATAGCACAGTCGTCGAACTGTGTTCGATTGGTTGGCTAGTTCGATTAGTTGGCTAGCCGGCTGATATGTTGGATGCTCTGTTTTTTCCGTTCTTCTAAACACTGAGTACGACTGAGACAGAGACTGAGACTGGGACTGAGATGTCTTGTTGTTTGGTTGTATTGGCTAAATTGACTAAACTATTGAGACCTGGCCAGGATTAACAAATGGAAGCCTTTGTGGTTTTTCCTGCTTTGAACTACTTTCCTGTAGAATCTTGTAGCAGACCAGGAGCTTGATGGTCTCAGTTTAACCAGAAGACTCTGTCCTGATTGATGTTTTGGGTAATCAGTAGGAGTGGTGGTTCGGTTAAATCAAACATAAAACCATTAGAAATTAGGACCCGAATTCACCAATTCTTCAAAATCGAAATTGACACGGTTAAAAGAACTGAAACGTACAAACCCTTGATGGTTTCGGTCAGAATAAACTAAAAAAGAACCTTCATTTGTGATAAGACTTATCGATTTTTATTGTTTTTGTTAATGATTTTCAGTTTTTAAACGGAACCAAAACTGTTAAGGGTTTATTGGTATTTATAGATAATATTTCTTTGAGCACTTCTACTATTTGACATCTGTATATTCATAAGACATCTATTCGACAATCACATACCCACTACACTTTTAAATGGAAATACAAGCAAGAGCTTTTTCTTTGGCTAGCTTTGCTACTTTGCTGCTACAGACTTTCAAAGGGAAATACAACAATTAGAGAAACCAAACCAAACCATACTTTACCATTCTATGTACCGTAATGACTAAATTGCAAAGTTTATGTGCTAGAACGACCAAACCAGTAAAGTCAAGCGTCGGATTCAAACTTTATCTCCCCAGAAGCCAGAAGTACAGCTGGGCTGATTTGGGAAAGAATTGGCGCTTCAAATTCAAAGTTCAAACAGACAAAACTACTCGAACTGGAAAAAAAAAATGGTCAGCGCGACTCAGTAGCAACTCAGTGCTCTCCATCTTCGCCGTCTTCTCCTCTCATCCTCAGCTTCTCCTCGGTGGCCGATTCGGTGCCGGAACAATCGAATTCTCAGTTCCGGGAATTCGTCCGCTCGTCATTCCGTTGTTGCTGCCATTGTCTGTTTCGCGAATTAGGGTTTCTTCTCTTTCTCTCCCTACGCGGAACCGATTCGAAATCTCTCTTTCTCTCTCTCTCCTCGTCGCTTCATCTCTTGTCGAAAATGCCGAAGCGGAAAGCTAAGAGGAATGTGAAGAAAGCTGTGCCGCCGCCGCAAGAACCTGATGGCGGCAACGAAAGTGCGCTGCCGCGAGCTGAAGAGAGGAAGCCAGAGTCGTCGATTATCCTGGAAGGTTAGAAAATTCGCTTCCCTCCCTTGGTTTTGGCGTTTGTGAAGTTAGTAGTTCTGCTATTTTTATGACGGAGAGCTGTTAGCTACTGGAATTAAGAGTTTGCTTTCGATTCGGATTTGATTTAGAAGAGAGCATTTTACGAGATTTCTACTGCAATTGAAATGCTCCGGGTGTCTATTGAAGGAACAGGGATTGGAATGGCTTTGTTTATAAACTGCCAAATTAATACCTCTCTTAAGCGTGGCTTTTTTTTTCTTTCTTCTTTCATGAAGTTGAGCGGCAGGTTGCAGCAATTAGGGCAATACGTGACATGGAGATCGAACATTCGCTAACTGCTTTGCGTCTGCTACGTTCGAATTTCACTGAGGAGCAACTGGATACCCCTGTGCTTGAGATTTTCAAGGAGAATTTCCCGAACCTGTCAATAGTAAAGAGCAGCGAAGCCGGTCAGTTTGAACTCCAATGGAAAGACAAAGGTGATGATTCTTCTCTGCCCCAAGTAGCTGGTGGAGAAGACGTACATGATTCTCTTCTCCGGGGTTTGTCCATGGCGTATCCTAGCTGCTCTGATGTTCCATCTCTTGGTGCTTTTGAGTTACCTAGCCATACAGGTAATGCCACTTTTTGCAGTCCTTTCTTTTGAATGAATGAATGGAGTATGCTATGCAAGTTCCTTCAATTTGGTTTTGCGTTTAGATTGATTGTATCTGACGTGGTTCTTTTTGTTGAATGGCAGTGACAAAAAGTGTATTTGGTAATGATAGCATGCAGATGGACGACTTTGTAAGTTTTTTTGCAATGCCTACAGTTAATATTCACCATTTTACTGTTTCAATACCATAGTTTGGGAGGTGGAAGGGAATGGGTGCAACTTCGTTCAGTGATTCACTCACTGAAATCCTTGTGTTATCCTAAGCATGGCATGACTTAGTCTAGAACATTGAAGATGGATGATAAACACCCTGAAACTCACACTGACATTGATGTTTATTTTTGGGTAGATCTTGGAGGGTCAATCCAATTTCAATATGCTCTCGATGCAAGATGGTCTCCAAACACCAGGGGTTTGTATCTTCTTTCTTTGTTCCCTTTTGTTCTTTCTGTATTGTCCATGATGGGCACAATGTCTGGCATGTAGTTCAATATTTCTATACATGGGTTCATGTTTAGCATTCTCCAGAAATGTCTGGGGATGCATAATAGTACGTTCGTGCTGATATCTTGTAGATTTAGCAACCGATAGGAATTGAAAATGCCTGTTGGAAAGTATTAACTATTGTATTTTGGAAGGGAAGATCATAAGGCTAGTTTGTTGAAGTTTACCAGAGAAGCCTCAATTTACCTAAAATCTGTCATATTTACTCTTTGTGATCTTCTTTTCTTTTGTCTGGTTGAGGATAGTTCTTTCTGGTGATTAGATTCACCCCAAATATCTAACAATGCTTCATTCTCGATGTTTAGAGAATTATGAGCTCTTTGGAATATTCTCTTGATGTAGTAAATTTTAGGACTTGAAAGCACTGTGCTTTCCAGCAGTTTCTAGGTTATTCAGCCATGTGTGTTAATTGATTTCAAGCTTTCTTGAAGTTCAAAGGAACATCTGTAATTGCTACAGGCTACCAGTCAGAGACTCTCTGTGGGGATGACACCCAAAACCTTAAGACTGCCTAAGCATGGTGAAATGCTTCTCTCGGTTCGTGGCTCGCCCCTTGGGGTCTACAAAGAAGACAACATGGAAGCAATACGAGGTATCCAAGTTATTCAAACAATAACCCCTTCAACTAAGCTAACTAACCTGTGCTTATTAAACAAGTGGCCTTAGGGCATTGAACAGAATTAAGGTCTTTGTCTTACAGTGGTGGATTGCATAGCATCACATACCATTGGCTTCCAGCTTCTTCTATTTTAATAGTTCATAAAACCCCTCTTTCTTCGTCTTGATGTCTGGATCTCTGATTGCAGAATCTGAAGAGGACTGAACTACTACTGCAAGTGTATTTCGATGTTTGGAGCTAAGAATGCTGTGCAATCTCAAGTTTCTAGGCTATATGTACAGAAATTACAATTGATCTCTCCTACTACAACAAAAAAATCTACTTCATCACTCTGTAACGCTAAGGAAGCTCGAGTCATAAATCTGTTTATCTCTGTTAACACGAAGGATCTCGAGTTCGTCCTGCTTCTTCATCAGCCAGCTTCACCTGTGTAACTGCATTTTCTCTTGGTTTTGAATGTTGATGTTGGTAACTTCTCAAGCTATTAACACCTGAACTTGACAGCTTGATTCTAGCATATCAATAACATTGGGAAAAAGACCTATTGTATCCATCTCCTAGTCCACAATATCAACTTCTTGCTGTAAATTGATCTCTTTCTATCGCTTAACGCAAGCTTGCTAAACAGTATGAGGCTGCTGTCTTAAGACTCTTCACAACATTCTGCGAATTCCGTGGTCTCCTATTCGACACTGAATCTTTCTCACAAGTCTGGAGAAGCAATTATGCTCAACTGTGTAGGTCGTTCATGATTTTTATCAAACTGCTGCTTCTTGTCGATTAAGTTAAGAAGAATCAAGGTCCTAATGTCTGGCTTACAACGAAATCATCACATTCAGCCACCTCCAACACTTCCCTTCTCTTAACAACCCTTTGAACACCAAACTTTCAGGCATTTGGCCTTGCTAAATGATATGCTTGAAACTGGGGAGTTCAGTTTGAAACTTTGAATCATCGATGGGTCTACAAAGAGTTGTACTGATGAAAGGAAAACCCTTATATTATTGACTTCACAACCTGGTTCTCTGTTTTCTTGACTCAAAACACAGTGCTGAAAGTCTGAATAGTTCATAGGAAGTTAACCTACGATGCAGGTGTTCTTGCCAACGACCTCTTGCAGTCCTTTCTTTCGGACTAATGAACTTGTATTAAGCAAGTTGCACTCATTATGCAAGTTCTACATCGTATGTACAGAATTGCAATTTGCTCGACTACAACAAAAGAACCTACTTCACCGCTCTATAAAATAACAAAAGCTCACGAGCTGCCACAAAGCCATCACTCGATAAACGTGGAGTGAAGAGCTCAAGTTTTGTCGTCAGCCTGCCTGCTCTTAATCAGCGAGCTTAACCGGTACAAGTTATAGCAGCAACGCTTTGGTCTTGAATCCAAGAGTTGATAACTGCTGAAGCAAGCAACACCTAGCTTGACTAGTTACTCTAGCATAGCAGTTTGGCATCCATCACCTAAACCACAATATCAATATCTTCGATCTCTTTCTTGTCCTCCTTTCGTGGGTGAATGGCTTTCCTTGGACTTGAAGCAAGCTTGCTAAAGTAGGGGCTTGCTGCTGTCTTCAGACTCTTTGTAGCATTCTGCGAATTTGTCGATCTCCTATTAGACTCTGAACCTTCTGCCGAAGACTTGGAGCTTCCCAAAGCATCCAGGAAAAACTTCTTATTTGGGACAACACCATCTCTCTCCATTCTCTTCAGCAATCTCTCCACCAGCTCTTTCTGATTAGCTTTAGTGTATGCCTTATAAAGAAGCTTATACGTTGAAGAATCCGGTCTCACCCCAAGCCCGCCGACATTCTCGAGAAGCAACTGTGCTTCACTGTGCAACTTATTCATGCAGTAAACACTGAGCATTGCATTCAACGTTGACACCCTAATCTCCTTCCCTGACCCAACCATCGAATCGAATATCTCCCGAGCATTAGACATGCAATCACAAAACCCGTACATAGTGATCATACTCTCAAAGGTGATGAAGCTAGGCGTGTACTTCATCTCAACAGTCATATTCTCGAACACAGATTCTGCTCTTTCCCTCTGCCTCGCTTTCCCATAGCTCGTGATCATCGAGTTGAAAGTGGGGAGAGTCGGTTTCTCCTTGGGATGACTCAACAAGCTCTTGAAAACCTGCTCCATCTTAGCAAACTGCTGCTTCCTGCCATATGAATCTATCAGAAGATTGAAGGTTATAATGTCGGGTTTACACCGATCGCTCTTCATCAACGCAAGCAAAGATTCCATCTCAGAAATCATCCCGTTCTTTCCGTATGCATCCATAACGCCATTATACGTATAAACATCAGGCGACACATTGCTGCTCTCAAGCTCTTTCAACAATGCATTGACTTGATCCACCTCTCGAGCTTGAGCACACGCTCGCAAGAGGATGTTGTAGGTAACTACATTCGGCTGGCACCTCTCCAAGCCTTTCATCCTCTCGAAGTAGCCGAGTGCCTTTGCCAGAGCTTTCGCTTTGTCCCTGGAATGGAGATGAGCTGATATCAGTGAATTGTATACTGAAGTATCGGGGCGACATCCGCTGTTGCGCATCTCTGAGAAGAGCCACATTGCCATCCTGATTTGGCCGTGCTTCCCCATGACAGATATCAGCTTGGAGTAGACACCATTATCGGCTACATACCACCTCTGTTTCTGCATCCACCTGAACACCTGAATGTATTAACTCATGAGTGAAGGGTGGCAAAACCTAAGTTGACTCTCCAATATATCCAGTGATCAAGTTAATAACTTTAACATACCCAATCTACTTTAGTTGAACTCATTCCATCTGCAAATGAGATTCTTCTAACCCTAAGAACAATTCTACCGAATCAGTTCGCTAGAAGGATTATCTAATTATCTCATCAACCCAGGGCGAATCCGCCGTAGCAAATTGGTGAAGGAAAGAGCGAATTTCTTACGAACCTCGAGACATTGGAGCCATTTCCCCTTCCTGCCGAGCTCCTCGAACAGCATGAAGCAGTGTTGAGTCCTTACGAGCCTTACGTACTTGTTCAGCGTCTTTGAGAGAGGCTCCTTCTCGGTGAAGCTCCTCACCATGACGCGAACCAGCTCCTCGGCCTCCGCTTTCTCGGCGTCTGGCGAAGGTTTCCTCCGGGGCGGTTTGGTTTTCGCCGTCGAGACGCAGGCGACGACGCGGAACCGGAGCTGCGGCGGCCGCCGCTGGGATTGAATCTCCGGACTGCGAATTGGAGCAAAATGAAGGGCGAATGGGGAAGAATTGAGGGCTGTGATTTGGTGCAGCGCCATTTTCTATCTGCAAGTCTCTGCAAAAACCTCGTAGGCTCTGGAGATAGCGAGTGGTTGATGAAAGGGAGGGAGAGAGAGGACTAAGGAGAGAGATTGAAGATAGAAAATTTGGAAAGATAGGGGATCAAAGTGAAATATTTGGGCTGGGCTGCATTGACGGATTGGGGATGTAAATGACTAAATGTGCAAAATGTGGGGCTCTTTGTAATAACGTGATTCTTTTGGGGTAGAGGTGAAGTTTGGATTGGTAAGATAAAAAGGGAATTGAACCCTACGTGAATCGAACACGCAACCTTCTGATCTGGAGTCAGACGCGCTACCATTGCGCCAAGGATCCACTTGTTGTACGGACTAACAATGAAATATTATTATTTGTTTGTGAAATCTCATAGAAGCACGTCACTTAATTATCTCAGCCCAAGATCTTTACAAGAATGGACAATGATCTGGTCTATATTTGGCCAAATCAAATTGGATTGAAGATATTTCACTTCAATTTCGATTCTATAAATTATCTTTAGTAATCCGGATCGAATGAAGACGAACTAAATGAAGTGACCATACTTTTGGTATGATTTTTGTTCTCAACTTTCCAACCGAATCAACTTGTGCATAATCGATATTCGGCAAAACCGAATCGACTTAAATATATTCCGATTCAATTTGATCTTATAAATTATATCAGTATGAAGGGAATATGAACTTAAGCATACTTTCAATATGATTTCGGTTCTCAATTTCGTTTGATTATAATCAAGTCTTATCTCGATTCGATCCGGTTCTAGAATCAAAGAATGCCCATCCTTGGTGTGGGTGGGTACCAAAGACGACGATTGTTAAGGGAAAACTTAAAAGAGTGGCTCTTCCATTGGCACCAAAATTGCAAAGCCATGAAGGCAGAAATAGTGGACCAAAAAGCCTAACAGAAAGAACAATTCATTTCTTGAAGAAGAACCAACAATCAATCACCTCTAAAGCCTGCAACTAAACTAACAGACCAGCAACAACAAAAAATAAGTCTACAAATCCTAGAATTCCCTTCTCACACCATCTCAAAAATACCAATCAGCAACTGCAACCCCACTCCCACAACTCCCCTCCATTGATGCACATTGCACAACACTGGAACTCATAGCAAATCCCTCCTCGCAGCTCAAAAAAGCTCCAACCTTTCTCTCTTAACTGCTCTTCTCATCTCCCACTGCAGGCTCCTCCTCCTTCTTCTTCCCTTTCTTCGCCGTCACCTGAGAGTACAAAAACGTCCCCAGGATCGCAATCCCGGACCCCAGAGCATTCAATGGCTTCACCGGATTCCTGAAGAACAACACGGTGGCAACAATCACCACCACCCTCTTCATCGTGTTCCCAACAGAGAACGTCAATGGACTGATATCATCAAGCGCCTGGTACGACGACTGGTTGTACAAGTGATAGAAGATCCCAGAACAGAGCACCATTCCATAAAACTCCATCGACCTCCCGCCCACTGCCACAATCGCGTTCTTGTAACCCCCAACCCACTGCGAGCCCTCGACGAGAATCGCGACGGGGAGCAGGTAAACAAACGAGACTAAACTAATCAATCCATACAAATTCAACCCGTCGATTTCTTTGAAATTCTGTAGGCTCTTCTTGGAGTAGATGTTTCTCAGGACGAAGCCGAAGTTGCTGATCATGGCTCCAGAGAGTCCTCCCAAATTGAAGGAGACTTCGGTCACTGCGGCCAATGAGCAGCCGAAGACTATGGGGAGGATCGAGAGCCAGACCTTGAGAGGGTAGATCTCGCCGAGGAAAGACGAGAAGATGACGGAGAAGACGGGCTGGGCGGATTTGATGACGTGGGTGAACGAGACGGCGACTTTGGAGAAGGAGACGCAGGCGGAGATGTGGCCGACGGTGTGGAACAGCGCCGGGCCGAGGAGGGCGAGGAGGAACTCCTTGGAGATTTTGGGGAACCGGCGGTTGATTGACCAGTTGGCCAGCATCCAGATGCAGCCGGTGAAGAGCTGGAACGTGGCGAGGAACCATGGGTAGGGGAAGACGTTTATGGATTTCTTGCTGTAGATGTTGAAGATTACGTTGTGGAAGTACCAGAGCCTGAATACGGTGGCGAGTTTTAGGGTTTGGTTGACGGCAGGTTTGAGATTCGAATCCGGGATTGATGAACCGCTCCCTTCTGCCGCCGCCGCCGATTTGACGGCGAAGCGAGATCTGGGGATAGCTGATTGGTCGGGGAGGAATCAAGATTGGTCGCCATTGGCGGCGGATGCGGAAATGAGAGAAGGGTTTCGGCGGTGGAGTTGGGGGAAAGTGGCGGGGACGGAAAAGAGGCGGCGGTGGGCGGTGGTGGATTTGGGGAAGGCGGTGGGCGGTGGTGGGTGAGTGAGATTCAGTGACATCATGGCTCGTCGATGGTTGGTGGGTGGCGGCGGAGGGAAATTTCCGGCAGAGAAAGGAGGAGAGTTAGAGGCGACGAGAGAAATGGGCAACGGGAGGCGGGAGCTGTTAAGAGTCAGAAAGAGGGACTAATTAGTAATAGTAATTACAGCTGGTTAATTTTGGTTAGTTGGGCCAACAACAAGTTCGACGACCAAGCCCAGTCTGAATCAAGGATTATTGGGCTTCTTTTTTCGGGCTATTGGCCCAATTCACAACAGAACCAGACCGATTCAGCCTTGCTTCTAAAATCTCGACTGCGACGCGAAGCTTCTAACCCCTCTCCCTCCAAAAACCTTCCGAAACAAATGGCGAACGTCGGCGAGAGCTCTTCACCACCTCCGATGTCCAACGACGGAGTGAAGCCCGTCGTCGTTAGGGTTAAGCGGAAGTTGCACCAGTCTATACTCGACGCCTTCTGTCAGTTTCCGCTTCTCTTCTCTTCCACTTACTGGTCTTTAATTTGACGGAGCGGCTCGGTAATGTCGCTGCGGACTTGTTCGAGGAGTTGTGAAGTAATTGGCTTGAGCGGATTCTGGTTTTGCAGGGCTGGAAATCAACGAGCGGCCGTCTAAGCGCGCGACTTTGGATTTGGCGAAGCTCTCGCTTGGCGATTCCGCTAATGGAAACGGTAAATAGTGATTGGGGACCCCAAAATGTTTGGTTGCTTACTAGGGATTACGAAATTTGACCTAAAAGCACTTCCATGGCGTGAACCATAGGAAGTGTATCAGGTTTCTTCGTCTTGCTATGTTGAAATTGGTGGTCTCACGCCATGAAGTGTATCATGGCGTGAACCATAGGAAGTGTAGCAGGAGAAGAATCTAAGACTAGGAAGGTCCTTGTGCAGCACGTTGAAACGATCAGCACCTCGGAATCCACTGTTCGTGTTGTGAAATAGTTTGTGGTTAGTGGAACTCGTCTGTGTTTTCTGCATTTCACAGTTTCTGTAGTCATTGATGCGTTATAGTGCTTGCAAGATCCTTTTGGTGTTGCATATCGGCTACTGCAGGTTAAGTAGCGATTGGTTGTGCATAAAATTGATTCATTTGATTGTTTATCTAGCAAAAATACGGGAAATAGATATCAGGCGATTTGATTCATTGTCTGCATTCTGATCTTGTGCTGGAATTTGAACTTGGAGCATCATAGCTATGTTCAGCTTTCCCATTTTCTGATAATTTAGATGTACCGTAACATGCTTCAGTGTTTTGAATACTGATTCTTTGTCTTTGCAGCCTAACTCTGTTGATGTGGTCGAAGCTAAAACGACAACGGAGGACCGGAAACGGACCTTTAAAAGTGTCAATGTATGGTATCTTTCTCCCTCCCTAGTTATCCACCATAAGTAATATAGCCACGAGTTTTCATTAGTGGTTGCTATATCTGATACTTTCTGCTTTTTTGTGCTAATTTCTGCAGAAACAAGAACAAATTCTTTTGAAATCCAGACAAAGTCAAGAGGTATATTTAGTGAATGGAGTTGGAGCTTGTATTTATATAATGATGGGAGATGGAATAAAATGCCCTTTTTACTAGAATTGGGATGAGAAAAGCCCCTTATATACAAAACAAGGCCTTTGGTAATGACTAATGAACCCATGCCGGTTGGGAATCCTTAAGCTCTTAGTTTGTAAAACCTGAAAGATAGTGCCTTTGCTTTGTTAAGAGTGTTACCTTTCTCTAATTCTTGTTTCATCTTGTTGTACATTGGGCTCTTGGTGTTAGCAAATCGCCAAAAGTGCTCGCTTCCAACAAATATGGAGCAGCCGGAAGGAAACAGAGGAAGAAGTGCATGATATGTGTCATTTCTATGATGTCATTCGAATTGATGCTGAATCCAGTCAGGAGAAGCAGAAAGAGTAAGTATTTTGCTGTTGGAAGTTATTGTGTCTTACGGAGACAAAGTTAACATTAACTAAAGTTAGTTCCTCTGGTTTCAATGCAGGGCTCTGTCTGTGGAGGATCAGAAGCTTCTTTCTAGCTACTTGCCTTTCTTAAAAGAGTTGATTCCAGATGCTGCTGGGGAGATTGAAGCTGAAATCAGTGCTTCCACTTCCCAGGAAGGTAGGATTTCAAGGTTTTTTTGTAGAACAGTTTCATTTTGTAGGAAATATTTTGTCATGCCATAAGCCTGGAGCTTATCTCTATTCTATGTTGCTAACTACTATTTGATCGGTTCGTTTTCCATTTCACTTTACGGCAGACGAGTATGTGTACGACTACTACACGGTGAATGATACCATGGACATAGAACATGAAGACACGCCTTTTCCATTTCCTCTGTAAGTATCGGAAACCAACGGTTTTTGTGTTTGTCGTACGTTTCATTTGCTGACGTGGCGCCTTGGTCTAAGGGTGCAAGTTGAGGATGAGGATTTCTATGATGGACCAGATGACGGATCTGAATGCGACAGTGAAGATTCAAACGGTATTGTTGACTCTTACTCTTTTACTCCGTTAGCTAGATGTTGCTAATTGGTTTGGTCTGGTTAACCAGTGACTAAATCCGGTAGTCCTAACCGATATGATCTTAGTGACCAAAACGGATTGGTGACATTTGAATCTTCACTATTAGTCCCTCCTGCACCTTAGCTCAAAGCATTGTGATGATACTGCTTTCTCATTTCATTCTCCTCGTCGCTTTTTTCCCCAGCTGAAAATCATCTATTTAATGAATATCCCGATGAAAGTTCAGAAGCAGAAGATGAGTCGCAGAGTGAAGATAAAAGTAATGACAACGATGAAGACGATGGAGAAGAAAACGAAGAAGGTGGAATGGAAGATGAAGAGGAAGCTGATGATGACGAGAATCGCAGTTTGCTGAATGGCGAAGCCATGAATTCCGAGGACCAGTATGAAGCCTTCGTTGATAACTACCTTGATGAAGCTTATAGCTTTGCCAACGACGAGCCTGAAAGCGATGACAGCTACAGTGAAAGCGACTAAGAGCTCAGAGAATCTTCCTGTCAAGTGATGCAAAGAATCTTCTGTCATTGGAAATTCCTCAAAACCCAGCGAGACTTGGTAGTATCAGGCTATCAGCAGTTGTTGGGATTGGATTTTTGGTGTATAGCTAATGTGTGCAGTCATTGTTACTAGTTCACCAGCATTCTGCAAGGCATATGTTTGCATAGGGAAAAACACGTTTCTGGTGCAGCTTTGCTCCATAATCGATCCTTCTTTCCCCCCCCCTAACATCTCCAATTCATCATTCTTTTTCATTAACTCCTCATCCTACATCTTTTTCGCGACATCTCGAATACATCCTTTTGTTTTTCTTTCACAGTTTTCGCAGCTTCTCACCCTTCTTCTCCAACTATCGTAGCTCTGTCTCGTACTTTTCACTTACCACCTTCCATCTCCTCTTTTGGCTTTTGTAGCTTTGCATCTCCTCCCTCGGCTTCTCTCAAGTCCTAGCCATGTTTTTCAACTCCTCATACTCCTCGCTAACTACGATTCCAAAAGTTACGAAATGGGGAATGATTGTGTTGAACGTAGTTGGTTATCAAGGGCTTGTTTGCTTGATGGATTTGGTGAAAGATTTGGGTTCATGATAAATTTTGTCCAAAATTCATTGTTTGCTTCAAGTATTTAATGGAATCAAATTCGTGGGACCCATGGACTTTAAGGGTCCAAATTCGTGGGCCCCACGAACTTAAAAATCCAACCTTTTTAGGTGGGAGTTGATCATGGACTTTGAAGTCCATCATTTTTTACTAACCTACCCCTCATATTTTCTTTCTCTTAAGTCTTAATATATGATTGAGGACAATATAGATAAAGTTCACCTCATACATACAAATTTAAATAACAAAATCCATAATGAAAATCATGAAACAAACAATGGTATTTTTCAAATCCATAATGAACCCAAAACCCTCATATTATCCATAATTTATCAAAACTCAAGTTATACCAAAACCTTCATTTTTCAAATCCACGAACCGTAAACACAGCGGGAAAAACGAACAGCTAGCCTCTCCGATTGCCTATAGTAAGTCCCGGTAGAGGAAAGCAAGCTTGAATTCGCCAAACAAATGAATCATGAAGAAAACTGTGTTTGTCTGCATACCAATGTCCCTGGGCATCGGAAACTTGGTAGTGTAACCTCTGTACCCAGCAGTATAGCTTCGGTCCCCGTCGTAATATGCCAACATAATAAGGCCGTCATTCGGATGCAATATCTTCACAAACCACCAGTTGTTGCGGTCGAATGATTCACTGCCCCCACAATATATATTAGTCGCAGGGGGCGACAACCAATCTTTGGTGTCTTCCTCCACCACTCCAACTTGGAAAGTTCCTTGAAGGAACCCACATAAGTCCGCCGCCTTCAAATTATTATCATGGTAGTAGATGTAACTCCCACTAACGTTGCACCAAGTATTTGGTGGCACCGCCCGTCTTCTGCTTTTGTGGTCTGTCTCACCAGTGGTGTACGGTGTCGTAGGTAGCGCCATCCATGATTGCTTCCGACGTTGCTCCAGCTCGTGTCGCGACGACTGTTCCCTCAGCTTTCTCGTTTCGGCAGCGTTCTCTTTCATCGTTTCTTCATGCTCGTTCCTCAGCTTTTCGAGCTCGGTATCCTTTTCGTTGATCAGCCTCTGCAATGCTTCGTCCTTGTTCTTTCTTCGCTCATTTTCGAGCACTTTTGCCATCTCTTCCTCCTTCTTCGTTGTTTTACATGCTTTATCATTCTCAGTCCTTCTCAGAGTTTCTACCTCCTCCCTCAATTTTTTTAGTTCCTCGTTCTGCTCTTTGCTCGGCTTTGCTCCCTCGTCTCTTTCTCTTTTTAATGCCTCCACCTCTTCATCTTTCTCCTTTCTCGCCTTTTCTATCTCTTCTTGCATTTCCTCTCTTAGCTTTCGCACTTCCTCGACCTTCTCCTTCCTCAGCTTTTGCAAGTCGTCGTCGTCGCTCGCCCTTTTGAGCGTATGCTGCACGCCGTCGTTTTTCTTCGTCAACTGCTTTTGCACCTCGTCCTTTTCCTTTCTCGACTTTCGCAGCTCCTCCTCGTGCTTTTCGCTTGCATCCTCCATCTCCTCTTTCAGCTTTCGTATTTCACCATCTTTTTCATCCCTCAGCTTTTCTAGATCTTCTTCCGACTCCCCTCCATTGATGCACATTGCACAACACTGGAACTCATAGCAAATTCCTCCTCGCAGCTCAAAAAAGCTCCAACCTTTCTCTCTTAACTGCTCTTCTCATCTCCCACTGCAGGCTCCTCCTCCTTCTTCTTCCCTTTCTTCGCCGTCACCTGAGAGTACAAAAACGTCCCCAGGATCGCAATCCCGGACCCCAGAGCATTCAATGGCTTCACCGGATTCCTGTAGAACAACACGGTGGCAACAATCACCTCCACCCTCTTCATCGTGTTCCCAACAGAGAACGTCAATGGACTGATATCATCAAGCGCCTGGTACGACGACTGGTTGTACAAGTGATAGAAGATCCCAGAACAGAGCACCATTCCATAAAACTCCATCGACCTCCCGCCCACTGCCACAATCGCGTTCTTGTAACCCCCAACCCACTGCGAGCCCTCGACGAGAATCGCGACGGGGAGCAGGTAAACAAACGAGACTAAACTAATCAATCCATACAAATTCAACCCGTCGATTTCTTTGAAATTCTGCAGGCTCTTCTTGGAGTAGATGTTTCTCAGGACGAAGCCGAAGTTGCTGATCATGGCTCCAGAGAGTCCTCCCAAATTGAAGGAGACTTCGGTGACTGCGGCCAATGAGCAGCCGAAGACTATGGGGAGGATCGAGAGCCATACCTTGAGAGGGTAGATCTCGCCGAGGAAAGACGAGAAGATGACCGAGAAGACGGGCTCGGCGGATTTGATGACGTGGGTGAACGAGATGGCGACTTTAGAGAAGGAGACGCAGGCGGAGATGTGGCCGACGGTGTGGAACAGCGCCGGGCCGAGGAGGGCGAGGAGGAACTCCTTGGAGATTTTGGGGAACCGGCGGTTGATTGACCAGTTGGCCAGCATCCAGATGCAGCCGGTGAAGAGCTGGAACGTGGCGAGGAACCATGGGTAGGGGAAGACGTTTAGGGATTTCTTGTTGTAGATGTTGAAGATTACGTTGTGGAAGTACCAGAGCTCGAATACGGTGGCGAGTTTTAGGGTTTGGTTGACGGCGGGTTTGGGATTCGAATCCGGGATTGATGAACCGCTCCCTTCTGCCGCCGCCGTCGATTTGACGGCGAAGCGAGATCTGGGGATAGCTGATTGGTCGGGGAGGAATCGAGATTGGTCGCCATTGGTGGCGGATGCGGAAATGAGAGAAGGGTTTCGGCGGTGGAGTTGGGGGAAAGTGGCGGGGACGGAAAAGAGGCGGCGGTGGCCGGTGGTGGATTTGGGGGAAGCGGCGGGGGTTGGAGGGTGAGTTAGATTCAGTGACATCATGGCTCGTCGGTGGTTGGTGGGTGGCGGCGGAGGGAAATTTCCAGCAGAGAAAGGAGGAGAGTTAGAGGCGATGAGAGAAATGGGCAACGGGAGGTGGGAGCTGTTAAGAGTCAGAAAGAGGGACTAATTAGTAATAGTAATTACAGCTGGTTAATTTTGGTTAGTTGGGCCAACAACAAGTTCGACGACCAAGCCCAGTCTGAATCAAGGATTATTGGGCTTCTTTTTTCGGGCTATTTGCCCAATTCACAACAGAACCCGACCGATTCAACCCATGGTAAAGGAAACCGGATCGTTCCGGCCGGTTGAACCGGAAATCGGAGTCTGGCCGATACGACAAGCGGTTTGTGGTGAAGAAGTCATCCCGGCCGGTTTTACAGGTAAAACCGGTTCAACTCAGAAAGCCGCCCGGTTTTGGTCTGACCGGGGGTCAGCTAACTGGAACGACACGGCGTCGTTTTGTGGTGAAGGGAAAAAAAAAAAAAAAATCGGCCGAAGCCTCAAAAGCAAATTCCTAAATCTTCTCGCCGCTTCGTCCTCCTTCGTTTGCTGCTGCTGGCGACCTCCCACTTCATTTCAAGCGACGACCAGCCCGGCGATCCTCCCTCCTCTTCCCGACCGGCGTATTCTTCTCGAGCGGCGACCCAGGGCCCGGCGATCCTCCCTCTTCTCGACCGGCGAGGCGGCGACCGGCGACCGGCACGCGACTCCCTCCCCTGCTCAAGGCTGCTCCGCCTCTGTTCCAGGCTGCTCCGCCTCTGTTCCGCCACTACTCCGCCGCTGCTCTGGCACGCGTCTCCGGCACCGGCACGCGACTCCCCCCCTGCTCAAGAAGACACGGCGGCAGCAGGTATGGTTGGACGGCGAACATCTTCCCCCATCTTTGAATGAATCGCAAAATTGGAATGAATATAGGCCAAAGAAGAGACGGAGCAGAACAATGGAGACTAAAGGGAATTAAGAGGTTTTCTTTTGTGGCTTTTTGTGGCTTTGGATTTCTATCGCTTGCAATTGCGTTTGTGTATGGTAGATCAATTGATGGTCCTGGTGCTTTGTGTTTGCATGGTGTGATTGTGAAGTTGTGTTTCAATTGATTGGATGTTTCAATTTAGCAAGTTGATCGGTTGTGGTTGTATGTACTGACTATGCTGGTTTTGGCAACTTGCTGAATGCAATCCTAGATCCAGTCTTGATATTCCTTTGCAATTTTGGCATAGGGGGGCTGCAGTTGCTACTGTGATAACTGGTAGCCCATAAATAACAGTTTTGTGCAGCTATTAGTCCAATCTTGACATTCCTTTGCAATCTATTCTGATTGTGTTTCTGGTTCTCTACAGACTCAGATAAACAACAGTTCACGGTGAAGCATGTGCAGCTATGGAAGGTAGCATATCATATCACATCACCTAAATGGACTCACAACTACTATCTTGCGGCCATCTCTGTCCATTATGCCAAGTAATTCAGCTTACCTCTTTGTTGTTATTTTCGCTACTACAGTCTACATGGATGAACAACTTGCTGTAATTCTCTATTGCTACCTCCTCGTTACTTCTTTTTAAGAGGGTTCTTTGCTAAATTTTTGTGTAGGCACAAAATATGAAATACTGCAAGCTAACTCCATCTCCTGAAATAGTGTTTAGCCAATAATAGAGAAAGGAATTCACAGCAGCAGGTAAGCATTTTGTTTAATGGTTTCACCTTTGGGTTTTCTTTTTCATTTCTCCCTCTCTGCTTTGCCCACCCTTCCGAGAGTTCTCTCTAGAAGGCCAGCTTCAACTGGTGAAGTGCATTACATCAGATGCACATCTAAAAGGAAGTCTAGCCTTTGTCTCACTTGTTTTATTTGATCATATTGAAGTTTGATCACAAGCAAATTAGTAGTCGAACTTGTAGATTTTGAAGAAACCAGTCACTGAAATAGATGTGTGAAATAAGGATTATAAGTTTTTTTGTTTCAATGTCCTTTTTTTGTTTCAAATTAGTCACTGAAGTAGATGGTTTAAGAATGTTGTTTGGTTGTTTTGTACTCGATCCTAAACATGCATTTGAACGATTATGTAGTTAATTCAGTAATGTTGCAGTTTGTTGAATTTTATATTAAATATGCTTATTTAGTTTATTCAGGTTTGTTATCCGGTATATTCCGGTTTTATTCCGGTATTATTCCGAAACGGTATCCCGAATCTGCCGGTACGGTTTTTTAACAAAAAAATATTATTTAATTACAAAAACGATATTTTGCCGGTACACAACGATTGAACCAAGGTAGTACCACAAAATACCCTACTACTGGCAGAGCCGGTATGACTTCCGGTACGGTTTCCTTTACCATGATTCAGCCTTGCCCCTAAAATCGCGACTGCTACGCCAAGCTTCTAAGTTCTAACCCCTCTCCCTCCAAAATCCTTCCGAAACCAATGGCGAACGTCGGCGAGGGCTCTTCGGCACCTCCGATATCGACCGACGGCGTGAAGCCCGTCGTCGTTAGGGTGAAGCGGAAGTTGCACCAGTCTATACTCGACGCCTTCTGTCAGTTCCCGCTTCTCTCCTCTTCCTGTTCTTTTATTTACAGTAGCAGCTCGGTAATCTCGCTGCAGACTTGTTCGAGGAGTTGTAGTAGTAATGGGCTTGAGCGGATTCTGATTGCAGGGCTGGAAATCAATGAGCGTCCGTCTAAGCGCGCGACTTTGGATTTGGCGAAGCTCTCGCTTGGCGATTCCGCTAATGGAAACGGTAATAGTGATTGGCAACCCCAGCATGTTTGGTTGCTTACTAGGGATTACGAAATTTGATCTAAAAGCAGTTCCATGAAGTCAACCATGGTAACGGTCTCATGTTTCTTCGCCTTGCTATGTTGAAATTGGCGGTCTCTTGTTTTTTTGGAGCAGGAGAAGAATCTAAGACTAGGAAGGTCCTTGTGCAGCATGTTGAAACGATCAGCACCTCGGAGTCCACCGTTCGTGTTGTGAAATCGTTTGTGGTTAGTGGAACTCGTCTGTGTTTTGTGTATTTCACAGTTTCTGTAATCATTGATGCGTTATAGTGCTTGCAAGATCCTGTTGTTGTTGTTGTTGTTGCATATTGGCTACTGCGGGTTAAATATGGATTGGTTGTGCATAACATTGAATCATTTGATTGTTTATCGAGCAAGAATTCAGTAAATAGATATTAGGTGATTTGATTGATTGTCTTCATTCTGATCTTGTGCTTGAATTTGAACTTGGAGCATCATAGCTATGTTCAACTTTCCCCTTTTCTGATAATTTAGATGTACGTAACAAGCTTCAGGGTTTGAATACTGATTCTTTGTCTCTGCAGCCTAACTCTGTGGATGTGGTTGAAGCTAAAACAACAACGGAGGACCTGAAACGGACCTTTAAAAGTGTCAATGTATGGTCCCTCTCTTTCCCTCCTATCACTCCACCTTAAGTATTATTGCCGGAAATGTCATTGGTTGCTACATCTGATACTTTCTGCTTTTTTGTACTAATTTCTGCAGAAACAAGAACAAATTCTTTCTAAATCCAGACAAAGTCAAGAGGTATATTTAGTGAATGGAGTTGGAGATTGTGTTTATATAATGGTGTGAGATGCAATTTGATCAGTCCAGTGTCTGATATGAGTTCTGAGTTTATGGGAAAATGATGGAAATAGAATGCCTTTTTTACTTGAACCGGGATAAGAAAGGCCCCTTATATATACACTAAAGAAGGCCCCTGGTAATGACTAATGAACCCATGCCGGTTGGGAACCCTTAAGCTCTTAGTTTGTTAAACATGAAAGATAGTGCCTTTTGCGTTGTTAAGAGTTATTTTTCTCTAATTCTTGTTTCATCTTGCTGTACATTGTGTTCTTGGCATTAGCAAATAGCCAAAAGTGCACGCTTCCAACAAATATGGAGCAGGCGGAAGGAAACAGAGGAAGCAGTGCATGATATGTGTCATTTCTATGATGTCATTCGAATTGATGCCGAATCCAGTCAGGAGAAGCAGAAAGAGTAAGTATCTTGCTGTTGGAAGTTATTGCATCTTACGGAGACAAAGTAAAGGTAAACTAAAGTTAGTTCCTCTGGTTTCAATGCAGAGCTCTGTCTGTGGAGGATCAGAAGCTTCTTTCTAGTTATTTGCCTTTCTTAAAGGAGTTGATTCCGGATGCTGCTGGGGAGATTGAAGCTGAAATCAGTGCTTCCACTTCCCAGGAAGGTAGGATTTCGAGGATTTTTCATAGAACAGTTTCGCTTGTAGGAAATACTTTGCCATGCCATAAGCCTTGAGCTGATCTCTATTTATGCGGCCAATTACTGTTTGATCGGTTTCTTTTTCCATTTCATTTTATGGCAGATGAGTATGTGTATGACTACTACACTGTGAATGATACCATGGACATAGAACACGAAGACACGCCTTTTCCATTTCCTCTGTAAGTATCAGAAACCAACGGTTTTTGTGTTTGTTGTACGTTCATTAGCTGACGTGGCGCCTTGGTCTAAGGGTGCAAGTTGAGGATGAGGATTTCTACGATGGACCAGATGACGAATCTGAATGCGACAGTGAAGATTCAAATGGTATTGTTGACTCCAACTCTTTTACTCCCTTGGCTAGATGTTGCTAACTGGTTTGGTCTGGTTAACCAGTGACTAAAACTGGTAGTCCTAACCGATACGATCTTAGTGACCCAAACCGATTGGTTACGTCACTAGGTTACCATCAATTAGTCCCTCATGCACCTTAGCTCAAAGCATTGTGATGATACTGCTTTCTCATTTCCTTCTCCTCGTCGTTTTTTTTCCCCAGCTGAAAATCATCCATTTAATGAATATCCCGATGAAAGTTCAGAAGCAGAAGACGAGTTGCAGAGTGAAGATAAAAGTGACGACGATGGAGAAGAAAACGAAGAAGGTGGAATGGAAGATGTAGAGGAAGCTGATGATGATGAGAATCGCAGTTTGCTGAATGGTGAAGCCACGAATTCCGAGGACCAGTATGAAGCCTACGTTGATAACTACCTTGATCAAGCTTATAGCTTTGCCAACGACGAACCTGAAAGTGATGACGGCTACAGTGAAAGCGACTAAGAGCTCAGAGAATCTTCCTGTCAAGCGATGCAAAGAATCTTCTGTCATCGGCAATTCCTCAAAACCCAGCGAGACTTGGTAGTATCAGCAGTTGTTGGGATTGGATTTTTGGTGTATAGCTAATGTGTGCAGTCATTGTTACTAGTTCACCAGCATTCTGCAAGGAATATGTTTGCATACGGAAAAACACATTTCTGGTGCAGCTTTGCTCCATAATCGATCCTTCTTTTTCCCCCCCAAACATCTCCAATTCATCATTCTTTTTCATTAACTCCTCATCCTACATCTTTTTCGCGACATCTCGAATACATCCTTTTGTTTTTCTTTCACAGTTTTCGCAGCTTCTCACCCTTCTTCTCCAACTATCGTAGCTCTGTCTCGCACTTTTCACTTACAACCTTCCATCTCCTCTTTTGGCTTTTGTAACTTTGCATCTCCTCCCTCGGCTTCTCTCAAGTCCTAGCCATGTTTTTCAACTCCTCATACTCCTCGCTAACTACGATTCCAAAAGTTACGAAATGAGGAATGATTGTGTTGAACGTAGTTGGTTATCAAGGGCTTGTTTGCTTGATGGATTTGGTGAAGGATTTGGGTTCATGATAGATTTTGTTCAAAATTCATTGTTTGCTTCAAGTATTTAGTGGAATCAAATTCGTGGGACCCATGGACTTTAGGGGTCCAAATCCGTGGGCCCCACGAACTTAAAAATCCCACCTTTTTAGGTGAGATTGATCATGGACTTTGAAGTCTATCATTTTTTACTAACCTACCCCTCATATTTTCTTTCTCCTAATATATGATTGAGGACAATATAGATAAAGTTCACCTCATACATACAAATTTAAATAACAAAATCCATAATGAAAATCATGAAATAAACAATGATATTTTTCAAATCCATAATGAACCCAAAACCCTCATATTATCCATAATTTATCAAAACTCAAGTTATACCAAAACCTTCATTTTTCAAATCCACAAACCCTAAACACAGCGGGAAAAACGAACAGCTAGCCTCTCCGATTGCCTATAGTAAGTCTCGGTAGAGGAAAGCAAGCTTGAATTCGCCAAACAAATGAATCATGAAGAAAACTGTGTTTGTCTGCATACCAATGTCCCTGGGCATCGGAAACTTGGTAGTGTAACCTCTGTACCCAGCAGTATAGCTTCAGTCCCCGTCGTAATATGCCAACATAATAAGGCCGTCATTCGGATGCAATATCTTCACAAACCACCAGTTGTTGCGGTCGAATGATTCACTGCCCCCACAATATATATTAGTCGCGGGGGGCGACAACCAATCTTTGGTGTCTTCCTCCACCACTCCAACTTGGAAAGTTCCTTGAAGGAACCCACATAAGTCCGCCGCCTTCAAATTATTATCATGGTAGTAGATGTAACTCCCACTAACGTTGCACCAAGTATTTGGTGGCACCGCCCGTCTTCTGCTTTTGTGGTCTGTCTCACCAGTGGTGTACGGTGTCGTAGGTAGCGCCATCCATGATTGCTTCTGACGTTGCTCCAGCTCGTGTCGCGACGACTGTTCCCTCAGCTTTCTCGTTTCGGCAGCGTTCTCTTTCATCGTTTCATCATGCTCGTTCCTCAGCTTTTCGAGCTCGGTATCCTTTTCGTTGATCAGCCTCTGCAATGCTTCGTCCTTGTTCTTTCTTCGCTCATTTTCGAGCACTTTTGCCATCTCTTCCTCCTTCTTCGTTGTTTTACATGCTTTATCATTCTCAGTCCTTCTCAGAGTTTCTACCTCCTCCCTCAATTTTTTTAGTTCCTCGTTCTGCTCTTTGCTCGGCTTTGCTCCCTCGTCTCTTTCTCTTTTTAATGCCTCCACCTCTTCATCTTTCTCCTTTCTCGCCTTTTCTATCTCTTCTTGCATTTCCTCTCTTAGCTTTCGCACTTCCTCGACCTTCTCCTTCCCCAGCTTTTGCAAGTCGTCGCTCGCCCTTTTGAGCGTATGCTGCACGTTTTCGTTTTTCTTCAACTGCTTTTGCACCTCGTCCTTTTCCTTTCTCGACTTTCGCAGCTCCTCCTCGTGCTTTTCGCTTGCATCCTCCATCTCCTCTTTTAGCTTTCGTATTTCCCCATCCTTTTCATCCCTCAGCTTTTGTAGATCTTCTTCCGATTCTTCCCTCAGCTTCTCCAGCTCCTCACCCTTCTCTCTTGCGATCCTTTTCAACCCCTCGTATTTCTCTTTGCTCACTCCTTCGGACATCATCGGTTTTGGACGCTTCGCCTCGTCCCTTTGTCTCTTCACCTTTCGTAGCTCCGCGTCTTTCTTTTCAGTCGTCTCTTCCATCTCTTCTCGCAGCTTTTGTAGCTCTTCATCTTTTTCCTGTCTCAATTTTTGTATCTCCTCTTCCATCTCATTGGTTACCTTCTCCATCTCCTCGTCCTTCTTGTTCAACATCCTTTTCAACTCCTCGTACTTCTCTTTACTCACCCCGCCGCCAACTATCGGTTTCTTTGATAATTTCTTCTGTCTTGACACAATGTACTTCAACTCCAAGCGTTGCCAATTGGTGATCCTCACCAAGTCAACACCATGACGAGGCCAACTGAAGAGATCATTCAATCGAAGGTAGTGAGCCCCAAAATCTTTTTGCTCTCCCAACTCAGTCATATCTTGAAAGCAGTATCCTCCAGGGCTCACCATCAAACCCGACTGAGTGAGGTGTTGGGCTAGCTTAGTGAGGGCTTCATGTCCTTCGATCTTCCCATGGCCATCGAAAAACAACAACCCGTCGTAGTACTGCTCTTCCGCCAGATCATCGTCTCCATTATTGTCACCATCGACGATGATGGTGCCAACTTCCTTCCAGTGAGCTTTTCGGATATAGGAAGGGTGAATCGTAGGGTCCCTCAACTCACAGACTCTAATGGTGATTTCATCAAAGGAGTTAACAAAGTGTTTGTCTGACTTGAAATCAAAGAGAACCATGCTAGCTAGTGGGAGCCTATAGGTTAGATAGATAGATATAGATGAGAATTGAGATTGGGTGATATGTTTGTATGGTTTTTGTTTGGGTGGTATATCTTTATATAATGCTAAATGCCTAAATGTGGCCATCTCTCACCATGAACCCACTTAACTTAGATTAATATGTGACTTGTCTAAATAAGTTTCCTGGCAATTGCATTGACTAGGAGCCAATAATTAAGTTTGAGTCATTCTTTTATTTGATGAAGAACACTATGGAGAGTCTTTGTTTAATTATAAGGAGAGTCTTTTGTCTCTTGTATTGATGAATAAATATATAAGAGAGATCGAGTCTTTGTTTAATCATAAGGAGAGTCTTTGTTTAATCATACCATTTTTCTAATTTTGGGAAAATTTTAAAAAACTGTCTAGAATCTAGATTAACAAATAGTATGTTAATCTGTACATACGATTTGTAACCATTTACAGATAACAATAGTGCACACTATACACTATAACTATAGAATTGCTTTGATTTTCAATTAGCTGAAGTGACTAATACTACTAATCCTCACACCTTACACACTTTGCTGGAAAAAAACAAGTTAATCCTGATTCATAATCTAACTAATGATGACTATAAACATTATGGATTTGGATGAATGTATGAAAAATTTGCGGTCGTGATAGGAAGGGGATTACGTATGGTAATTGGCGGACAGAGAAATTATATTGAGGGATATTCTATGATAAATTTTTTTGGAAAAAGTTTTAAAAAATAATATCATGCTAACTAAGAACATGGGGAAAAAATTATTATTTTCAAAAATATCCTGATGCGTTTTCATCTTTCAATAATATCATAGATTACACTCATCGTCTACATTATTCAACAAATACGGTTCAATATATATCACACCGGACAAGCATTCGCAAACTGAATGCCCATTTGTGAATAGCAGAAAAAATCAGCGGGATTATTAATTAATCAAAGTCGTTAAGTATTTATATCATCACATAATTAATCATATATAATATTGAGCACAACCGTATTCTTTTCTCACAAGTTGTGGATTGTGATGTAAGGAAGTTTTCTTTTATCGAATCAAACATATATTAGTCTCAATTATCATGAATAAATAACTTGCATCATAATAATATAACTTTGATTTGGTATCATATGTATAAGGCTCCTTGATCATCATAATATACCTTTGACATACCCAAAATTATTATTTGTGAGGGTAGTATAACATCGATTGAGAAAATCACTCATTTGATCGAGTATGTTGCTAATGGAATCTTTACCTCTTATTTTAGAGGTGCTCTTACGGAGGAGGACGGATGCAAGAAGTAAGTTTAACCTTGATGCGAATGGGTGAAAAATATCTTCTGCTTTATATGATTATCAATTAAGTAAAAGATTATTAATCATTATTTATCCACCCTTGCATCTCCATCCAGCTAGTCTGTTCACTTCTCTCTCTGTCTCTCTTATTTCTTCCTTCCACAAACTCATACTACGCTCGAAAACGCGTTTGCTGATCGATCTCTACTTTCTGAATTGAAATCGAACAGACGAACCATAGCTAATATATACTTTATTGTGGAGATGGTCGTCGGAGATTATGGTTGGAATATTTGCTCTGTTATTGCATAATAATGGCAGTATATAAAGACATCAGCACAAGTGCACAACAACCAACTACATTGATTTCTTCTATCCTTTTGAGTCTTTCATTATTTTGGAATAAATTGAAGCAAACAATAAAAATGGATAAGTATCAATTAGGGAACAACAAACAAACAAAAAAAAACTTGAAATTCTATTTGGTTGTGGAACTTGATTTCAATTGTCGAGACTTTATTACTGGGATTCTTTTGTTCTTCGATAAGTACTACCACGGCGACTATGGTCTCCCACCTTGCGGTTGTCCTCGGATCTAGCAATTCGCTAAAAAGATAAATAAAGGGGCAAAAACCAAATACGAACAATGACGTTATTTTTCTCTCACAAAAAAAAAAGATTATAAAAAGAAAATCATAAAAATTTAACGAAATGAGAGGAAAATGAAGGAAGAACGTAACATTTTGTGTCGATGGTTCTATGACATTATGTTTTTTTTTTCATGGAGAATTAAAAAAATATTCGTTATCTTCATATTCGAACTCGATAAAAAAAAAGATAAATGAGGAAGCAAAAATCAAAGTAAATGAGAAATGAGACAAATATGTATGATGTGTGACGTGTCCACTTCCAAATGAAAGAAAAATAATAAAAGAAATTTTAAAAAGAACCCTTAATAAAAATTGCTACTAAAGTTCATCTAAATTATAAAAAAAATACTCTTAGAACTAGGACTTTTATATGTCAATAAAAGACAGAGAAACAGAAATTTTTAATTCCAAGAGTTATGAAATAAGTATCGATACGTAGTTGTTGGTTCTCTTGTGTGACTAAATAGAAAGAAAGAGTAGGAATGGAAAAGCAAACAATAGGGCTGATTATTTGGTCCTGATTTTGTGGGTTTATCTGAAATCACTGTATAATCCAGACTAGAATCGGATAGCAAACAATTCAATCACATCTTCGGGCTTAGATTTGAGGTAAAAAAATTGTTTAGAATCGGATAAAAAACCGGATAAAATAGCCCAACACCCAAAATTTAACCAACTCCTCACCTTTTGAGGTCTCAGGCCATTTTAATTTCTAAAATCAAAACCGAATTGGGACCGGACTGGATCAAGACAGGATTATATCCAATCCAATCTTTGGTCCTTATATTCCCGAAAAGACTGGACTGAAACCGGATTAATTCGGGTCAATTTAATCGGACCGAACCGTATAGCCACTCCTAGCAAACAAGCAGCAGCATTGTTAGTCCCGATAGAGGAAAGCAAGCCTGTATTCTTCAAACAAACGAATCATGAAGAAATGTGTGTTTGTCCCCATAAAAGCGTTTAAACGGAACGGAAACCGGCCGGGACGACCGTTGTATCCAGTAGCATAGCTTTGATCATCGTCTTTGGTCCTTCTTAGAGTTTCTACTTCATCCCTCAAATTTTTTAATTCCTCATCCTGCTCTTTGCTCGCCTTTTCTCCCTCCTTATTTTCTCTTTTCAATGCCTCTACTTCTTCATCTTTCTCCTTTCTCGCATTTTCTACCTCCTCTTGCATTTCTTCTCTTAGATTTCGCAGTTCCTCGGCCTTCTCCTTCCTCAGCTTTTGCAAATCATCGCTCGCCCTTCCGAGCAAGACATCTTTTTTATTCAACTGCTCTTGCAGCTCATCCTTTTCTTTTCTCGACCTTTTCAACTCTTTCTCATGCTCTTCTTCCCTCGTGTCCTCCATTTCCTCTTTCAGCTTTTGCATTTCCCCGTCTTTTTCATCTCTCAGTTTCCGTTCATCTTCTTCCAACTCGTCCCTCAGCTTCTCTAGCTCCTCGTTCTTGCCTCTCACGATCCTTCTCGACTCCTCGTATTTCTCTTTGCTGGCCCGTTCGATCATCTCTTTCAGACGCTTCTCGTTATCCCTTTCCCTCTTCGCCTTTCGTACCTCCGCGTCTTTCTTTTCAATCGTCTCTTCCATCTCTTCTCTCATCTTTTGTAGCGCTTCTTCTTTTTCAATCGTCTCTTCGCTCACCCCACCGCTCACCATCGGTCGCTTTGATATTCCCTCCTGCCTTGGCACGGTGTATGTCAACTCCAAGCGCCGCCACGTGGTGATCCTCGCCAGGTCAACACCGTGGCTAGGCCAGCTGAAGAGATCGTTCAGTCGGAGGTAGTGAGCCCCAAAGTCTCTGTGCTCTCCCAGCCCCGTCACGTCCTGAAAGCAGTACCCTCCGGGGCTCACCATCAAGCCCGACCGAGCGAGGTGTCGGGCTAGCTTGGTGAGGGCTTCCTGTCCCTCGATCTTCCCATGTTCATCGAAAAACAACAACCCGTGGTGGAAGTACTTTCCTTCCGCCGACGAGTTGCCGCCTCCCTTATTGCCACCATCGACGATATCGATGGTGGCAACTTCCTTCCAGTCCGCCTTTCGGATATCGGAAGGGTGAACAGTAGGGTCGCTCAGCTCACAGACTCTAATGGTGGTTTCATCAGAGGAGGTAACGAAGTGCTTGTCCGACTTGAAATCGAAGAGAGCCATTGCAAGCTCTTCTCGATCGAGATGGAGAGAGAGTAGGTGGTGCTGGAATATTTTGTAGCTAGTGAGAGAGTTGGATAGTCGGGGATAGATGGATATAGATAAGAATTGAGATGGGTGATATATATATATATATATGGTGGCGTCTTCGGTGCACTCACTTTTTTGGGTGCATTCAGTGCACTCACTTCATAACCGTCATTTTAAACATGCGATTTATATCAAAATGATATCAATCATCACTTATGATGTATGAACAATAACGCACATGAATTTGCACAAAAAACATTGAAGATTTACTTTAATTTGAAGGATTTAGAGTTTAGAGATTTAAGGTTAGGGTTAGGGTTTACAATTTGGGGGTTAGGGATAAAACTCAAAAATGGAGGTCTAGGACTTAAGGTAATCCGCTAATTAGTTGTTATCATATATTATATCATCCTATTACACTAGTTCTACAAATTAAAATTGAAAATCCGACATCTTAAGACTAGTTTTTGAGTTGGGTGCATTGAACGCACTCATTTTTGCGAGTGCACCGAAGTATTCACCATATATATATATATATATATATAAAATGCCTCAATAACGTAAACTAATATGCAACGAATTGTCTTAGATAAAGTTTCCTGGAAATTTGCATTGATTGATTATTCTGACCGCAGCTATAGCAAATTAGCAATGACGACCGACGACAGGAGTACGTAGAAAGAAACACAAAGGATTAAGAAAGACTTTTTTTTTTCCTTCTCCCAAATAAAGGATTAACAAAGACTAGGGATTCTGCAGCAGGTATCGGGATCTCGACAATGGCACAAGAAGTCATCGGGTCGTTTGGAAGTTGCGATTGTTAAATAGATAACAGAAGATGATCAACTGGGAGGTGCAGGCCCTTATTCTACTGAGACTATGTAATCAAAAGCCTTTGCTTCCACTGAACAGCAGAAGCAACATAGATAAAAATTAATTTCCCTCAAGTAGCACCAGAACCATTAACAGCATATAGCATATCGAAGCTGTGAACAGAAACTGGATTCAGGAATTCGACATACGCCTGTTGCCGCCTCTACCCATTAAGACAAACCTTAACCTCACGAGGAAGAGAAATGAAAGGCACAATCTTTCCTCTAAATCATCACATAACGCACTTACCCTGACAATGATTTTGTACTGCAGAGGATGAGGCAGCTTGTAGCCAGCAAACAGAACATTCTCGTCCAAGTGAAGCTGCCTGCTCAGCCATAAGGAGAAGGCAACAATGAGAGCTCAAGCAAGACAAAGTAAAATAAGAGAGAAAAGACATCAAGATTTCTACAACCCCAGAGAAAAATGAAAAGCTTACATGCGCAGTATGTTGCCGATTGTGTGCTCCTCCCTCTCTATAATGAAGGAGGCGGCATTGATGATCTTGGTGTCCCTCTCGTATGAAACCCTAGAAGAACGAACAGCAAACGAATAAGAAACGAGAGAGAAATTACAGTCAAATTAAGGGAAAATGGGGTTTTCAGGAGAGATTCGCAGAGAGAATGGAGATGGTTATTTGAAAAAAATTACTTCTTGGTGCCTTCGGGGACGACGAATCGCTCGTAACGATCTGGTGCGTTCATGGCTTCTGCTCTGCAAACCTTTCCGCTTCCTCTCCCTCTCTTCTTCTGCTTTGGAAGAGGGGAAAATCCTGAAACGCAAAGATGTAAGAAAATACAAAAAGCCCCTCAAAAGCCACTGAAGTTGTGAAAATTTACAACAACAAAAAAAAGCCTCCTTTGATATAAGGAGACATAGTTACAAGCTTTCCTGATGCTCTCTTCATCTTGTGAAGATTGCCATTGTTGCAGGTGCATCAAGCTAACCTCCCTCCAAGTTCGCCTGCAACAGATATTACTCAATTCAAGTGTTCATTGCTGCAAAGTTCAAATCTTTATTCAGTTTTCCCTGGTATATAACACAGCTACTGCACCTAGCTTGGTATCAATTTAACCGTCTCACAGGTTAAAGAAGAGCTAAGTTTCTTTGATCCTTTGCTTGTTTCAAGTGCATCATTTTCTCTGTGAAGTGTGAACATTGTCACATTTGCACTCGCTAGTAAACTTACCAGCTACTTCGATATAGCATATCATGGTTCATTAGCTACTTCGATCGATGTGTTTGCATTTCCGATTTCGAAATTTTCAAGAGCTATGAATACGAAACGATCACAACACATTCTGGGGGAAATATAGATGCAGAGTGTACTGCAGAGTTCTATCCAGAAACAACATCATTGAAATTTCAGGAACTCAAAAAGGGTGACACATAACACAACCAAAGCTTTCATTCTAGAGGTTCGAAAAGCTAACTCAATTCCTCTCAATCGTCACTTCCATCTCATCACGGGAGATGAGCTTGAATCGGCAGATATCCCCTGATTTCAGAGAGTTGTCCTCGCAGAACGCTGACCAACCGCCACAGAATATGCCTCGTCCACGTCCACGTTCGCTTTTACTTCGTTGTTTGAAGACAAAGGACAAGTGCCATGCGCCCGTCCCATCATCACTATAAACCATCACAGTGCTATTCTCAAGCTTCATGTGTTTGAACACGAAATCAGTCGGCAGATACTGCATATTTAGTGAGAAGAAAAAAAAAATGGAGAAATCAATTTTTCTTAAGCGAAGCCTGCTTGAAAGAAGAAAAAGGAAAGGTGAATTGGGTCGATGGCAAATGAGCGAGCCTACCACTAGATGATTCTTCATGTGATTTGGATTTATGGTAATGAAGAAGCTTGGACTGACCGAGCTTGTGGAGGTATTTCCCCTCCCTGGCTTTGGCATTCCTGCATTCAATTGGGTCAATAATGAATTTCAGGCAATTCTGAATTCCATACACTACATTAGACTTGGAAGAAGAAATCACATTTCAGTTTGACAAAGCTTGGAAGCTACAAAAAAGGAAAGAAATGAACCTTCAGCATGTTCAGCCATGGCTGGAATGTGTGAGGTCTCAGCCTTATCCCTACCAAACTAGCTCCTCTTACCCCTCCGTCCACCATCAGCAGTTCTCCCCTTCCCTGCAGAAATCAATGAAAGGATCACCAAACTTGTGACTCTTTCTCCCTTTTCCTAATGTTCTAAACCGAACCTACACTCACTAGTAGCCATGAAAGTTTTCTGCTTGGCATTCTCTGCAGACCGAGGCCGGGCTGGCTGCCTCCCACCACCTCCAGCCACAGGTGAGCCTGCGAAAACTCAGCATAAAGGCAAATCAGATAAACCCAAAACTTAAAGAGATTTATAGTGACAAGGGCAGAGTCTGTACCCCTGATCTCTTCTTCCCGCTCAGCATCTGGAAACTCCTGGTTATTTCGATTCGAACCCACATTGTGGAAGCTAGAAGCTGGACACATCACGTCCACCCCATTTGCACCAAACATCACAAGCTTGAACCTGGAGAAGCTTTTGTACTCGAACAGCAGATAGTTGCCATGATTGAGAGAATATCGATCTGCAAACTCCTGCCAGCCATTTCTCAGCCAAAAACCCCTGGCATCCTCGTAGAGCTCCAACTCCACCTCTGGTGGATCTCCAACAGTTGGTTCCAGAACTACCGGGTTGGTCAGATTTACCCTCCCACAGTTACGAATAAACTCCGGTGGAATCAGCTGATACATGAAAAGAACAGGCAAAAGTTTGACAGTATGTTCTACAAAACCCTAACTGGAATCTTGAACATGAAAAGTGAAAGGACAAAACTTTAAAGCGCTCTTACCAGTTTCTTGAGTGCCATTGTCTCCTCAGTGAGATGCTTGAGGAAATATGCCATGCTTGAGGTTGGTTTTCAAACAGCAAGAGATCTCAAACTCTGGAGGAGAAACACTTGTTGCTCTGTAGGGTTTGAAGAAGGGAAAGGAGAAGGAGAAAACTTGCTAGAGAGAGAGCTTGGTTTTCTATCAGGCTGCCTAGTGCAGTTGGGGAGCAGCTTGCTTTCTCTTTCTCTTTGCAAAGAAAGGTTAAAGGAAGGATTTTGGGTGTCAGGTTTCTGCAACATCTACTTGGGGAAATTTTACCACCGGTACCTTCATTTCCCGCTCAAATGGAGGAGATTAGGATTGCCCTTGAGTTGTCCTTAGCTTGTATTTTTAACCATTTTTAGGATGCTAAATTTTTACCCTCACTTTTTACCACCACCAAGTTTTCAGCTTTACTCTCTTTTACCCAGGGGCAGTAACTTCATTATGGTGGGTGTTAGAGTGTATCCTTCCATTAATGCCAAAACTGAAAGGGATCGCAGCATTCGCTTTGCCACTAGCATTCTTGCATTGATGCAATGGAGATTTTAATGTTCCACAAATCAGTATTCATAGTGTTTGTGGTTTAAGGTAAAAGATATTACAACAAAATATAATTAAAGTTAAAAAAAAATATAAATAAAATGCTTTTGGCATATGTCGATAACTTGTTTTATATTATCATTTGTAATGCAATGAAGTTCCTTTAGTGAAGAGCTTGCATAGCTAAGAATTGTTTGTTTTTATGGTGCATCCCTTCCCCCTTCACCGTGGTGGGGATTTCTGAAGGTTAGAAATCTCAGACAACACAGTGAGAAAGAAGGGTAAAGTTAATTCGTAAGATTTAGGGGATTAAAATGACCGTTTTTTATTTTTAAAAGTAGTGATAATGAGGTGGAAATTTTAAATTTATTTATTTTATTTTTTAATTGTCATGTCATATTTAACGGTCAACTATGAGAGTTGACTGGCACATCAAACAAAGTTAAAAGAATTGGACGAAAAGTGACCAGCCATAACATGTTTTGCTAAACCTAATGACCACGAATGGAATTAAATATTTTTAGTAACTCAACATGAACCTTTTAAGCAATGATACTATGATAGTGACCAATCATGCAATTTGCCCTTTATTGTTTTTTGTGTCATTAAACTATTGGGTGTGCCTATGGTGACATGCATGTCATGGTGACTTGCACTTTCCGGTCGACCTCAGTTAGAATTAGGTCGACCTCATTTAGAATTCAGTCGACCTCATATAGGATCCGGTCGACCTCATATAGGATCCGGTCGACCTCATATAGGATCCGGTCGACCTCATTTAGGATTCGGTCGACCTAATATGTTGTTTCGGTGTAAAAACAGTTCATGGTGCCTACTTTGGATATTCATATCATACAATTGGCTAGATGGAAATTGAAGACTAATGACTTGTTTTGAAGCTGGAGTGTCCCTCTACATATTGAAGTGATTGAGAGCTCGATAGGAAGTCCAGAAGACCATTTTTGAACCTCATCAAAAGGCTATGCCAAAACAGGGAAACTACCTAGAAATGGCTCAAGTCTGGAAACGTGTTTGTGAAGCCTATTTTTGAGCTCAATTCGAGAAGCATGAATGCGAGTCGAGTCCAGGAGCTTCTACCACGTTAAATTAGGTATGTTTTTATACAAATTCAAGGAATTGGATGAAAGATTGGATATCTTTAAGGCTTCAAACAAAAGGGTCGAAGTTGCTACGAAGGCTGTTTTTCTGGCAGACTTCGAGCACAAGCAAGCAGCCAGAAAACAGCCTTCGTAGCAACTTCGAGCCTTTTGTTTAAAGCCTTAAAGATATTCAATCTTTCATCCAATGCCTTGTCTTTGTATAAAAACATACGTAATTTAACGTGGTAGAGGGCCCTGGACTTGACTCGCATCCATGCTTCTCAAATTGAGCTCGAAAGTAGGCTTGACAAACACGTTGCCAGACTTAGCCATTTTCAGGCAGTTTCCCAGTTTTGGCATAGCCTTTTGGTCAGATTCAAAAATTGTCTTCTAGACTTTCTATTGAGCTCCCAAGTACTTTAATGTGTAGAGGGACACTTCAGCTTCAAAACAAGCCTTTAATCTCCAATTTCCATCTAGCCAATTGTAAGATATGAATCTTCAAAGTAGGCACCATGAAACTGTTTTTATACTGAAACAACTGATTAGGTCGACCTGATCCTATATGAGGTCGACCGAAAAGTGCATGTCACAGTGACATGCATGTCACCGTAGCAAAGTCCTAAACTATTATACTATCAGCTCTTGCAAAATTAAAGGAGTATTTTTTTCCCAATTAATTTTAATGTATTATAACATTTTCATTTTAAGTTGGAATTCAAAACTTTATGTATAAAAAATCAAATTAATCATGTTTTTCAAAATGATATCGACTTATCGAGTTTGATATATTTTAGAACAAAAAAAAACAGAGGCATATATATTAACGGTCTATAACGTTTGGCAGTAGTGGAGCTAGGTTGAAGTTAACAGGGGCTAAGCCCCCTCAACTTTGACATAAAGGTAAAAGTGCATGTAAAATCACTGGTAAATTTAGAAAATATAGTAGTCGATAAGCCCTTAGTCCTCTCCTCTCTCCACAATTACCACAATTTGCATTAGCTTCCTCTCATTCAAATTTATGACTCTGCCACCTATGATAATTCGAATATATTATAGTCTAAAATGATTGTATACTTGTATAGATGATATTAGGAAGATGCTAACCACCATGAAATTCTAAAACAGTAAATAAAATTTTAAGGGATACTTTTCTCTCGTAAGAGTAACACTTATCGTATCTAACATATTTTTTATACCATGAAGTTTCCGCTTACCAACCACGCTGGTCGCTCAAGTCTTTATTTATTTATCTCAATAGCGTTGAGTATTAGGGTTATTGCCTTAGTAAACGCCAAAAATAATTAAAAATGACTGCAATTTACTATTTACTAATCAAAGTCGTTATTATTATTGTTTTTTATAAGGCCCGTGTTTCCAAAGAAATTTATAATGCAACTAATTTCATTATTTCCACCGTTGACTCGTCTTACAATAATTTTAATCCTGCAAACTACACTAAATTTCGACACTCCTATATAATTGATATGGTGGGCACATTACAAATTCTGCAAGTATCCCTCACCTACATCTCACCTTGTTACCAAATTAACATTAGATCCCACCATCCCAATCTTCGACCAGGCATCAAGATCGATCGGTCGGTCGGTCGATCGATCTTATGGCTCTCTTTGATTTCAAGTCAGACAAGCACTTCGTTGCTTCCTCCGACAAAACTACCCTCAAAGTCTACGCGCTGACCAACCCCACCATCCATCCTTCCCACATCAGAAAGACCCACTGGAGGAAAGTCGCCACCATCGCTCCTGCTCCTGATCGCGATGGTGGCGACGCCGCCCACGAAGACGAGGAGGAGGAGGAGGAGGAGGAGAAGTCTTACCGCGGGCTGATGTTCTTTGATGGTCACGGGAAGATCGAGGGGCAGGAGGCGTTGACCAAGCTAGCCCAACACCTCACCCGCTTGCAGTTGAGGGTGAGCCCCCAGGGGCACAGTTTTCAAGACGTTGTCGAGTTGGGAGAACACAAAGACTTTGGAATTCACTATCTCCGACTGAACGATCTTTTCAACTGGCCGGATCATAGGGTCGACATGGCGGGCGTTAGCGTGTGGCAACGCCTCATGCTGGAGTACACCGTACCGAAACGGGAGAAGCGGGCGGCGGCGAGCGGAGGGGTGAGCAAGGAGAAGTACGAGGATTTGAAGAAGACGGTGAACAACAAGGACGAGGAGTTGAGAAAGCTGAGGGCGGAGGTGGAGGAACAAGAGAAGGAGATACAGAGGTTGAATGATGAGAGGGACGATGCAACCGAACAGCAGGAGACGGAGCTACGAGAGCTGGAGAAGGAAAAAGACGAGGAGATCGGGGAGCTGATGAAGAGGAAAGACGACGAGTTACGAATGCTGAAAAAGAGGAAGGACAGGGAGATACAAACGTTGAAGGATGATAGTGCACAGCACGCGGAGGAGCTGCGAAAGTTGGAGCAGAAGAAGGACGAGGAGCTGAGAGTGATGATGAAGAGGAAAGACGACGAGTTGCAAATCGTGCAAAAGAGGAACGACAAGGAGTCGAAGCAAAAGAACGACGAATTGAAGACACTGAAAAGAGAAAAGGAGGAAGGAGCAAAGCTGAGCAAAGAGAAGGATGAGGAGGTAAAAACATTGAGGGAAGAAGTGGTGAATTTGAGAAAGGAAAACAAAGCTGCTGCATCTGCAACTGCTGCTGGGAAAGGGAAAATACTGGTGAATGGTGATGAATGGCACAAGTTGAAGAATGATAACGAAGCACTGCGAAAGTCGATGAACGAGAAGGATGTCGAGCCAGGAAGGCTAAGGAAAGAGAAGGAAGAACTGGTGATGGCAAATGCGGCCGAAACGCGCAAACTAAGGGACCAAGTGGCTCAACTTCAAGAGCAGGAGCAACGTCGCAACCAACCATGGGCATGGACGATACGGTTCCTCGGCGAGTACGTATTACGCACAAGACGGCCGGTGCCACAGGATACTTGGCGCAGCGTCAAAATCGAGACGCCGCCTGACTGTCATTACGCTTATGATCCAAGTACCAACGAGAGCGTCTCGCCATTTCCGATGGCAAATTGGTTAGTGGTGGATGAAGAACACAACGACTGGCCGCTTCCTCCTAAGATCGGCGTGCGCTGTGTGCCTGACCAATTCGACAAAGATAACTGGTGGTTCGTGAAGGCGGCCCATCCAGATGGCCGCTTGGCGATGATGGCTTATTATGACGGCGGCCGGAGTTCTTATACAACCCCGAACTATCGGTTCCCTGTCCGACTTCCCTTTCCGAGGAACTGCAAATTTTACACAACTACACAGTTCTTCCTGATTGGGCTGAACGGCGCCAACAAGCTTGCTTTCTCGTACTGGGACTAGCTAACGGAAGATCGAGGGCTGGCTCTAGTTTCCAAATTTGTTTCAGAATCGTTCCGATCATTCGGACTCGTTTCAAAATGATTTTAATCCTGCAAACGTGAACCTGGTATGGCGATATCGTTACTAATTCGCAAATGTATATCGATTGTGCTATGGAAGTTGCTTGCACACCTGCAGAATGCAAACCAGGTTCAGGACAATGCTGATTAATTATAGGGAAGATATAGATGCGGAGTGTACTGCATCAGATTGCAGAGAGTTCTATCCAGAAACAAAATCATGGAAATTTCAGGAACTCAAAAAGGGTGACAAATATGAAATAACACAACCAAGCTTTCATTCTAGAGGTCTGAAAAACTAACTCAGTTCCTCTCGATCGTCACTTCCATCTCATCACGGGAGATGAGCTTGAATCGGCAGACATCCCCTGGTTTCAGAGAGTTGTCATTACGGAATGCTGGCCAACCACCAGAGAAGCGGCCCTGTCCACGTCCATGTCCACCATAACTTTTTGTTAAGACGAAGGACAAGACCCATGGTCCCGACCCATCTTCACTACAAACCATCACAGTGCTTTTCTCGAGCTTCATATGTTCGAACACAAAACCAGTCGGCAGATTCTGCATATTTAGTGATAAAGAATGGAGACATCAAATTTTGTTGAGCAAAGCCTGCTTAAGAAAAGGTTAGATTGGGTTGATGGAAAATGAGTGAGCCTACCGCATAGCATTTATTCATGTTAGTCTGGTTTATGGTAATGAAGAAGCTTGGACTGATCGAGCTTGTGGAGGTATTTCCCCTCCCTGGCTCTGCCATTCCTGCATTCAATCGGGTCGATATGAAGGTCAGGCAATTCTGAATTTCATACACTACATTACACTTGGAAGAAGAAATCACATTTCAGTTTGACAAAAAAGAAATGAACCTTCAACATGTTCAGCCTTGGCTGGAATGTGTGAGGTCTCAGCCTTGGCTGGAATGTGTGAGGTCTCAGCCTTATCCTTACCAAACTGGTTCCTCTTACCACTCTGTCCACCATCAGCCGTTCTCCCTTTCCCTGCAGAAATTGATGAAAGGATTATCAAACTTGTGATCCTTTCTCCATTTTTCTTATGTTCGAAGCAGAACCTACACTCACTAGTAGCCATGAAAGCTTTTTGCTTGGCATTCTCTGCAAACCGCGGCCGGGCTGGCTGCCCCCCACCACTTCCAGCCACAGGTGAGCCTGCGAAAAATCATCATAATGGCAAGTCACATAAACCCAAAACTTAAAAGAGATTTATAGTGACAAGGGCAGAGTCTGTACCTGGCCTCTTCGTCCTGCTCAGCCTCTCTTAACTCCTGGTTTCGATTCGAGCCCACATTGTGGAAGCTGGAAGCTGGACACATCACGTCCACCCCATTAGCTCCAAACATCACAAGCTTGAACCTGGAGAAGCTTTTGTACTCGAACAACAGATAGTGTCCATGAGTGAGAGAATTGCGGTCTGCAAACTCCTGCCAGCCATTTCTCAGCCAAAAACCCCTGGCATCCTCGTAGAGCTCCACCTCCACCTGTGGTGGATCTCCAACAGTTGGTTCCAGAACTACCGGGTTGGTCAAATTTGCCCTCCCACAGTTGCTAACAAACTCTGGTGGAATCAGCTGATAAATGAAAAGAACAGGCAAATGTTTGACACTAGGCTGTAGTTACAAAACCCTAACTGGAATCTTGAACATGAAAAAAGGACAAAACTTTAAAGGGTTTACCAGTTTCTTGAGTGCCATTGTCTCCTCAGTGAGATGCTTCAGGAAATAGGACAAGCTTGAGGTTGGTTTTCAGGCAGCCAGAGATCTCAAACTCTGGAGGAGAAACACTTGTTGCTTTGGAGGGTTCGAAGAAGGGAAAGGAGAAGGAGAAAACTTGCTAGAGGAAATACAGAGAGAGCTTGTTTGTCTAGCACAAACCTGCCTGGTGCAGTTGAGGAGCTGCTTGCTCTCTCTTTCTCTTTGCTGACAATGGTTAAAGGAACTATTTGGGTAACAGGTTTTTTCTGCATCCTTAGCTTGTATTTTAGCCATTTTAGGATGCTAAATTTTTACCCCCACTATTTACCACCATCACCTTTTTCCCTTTACTAACTTTTACCCAAGAGACAGTAACTTCATACTAGTGGGTGTATAATGAAACGGCTTAATTGCAAGTTTGGTCACCCGAATTGCTTAAAAATTTTACGTTTGCCACCCGAATTGATTTATTCCATTTATAGTCACTCGAATTAGCTGAACAGTCCAAGTTTGGTCACTCTCCGTTAACCTCCGTTAGACTCCGTTAATAACGACCGTTAAATGATGACGTGGCTAACAGAAAGACACAGTCAGCACATTTAAACATTAAAAAATGACGACCCGACCCGACTCGACCCGCCAGCTCAGCCTTACCCGCCCAGTCAGCCATTCTTGCCCAACCCGCGAACCAACCCAATTAATTGACCCTAAACCCAAACCCGAGACCCAAACCCCCCTGAAAAGTAAATCACATATGGATTAGGGCATTTCCCTTCCTCCATCTTCATCCTCTCATCCTCCCGCGCCGCCTCTCTCCTTTACTTATTCACGGCGAGGATCCCCAGAGAACTTCGGCGACAATGGTGGCGGCTTCGGCGTCGGAGACGCAGCCTTCCTTCACCCGCCGCAGAATCTCCGGCTTCAGAGCCCTCTTCTCCCTCTGCCGCAGCCCTTCTCCGACCTCCAACTGCACGGCGAATCTCGCCACGCAGCTCGCAAACGGGTGCCTCTCCAAAAACCCCTTCTCCTTCCTCTTCTTCTTCTTCTTCTGCCCTTCTACGCCGCCGTCGGAATCAGAGTCAAATTCAGAGTCAGAGTCGAACCTCTCCATCCCGATCAAATCCCCGCCCAATTCCGATCTCTGCAGCTCCAACAGCTTCTCGATCAACCCTTCTCCAAGCATCGCGTCGATGGCTTCCTTCCTCCCAAAATACCCCATTTCCAGCACGCAATCCATCGCCATAACCTTCGTCTCCTGATCTTTACAGTCCAGCAGCCGAATGATCCTCGCGATCTCGCCGTTGTACTCGATTTCGTTGACGAGCGGCGATCTGATCAATTTGATCAGAGAGCAGAGCAATCGTACCGATTTCCAGGCCCGGATTTCGGACTCGATTGACCCGGCGACTTTCGAGATGGAATGCGTCGAAACCCGGCGAGCCAAGAAGCTGCGGATGCTGCTCCGATTAGGGGACCGACGGTTGTAATCGTTGACGAGCGAGGAGGATGAGAGGAGAGAGGCGGCGCCGGAGGATGAGAGGATGAAGATGGAGGAAGGGAAATGCCCTAATCCATCTGCGATTTATTTTTCAGGGGGGTTTGGGTCTTGGGTTTGGGTTTAGGGTAAATTAATTGGGTTGGTTCGCGGGTTGGGCAAGAATGGCTGATTGGGCGGGTAAGGCTGAGCTGGCGGGTCGGGTCGGGTCGTCGTTTTTTAATGTTTAAATGTGCTGACTGTGTCTTTCTGTTAGCCACGTCATCATTTAACGGTCGTCGTTAACGAAGTCTAACGGAGAGTGACCGAACTTGGACTGTTAAGCTAATTCGAGTGACTATAAATGGAATAAATCAATTCGGGTGGCAAACGTGAAATTTTTAAGCAATTCGGGTGACCAAACTTGCAATTAAGCCATAATGAAACTAAGGAAAATGAGCTTCTGAGTTCTTTTCAAAGCAAATTTATCAGTGTATCCTTCCATTAATGCCAAAACTGAAACCTCTATATAAAGAAACAGAGTTTAGCCCATAGCTAGGTGCCAGTCTTCAAAATAACACCAAAAAGGAAATAGCAAACTCCCAGATTTTTTATTCAGTATTGAAATGGGAAAACTTCTATTCAGTTTTCCTATGTTTTTCAGTTTCCAGTATCTTTGTTTAGGAGCCAAAATCTCAACTAGTCACTACTAAGACAAAGTGAGTATTCATATAGAATTAGTGCATAACAAGTCTAAATAATAAGGTAATTAAGCAACCATCTTTAAATTAAACCAAATGCAATTAGACTAACAAAAGGCATTTCCCAAAGCCTTCAGACTACCTAAATTAGATTACATTATCCCATTAATCCCTTCAACTAAGTACCAGCAGTCTCATAATCTTTATAACCATACATAACATAACCACTCGAAGTGACACAACACATTCTCATTTTAAAGTTCCAGAAACTCCAGCAAATCAGCTGGCCTTAACCCCTCCAAATAGTCACTTTCAGTTGGCCACTGGGACAATTTGGATCGACTAGCGACATCGGACGCCTACATTGTATATAGCCTGTAATCCAAGAATTTGTTTTTTTTTTTTTTACAAAAACTATCATTCAAAATCTGCTGGTGTTTGATACAATTTAGTTAGGAGATTACTCTTTTAATCCTCTGCTTGCTATTTTAACTTTCTTCGTCGTCATCTTCAGCATCGCCTATAAGAGCACCCCTTACTCCTGTCCTGAGCACAAATATATAGCATGTTATTGATCTAAATCTAATACGAGAAATTGCCTCGCCAAGTCCAAACCAGGGAGATTATAGTCAAAATTCAAGTACCTGCGATGTGCTGGCACAACGCGATTGATAACTTTCTTTGGTGCTGCAGTAGCTCGAGCTGATTGCTTGTCTATTAGAAAATGGGAAGAATTAAAAATTTTGTCCCCCCTTATTAAGATCCCTAGTATTAAGCTTTAAAATGCAGATATGTTGTTGGTTCAAGATAATGCAAACCAAGGACTAGTATTAATGGTGGAAGTGAACTTATCGAAATGCCTTCATGGCTGCAATATTTTGAAAAAATCAAGGATCACTTCAAATAGAGTATTACTGATTGTGCCAGAAGAAATAAATTTAAAATGGCACACAACAATCCAAACTCCAAAGAGTTCGTCCAAATGAAGCATTCACAGTATATTACATAATAATAGTAAATAAGATGCACTTGTTGTAGCTCATACATCTCAATGCAGATGCTGGTTATGCCATGCCACCAAGCTAGCAGTAAAGATGAATGCTTACCTGGCGAATTATGTGAGCCATTGCTGGAAACACCTTCTTTGTTGAAAGCATCCACATTTCCCAGTTTCTGCCTCTTTTCCAATTGGCTCTCGAGTTGGTTCTTTTGCTGACAGATAGAAAGGTTGACATCGGATAAAGGTGCATGCATAATCAGTGGCAGTCACCAAGCAATAGAATGCTATGCGTAATCATTCGCCGAATTCGCTTCATACGATACTTTAATGAGCTGATTCTGTGATCAAGTCAGCATCATACAAGAAAAGCTGCAAAGCAATACCTTTTCATCTGTTGCTACTCCTTTCATCAACTGCGAAGAATACCCTTCCCCTGGAAAACCCCAAAGTTTTTTAAACACCATCAACTCGAAATTCAAGTGAAAACAATGCATTCCTGACTTCCTAATGCTACCAATTCTGTAATCCTTCTATATCAGGATACCTCGAACTTACTGAATCAAATCTTTACAACTTGATGTTACAATCAACAGACACCCAGCATATATATATAACAAGTTGCAGACAGAATCACAAAAACCAGTAAATAGGTTGGAAAGAGAAGAATACACTGATTCCACAATGACCCACCTTGACCTTGTCTCGTCATCTTTGGAGGACACTTGAGCGTCTTGAAGAGCCCAAAAGAGAGATCTGCCATGACATCATTTGCATCACAGTCCAAAACTCTCCTGAGAGAAATGGAGATCAAAGGCATCCCTTTTGTTTTCTGAGAAACCAATCTTGCCGATGCAGCACCTGAACCAAAAAGAAGTTCAACCACAGCACATTTACATCAGCAGCAAGACTGAAACTTCTGAGTACTCTAAACCAAAAAATCGATTTCAGTTACCATCACCACCCGATTACTTCTCCAGAACAAGCTTGACATCTTCAGATTTAAGTGAAGATATAAAGTAGTCCACAAACTCAGACCATGAGCCACCAATTCCAATGCTATCTTGCTGCCAAAACAACCAGGGGGGGAAATGACGAAAACTGCCCGCCACGAAATCAACTTGAAAGAGCAGAAAGGAAAGGGGTTATTATAAATTTCCCAAGAGGCTTACCAAGTCTTTCAGCTGCGAGATGGACTTATTAGCTTCAAAAGTGTTGGAGCTGTAATCGGTTGCTTGAATCTTGAGGTGATAGTAGTCAGGAGCGAAAACATGCATCAAGAATCTCCGGAGAGGAACAGCAGAACGTCCGAAGTCGGAGCTCTTCCCCCATTCTGCTTTCGGTTCGCCGTAAATGGGTTCGAACTCTTCAAACCCCATTTCCCCTCCCCAGTCACTCACACTCAATAAATCAAGTTTCAGTCCAGCGTAAGATTACAGAAGCTACCAATTTCTGAATGCAGCCACTCGACTCTTTTTCCTCGTCTACCCAAACGCGAAGGATTCCCAGGGAATTTTGAAGGAACAAAGAGCTACGAGAATTGGAGATGAACTTCCCACTTCCCAGGACCAGAATCAGAATCAGAATCAGAAGAATCGCCGTGAAGACTGTAACTATGAGCTGACGAAGGGAAGGAGAAACTGAGAAAAGAAGGAGGAGAAGAGTTGCCGGAGAAGGCAAGTAGAATGAACGGACGGGAAAGCGAGGAGGAGATGTCTGGCGATCAGTACGGTCGAAGGAACCGCGAAGGGAATTGAAAAAGAGCAGCGGTGCTGTTTATTTCGGAAAAGAAGACGATCCCCTTGGCGACGGAAGTGGATGATGGGCCGGCGGCAAACTGGCTACTGTTTTCCCGTTAAGAGATTTGGGCTGTGCTTCCTGGCTGGGGCAGGCTTGCTGGAGAATTGGGCTTGCGGACTATTGAAGTCCATGCTTTCCCCTTGATGAGACAGCAATTAGCCCATCCGTACTAAGGGATGTTGAGCAACTAGCAACAGTGATCTGGTCTGGTGCCCAGCAAGATGCTGCTTTGCCAAACCATGGTCTCCAGCTACGGAAGCAAAATCCGCTCACTGTTGCTGCAGCAGCAGCAGCTCATGCACTAGCTGTAAACAACATCGTTGAAAATTCGACGAAAGGAGGACTCGTGGAACACGATCATACATGGAACTAATCCGAGCAAAGTACTCCATAAACTGTAGCAGAGTTTCTTCTCCAAGTGGAGGGTAAGTTACAACAACAGAATTTGTTTTATGTATTCCATTTGATGGAGATATTACAAGTGGGAGACACAACTTACACATCTGAGCATCTCGTGAGTCATAAGACGATGATTCCGGTGCAGTAACTACATTCTACAGCCTCGCCAAATATACAACACACACTAAGAATAAGGTTAATATGGACATGCCGTTGATTTCCCTGCTCCCACCCAACAGTCTCAGTAGTCTAACCTTCTGCTTAGACTCTTTCTACCATAGGATTGGCCTCTAGAGGGGGGAACTCTCAAAGAGACTACAACAACAATCGCCAACCCGTAACATTTGGATATGTTTGACAGGACGATGAACGTCAGGTGCTGATGCACTCCTAATCGTGGGAGGGAAGAAGAAAGAAAAGGAGGGTTGCTTCAGAATTGGGGGAGTGAGTAGACAGACTTACACAGGGGGTAGTGTCCTGCGGCTCATGCCTTGAAAATGGTGGGCAGGTTCGCCCCACTGCAGAATCGTCACGCTCAAAAATTGGCCATCCTTCCAACATTCGCACATCTGCAAAACACGGTGAGGGATGGGAATGAAACAAATAGATCTACAGTTCTACACACAAAGGTCTCAACTATTTAAGCAGTGAGTTGTGAGTAGACCGCTGCCTGCTTACCAATTTAAGCAGTGCCTGTAATTAATCGTTCTCGTTGGTCTAACTTCTTCACCTTTACAATTCCTATCAGAACTTTTAAGCTAAAAAAGGCGCATACAGCATATGCCATCGTAGCTGGTACCTACACAGGAAGTCGTCAATGGATTAGCAGAAGAAGCAAGATGGAAAGAGTAGGCACAAGTATTTTAGTGGATCATCTTACTCTCATAGCATTGAAATACAAAATTGTTGCAAGGTTAACTAGACTTCCTGCAGCTACAGCCTGTTCAATTGCCAGAACAAAACATACTGAGAACGTTGCAAAAATAATCTAACGAAACCAAAGCTGCAACAAAAAATATGGTTGCTCCGGTTAATCAGTCACAACCATTCACATGAAAAGTAACAAGATTCTTTCAATAACATTTAAATCCCATAATAAGGGAAAGAACCAAATCATAGTAGATCATCGGGCAAAAGGACTCACACTTCCCACTGTAGTTTGAACAGCAGCAACGCGCTGGAAAGCCCTCTCAGCTTCCAGTGTTCGAACTCGAAGCTTCAAATCACCTTTGCTCCTGAAAATAGTGCCAAGACTCCAAACTGTTTCAAAATGATTAAACTAAAAACTTGAATCGTTCGTCCAGAATCATTCGAGCCTCCTACCAATCGTTGGATAGTTTCTGCAAGCTTTTCAACTCTGTCGGCCTGCCTAAACAAGTTGTAGAACGCACGGGACTGCCTATCCCATCTGTTTCTGAGATCCTGCAAACATTCATACACGTGAGTGCTAGTAGGGTAGCAAGACTCATAAGAGGGGGTACAGAAGCAAATGATTTTACCTTCACCGCTACTTCAACCCCAGCTTCCCGGAACTTCAACAGCTCTAGCGCATACCTGGCAGGATTAACAACAAAGGATGTGTCAAGCACCAAGATTTCTAGAAGTTCAAAATCAAAGTAGTTTGAGTGAGAGAACTGCCAACCAAAAAGGACTCACGGTTTGGCGATTTCTGTAATGTCAAAACAAGGGTCGAGGCCCTTTCCAATCCCATCCAATACTGTGAAGAAAATAAGTTAACGGTAAGAGACATATGCTATGCACAAAATCATATACTACTATTGACCGAGTTAATTAACCACACGATTATACCTGAAAATGCTCTTACAACAAATGTGAAAGTGGCAGGGAATCGGAAAGGTTGATCTCCAGCGATGGATAATAAATCTTCCCCTGTTCAGAAATTATAGAAAGAGTCACTTTAGTGTTTTCTACTGAAATAAGGAGGAAAATAACCGTTACTTGCATGGCTCAATCACAATGGAAAAACTAGCAAGTGAAAAAACCTTTCCTTGAAATTCAAAATACAAAGAATAATTATAATAAAATTCACGATAGATTACACACTATCGTAGAGACAAAAAAACAAAAGCTTAACCAAAGAAACAGTAATTCGTCTACTGGATTGCAATGCAAGCTTACAAAAGCTTAACCAAAGAAAACATAATTCATCTACCGGAGTGCAATGCGAACTTACCTATTGCCGCCAAACGCTCTTTCTTTTTGGCCAATTTTTCCTCCTTGGATAAAGGCTTTTTAAACCCAAGCTCTGCTGTCGCCATTTCCCTCTCCCGTCTTTGTGCAGCAAGACGTTCTTGGAACTGCACGTTTAATTAGAAGTTACAACTGTATGGTTGCTATTATTTGGAAATGGAAGCATACTCTTACTTACACAAGCCGATTGCCACATAATTTTGACACCATTTTAGTCACTCTACATATTTCAGGATATAATTAATAATATCAGGAATTATAATGGGCAACAGCTTCCTAAAAACTAAACTTCTAGATGTACAAAGGATCTATTACACAATTAATATGCTATCTGCAAGTAAAAAATTTATTCCCAACCACATAGACTGAGAATAAGTTTGAATTATTTGGTAGATAATCATTATATGACAGAATCAACCAGAAGCTACCTACATCAGCACATTAGGCACACGTCCAATTGGCTGAACAATATTACCAGAAAAAAGTAGCAGAAGTGAAGAATTTTTATCAACTAAACGAACCCACCTGTTAAGGAAAAATTGAGCAGTTCTTCTGACAGCTGTCATATCTCCCGTAGGCACAAGGACACCCATTTGGACCATTGCCTCGAGAATCTACACATGATCAGGAAGAGATAACAAAAGGTATGAGCATGTGTGAAGTTGAAAGTTTGAACTCCATACTATAATCAAGGAGTCTCCATATTACTTAAGAGATACATACCTTTTCTGCATCCTTTTCATAAACTCCATAAAACACTTCCAGCAACCCTTCTCTGATGTTTGGACAGATACTATAATACAGCAATAGCCAAAAGAAGTTCAACTCTGAGATGTCAACAAAAGTGAATCAAGTTCAATACTTACAGCTATAACGAAACAGATTGACAAGTAAATACCTTCCCATCATTCCGAAATCATAAAAGATCAGTCTTCCGCCATTGACATCATCTACGGCAATATTTCCTGGGTGCTGCAAAGAGAATTGACCATGGGCACATGATAGCAATTACAAAACTGGTACACCAGGCTAGACATATCCTCCAAGGTGGCATGTTGGAACAAATTAAAGAGCTTAACACTATGTGAATGAACTCACAGGATCAGCGTGGAAAAATCCATGAGAAAGAATTTGTTCCAAGTAAGATTCAACAGCATACCGGCCCAACCTGCATGAACCAATAAAAAAGAACTGTGAACATATTTCACCTAAGAGCATACTAAAGAACAAGCATGTGTCTCCTGCATTATCACATTAAAATGACTAATCAAGGTTAAAAGCTGAGATTATCAAACCTTTTGCGATCCAGACCCAGCTTATCTAAAGCCTCTACTTTATTTATTTTAATCCCAGGGACGTACTCCATTGTTAGTACCTACACAGAAGATACTAGAAAATAAGCAGCCATATGTATCAATCAAGAGATAGAGGGTCTGAATTTGTTCGTTGGTTGTGATTACTGAAAGAAACCTGAGGTGTGGTGTATTCCCAATAAATATTTGGCACTTTTACGTAATCCATGTCCTTGAAATTACTAGCAAAGAGCTCTGAATTTTCAGCTTCCTTGGTGTAATCAATCTCCTGAAATTGTTTATGCCCATTAGCACGAGTGTTAGTAATTTCAACTACATAGCTGTTGGTATAGGCCAGCAAGCATGGAAATGAGTGCAAAAAAATCTCAGTTAAAAGAAAGTACGGCTCTTTCTTGGGCCATCAACCATTATGTTGATGTAGAAGCCAAATAAAATGGGAAGTTATTGATGATTTTAACAATGACTAGCCAAGAAAGTCAAGTGGCAGTACCTGATACAGTACGCTTGCACACTCGTCGTAAATTGCAACCCAATCTCTCTTTGCCCCATCCGACTTTGGATCGATCTTCTGAAGATATTCTGCTATTACCTGAAAAAGAAGGCTATCAAGTTCATTGATGTCTGATAAGAACAACCAAAATGGAGTGCCACCACTGAAAATACCAACCCTCAAATTCTTGAGATCAATGTCGAAAAGATCCTTGAGACCAGGCCGTTGTACTTTAATAACTACTTCCTGTCCTTTGAGTCTTGCACGGTGAACCTGACCTGAACACCCATTTAATAAATAAGAAGAAGTGGCAGGCGCAGGGATGGCTTGGTTTTCCTATCTTGGAGACAAAAATAATTTGAAAGAAAATATAATATTACCAAGACTTGCTGCCGCTATTGGCTCGAAATCAAACCGCTCAAAGACATCCTCCACAGGTGCTCCAAGCTCTTCTTCGACTATAGAAAGAGCAGTCTCAGATGGGAAAGGAGGAACTTGATCCTGCAGAAAGGCATCAACTCAGTAATTTTGCTAAGAATGTACGACGTTAAGGAAAGATTATCATCCAATGCAATTTCCTTAAGTCTCACTTAAGGCTTCCAGTTAAAAGTTTATAATGAAAAGTGTCAAGAGGGTTAGAAAACCCTCACTTACAAGTAAAAGAAGTATTCAGATAAAGAACGCTAACAACAATCCACAGACCTGAAGTTCTGACAATTGGTCAACATATTCTTGAGCGAGAATGTCCACTCTTGTGGAGAACTGCTGGCCAATTTTGATGAATGTGGGACCAAGTCTGAGTATAGTATCTTTTAGCCACTTGGCCAGTGCCTTCCTCCTCACAACTTTCTTCTCCTCTGTCATCCCCCCTGCTCATCAGAAAGAAATCTAAAGTATGAGAAAATGACCAGCAGAGAGCATCAACTAGATCAAGCAAACTCGAGCCTTAACCAAAATCATAAGTAACACTGGACCAAGTATGTTGCCTTGTAGTATAGCATATGCATTATTCATAGAGTTCAGGAAATTAGGCTTTGTTAGAAAATGGGTAGGAGAAGCAGACCTCTGTAAGAAAACTTCTGACTGTTCAACCAAGCCTTGAAGACGAAAGTAAAGACAGATCCCCAAATTTCCACAGTTCTTTGAATGGTGGAATAGGTTTTGAACCTATTCCATCTTCCCCCGGGCGCAACAGAAACCTGCAGAGGCAATACACTGTCATCATAAACGGCTAAAACGTGGTCTCCACTAGCTCCTATTTCAACATTTCCCCGACTACACAGGTAGCTCAATCGCCATTTCCAAGTAAGTGACAACCCAACTCAACCGAACCCGAAAATTCAATTTCGTTTACCTCAACCTCCCCCGGACCAGAGAGCTTAAACCACGCATCTTCCTTCCCAACCTCCTCAATCCGCTTCTTCCTCCCATCCTCCGCCGTCTCCGCAGCGGAAACACCACCATTCCCATTCACGTACTTGTTCAATCGACCGTTACTCCCACCATTGACCTCGCTCTCCACCGCAACCAAACTTCCATTACTAAGCGATCCGTTACTCCCGTACTTTCCTGCACTACCACCAGCAGCTCCATTCCCGTTCAATTTCCTCAACAGCTCCCTCTCCTCAATCACCGCGCCGGCACTCTCTTCCTTGCCAGCTCGAACTCGAGTCCGGAGCCGGAGAGACCGGTAGCTGTAGCTGAGCTGAACACTCCGTCTAGAACACAAATTGAGACCGCAACTGCGTCCGGAGAGTGAAACACGGCGCTTGGAGACAGTACTCGGAGATAGAAACGACGAAGAACAAGAAGCAGCGGCAGTCGTCGGAGTGGCCATCGTAAAACAGAGAAGTGTCCGCCTCCTGTTCCAGCCGGAAATCGATCAATTCTACAAAACCCTAATTCGCATGGCCTGCGGAGAGCCACGCAGGATTTTTCGCGGCGGAGAAAGAACGAAGGAAGAAGACAGACGACTAAGCGAACACAGAAGAAAGAAGAAAGGAGAAAGCACAGAGAGAGTGTAGAGTGAGGGATAGCCAGAGATTTATTATTATTATTATTATAAATGATCGGTGGAGGTGGGGAGGACACGTGGCAGGAGGTAAGATGAGAGCGCGGGGGATTGCGGGGCTGTGATTGGCTGTGGGGGTATGGGAGAGAAGATAGCTTGCGCCCGTGTTGAAAGGGACCAGTTACGGTAACAATAGCCCTTGTGTTGTTATTGTAACAACACTTGTCTCCAACCAATAGGAAGTTAGGATTGTGATGACTTTTTATTAGATGAGTTGACCTAGTGTAAAATCAAAGCAGGGGTATAATTGTCATTATGAAAAATATGTTTAAATAATAAAAAAATAAAAAAAATAAATATTTTTTTTATTTTCTGCCCAAAAATTTGGTCGCCGGAATTCTGCCACCGGTCACCGGTCACCGGAATATGCTTTTTGTCGCCGGAATATGCTATTTCTCGCCGGAATATGCTTACCGGCGTCGGAATCTAGTCATCGGGGCCGGAATATGCCTATCGGCGTCGGAATCTGCTGGCTGACGGTCACCGGAGTTCGGTCAACGAACTTCGTTGACCGGTCAACGGTCTTCGTTGACCAGTCAGCGGTCAACGGTCTTCGTTGACCGGTCAGCGGTCAACGACCACCGGATGTATGGTCTGCATTGTGAGATTTATGGTTTGGTTTTTCATATTTTTGTATGCCTTTTGTGGTTTGCTTTATCGTGTTTGTGGTTTGCATTAAGAAGTTTCTGGTTTGCTTTATCGTGTTTGTGGTTTGCATCGAGAAGTTTCTGGTTTGCTTTCAAAAAATTTGTAGTTTGCTTTGCGGGATTTATGGTTTGTTTTAATATATTTGTGGTCTGCATTAGGACGTTTCTGGTTTGTTTTTGTGGTTTGATTTACTGTGTTTGTGGTTTGCATTAGGAGGTTTCTGGTGTGTTTTTTAAAATTTTGTGGTTTGCTTTGCGGGGTTTCTGGTTTGTTTTAGTAGAATTTTGGTATGCATTAGGACGTTTCTAGTTTGTTTTTGTGGTTTGCTTTATCGTGTTTGTGGTTTGCATTATGAGATTTCTGGTGTGCTTTTGCAAATATTGTGGTTTGCTTTGTGAGGTTTGTGGTTTGTTTTATGAGATTTGTGGTATGCATTAGAAGGTTTCTGGTTTGCATTAAGAAGTTTCTGGTGTGCTTTCGAAACTTTTGTGGTTTGCTTTGCGAGATTTATGGTTTGTTTTAATATATTTGTGGTCTGCATTAGGACGTTTTTGGTTTGCTTTACCATGTTTGTGGTTTGCATTAGGGGGTTTCTGGTGTGCTTTTCAAAATATTTATGGTTTGGTTTGTGGGGTTTATGATATTTTTTAGCGAACTTGTGGTTTGCATTAGGAAGTTTCCAGTATGTTTTTTGTGGGTTGTTTTATTGCGTTTGTGGTTTGCACTAGGTAGGGAGTTTTTGGTGTTAAAAATATTTGTTATTAGAATTACTAAACACCAATATAGAATTTCTGATATAGAGTTTCACTTGACACCTACCCATGGCTTAATCTAATTACACACATAGCTCTCTCTCTCTCTCTCTCTCTCTCTCTCTCTCTCTAGGCCATCGTTTCTGATTTTCCATGATGAGAAGAATCTTGGGCAATTCTCATCATTTTTAGCCCCCTGAGAAATCTCCATCATCCGGTAATGGGTCGATCCAAGTCCAACCTTAGCCGTAAAATCCACCGCCGGTTGTCCGTTCTCCGCCACTGCATTCTCCGGGTGTGGAACCAAATTCTCATGTGCTCCATCGGAATGCGGATTAGGTACTGAATGTTGTCTCATCCCGCCGTTGTTCCCTCCGTCTCCTTGCCTATTTCCTCTGCTGGTGGCGGCGTAATGGAGGAGGTGGCCCTCGTCAATTGTCCCCCGCCTTCCGCGGCGGCGATTCTTCACAACTACAACAACAACGTCCACCGGGTCGATTCGGATTTGGTGACCTTAAAGATTAACCTCTTGGCTCTTGGGTGATAGCCAGATTGGGAAAACAAGCTTTTTGGTACCCAATTTTCTTCTTCTCGTGATTTTCATGTTATCAATTCTATTGTTCATCGCACAACAGATTATAGTGGCTCAGTCTCTGTCTCTTTCCCCCTGATTTGGGTCTCATGATTTGAAGGCCAAGTAAGTCGGCGACGAGACGGATGAAGGAGTGAGAATCGAAGGATCAGGAGATGGGATTCATTTGATGGGCAAAATATTGCAAGTCGGTGGCGCTCGGATTTCCTACCGTCTGCAGTCGCCCTTCTCGATTCCGCTTCCGGCTACTCAATCTCTTACCAAGACCTCTTCCCCCTCGTCAAATCCACGGCCTCAGCTCTCCACAAATTGGGCATCCGCCACGGCGATGTCGTCTTGCTCGTCCTCCCCAATTCAATTGGCTTCCCCGTCGTCTTCCTCGCCGTCCTATACACCGGCGCCGTCGTCACCACCATGAACCCTCTCGCGACCGTCGTGGAGATCCAGTAGCGCATTGCCGATTGCGGCGTCCGTTTGGGACTCGCTGCGCCGGAGAGAACAGAGCGGAAGGAAAAGCACATACATAAGGGCTAATTTTTATTTTTATTGTAAATTTCCAATTTTGCCCTTAATGAATTATGTTGTTACGGTAACAACAGATAGGGTGTTGTTATTCTATCCTATCCCTTAAGAGAATGGGATGAGTTGTGTGACGAAAAGGAAGATGGAGGAATTGAATTCAGAGATCTCAAGGCTTTTAACTATGCAATAATGGGAAAACAAATATGGAATGTGCTAACCAAACCAAAATAGTTGATGGCTAGAGTACTAAAAGTTAGATATTTCCCCAAGACCTATATTCTTGAAACTAAGCTTGAATACCAACCAAGCTACATCTGGAAGAGTATTATGGGAGCAAAGGACAGGATTGAAGAAGGTTTCAGGTGGAGAGTTGGGAATGGGAACTCTATCGACATATGGAAGGATGCTTGGATCCCGGAATTTTTTTCCTATTAGGCTAATCCTCCCCCACATGGAGATACATCTGAGACAAAGGTTAGTGCCCTATTCGATGAGGTTAATGGTGGTTGGGATGAAAATAAACCGAAGATGCTCTTTTCTAGTAACGACCTGGTTCTCATCTCTATCGTTCATGTTTGTTCCCCCTAGAGAGGACTCTAGAGTTTGGAAAGCTATTGAAAACGGGGCTTACTCCGTAAAATTATCATACCACTACATTCGGGGTGAACAACATCACACATTGAACCGAACCCATACAGGAATTCAGAGGATTCTGAGTTTTGGAACATCTTGTGGAAACTACAGATTCAACCTAAGGTTTGTATCTTCCTATGGAAGGTGTGCAAGAATATCTTGCATGTGGGTGTCAACATTGGGGAATGGATTGATAATGCTGCTATCGAATGACCATTATGCAATCTTCCAGAAATCAGCTTTATGCCCTCCGTGAATGTGATTGGATTCGAAAGCGATGGAAAGACTTCAAAGTGAAGGATCTGTATGAGAAGGACGAAGGAAGTCATGCATTGATTGGTTAAAGGTGATTCTAAAAAATTCCCCGATGGAGAGAATTCAAAGATTCTGGTCAATTATGTAGTTTATGTGGAAAGAGAGATGTAATCATAAATACAACAATAAGAAGTTGGATGAGGAAGAGATCATACCGAGAGCTCTTGGGTGGCTGTCCTCTTTCCTGAAAACTCAATCTTCCCCGGCTTCGACTCCATTTGCATGTCCTCCCAGAAGAAGTGATCTGTAGGCTGGCCATTGGATTCCTCCTCATGAGGGTGTCTACAAACTGAACTCAGACATGGGAGTGCTCCAGCAACAAAGAATTGGTTTGGGCTCCCTTATTCGTAACTGAAGAGTAGAATTTGTGGGGGCGATGGTTAAGAGAGAAAAGGGGATATGCAGTCCAATTGAAGCAGAAGCCAAGGCGATGATGATGGGACTACGTGAAGAATATCAAAGGTCTCACAACCCGCTGATCGTCGAATCCGATTGCCAGTTTCTGGTGAATTTGATGAAGAGTGGCAAGACTGATTTCACAGATTTGGGGGTTTGGTGCGATGAACTCAATAAATTGGCAAGGGCGAACGAGACTTTGTCGGATAGGAAGGTCAAATGGGTGTTTTCACCTAGGAAGACAAACTTTTTGGACCACTGGTTAGCTCACTCCGGGTCTGGATGGAACCAACAGATGGTTTGGGTTGATAACCCTCTTCTCACGCTCCGTTGTATGCTTGAGGCAGATTTGGGTCGCTGTCCTCTGGGGCAGGACGGATCCTTTTTTAATAAAATTTCCTAGATTTCCTATAAAAAAGGGGTCTGATATCAAGGAAACTACTGGAGATCTGCGTCACCGCTAAAATACACTACGGCATATCTAAATTCTCTAGTATCTAATTAAATTAATTTTATGAACACTATTAGATCTTTTTTGTTATACTTTTTTAAGACATAATTTTTGTACCTCAGACCAATGATTTTTTTTCCTTTTACTTTTAACCCAACTACGACAACATTCAACCCACAAGTGAAAAAAATTTAAATCAAAATCCAAAACTGAAAAAGGGACCATACCAAAAAAACAAAGGGCAAAAATATGGAGTTCAACAGAAACACACAGCCTGGGGGGTGGCTGGTGGGGGGCTAGGTTAGGAGAGACAGAAGGAGAGAGAGAAAAAAAAGTTTTCTCGATGAACAAAGAGAAATCGAGAAACTAAGAAATAAATAAAAAAAGCCAGTAATTGAACAGTTGGAGGAACGAGGAAGAAGAACAAACAAGGGGAACAATTTTGTAAGGGGAGAAGAGGGGATCATTTCGTTATTATCAAGCGAGATGATTAAAATGTCAGATTTCTAAATTTTCATAGGGACATCCCTAAATTCTATCCATCTCCTCTAGCCCCCGACAAGCCTCACCTCCCGTATCAAATTTTTTCTCTTCTAAGGAAACATTTTAATTTATTTTCTCAGCTGGAGAATATCAAACAAAAACACCCATTTTCACACATTCTTCTATCACGGTAAACTGATCATCCTTGTACCTCATTTTATGTTTCTTGTGGGTTTTAGAGGAAAGGTTGTCTAAGATGATTTAATCTAAGTGATGGTGATGATGATGACTATATTTCAAAAACCCACGCTTGGAATTTGCTTCTGAAATATAGGTTTTTGTTGATTCATGTTCTTCTTTCCTTGAGAACTCTTCTTCAGTTCCTCCTGGGTTTTGGCATTGTGGGTTGGAAGATTCTGGTGGGCAAAAGAAAATCGTGGTAAAAAAATAATAAACCCTGGCGATTTGCTGGTGAAAAACCGTTGCTTACCTCCACTGCTAGCACCAATGGAGGGGCGGTGGAACCCAATTGGAACCCAATTTTGGTGCTTTTTGGTGTTCATTGTTGGGGTCAAAATTCATGGGTCTTGGTCACTTAACGATGAAGGTAAGAATCATTGATTTACTTAATATTTCATCCTACAAAACTTGGCTTGATGTTAATGTTCTTTGATAACATATATTATAGGATTAGTTTTGTTCAAATTTCGAGCAAGGGTGAGGTATGATCCTTATGGTGCTTTGGCTAATTGGAATCTCAAAGATGGTGATCCTTGCATGTGGTCTGGTGTTCATTGTGTTGCCGGTAAAGTTCATATATTGTAAGTTTTCTTACTTTGACCCTTTGTTTTTGCTTTTCTTTATATTTTACAATTAAGAAGTAAGCTTTTAGTGTATACAGAATAGAATGGAACTCTTCCAAAGTATTGATGTTTTGGATTTCTTCTTATTCTGCTAGGAATTTGAGTGGATGCTCTTTGAAAGGGACATTGGCTCCCGAACTTGGAAAACTTGTCCACTTGAGATCATTGTAAGTGACCTTATTTTTTGTTTCTAATCAACATACTTACACATACGGTCTACAAATTAACATGAGGGTGATTTTATTATTGTGTATCTGAATACTGTATTTTGTAAAACATGTGTTATATAACATATATGATGTGACAACTGAATCGTTTCTTATTTTTTGATAGAGTGTTGCGAAACAATTGCTTTTTTGGTATCTTGCCGAGAGAGATAGGAAATCTTAAGAAGCTTGAGATACTCGATTTGAGAGATAATTACTTTAGCGGGGCAGTTCCAGCTGAAATTGGGAGATCACAAACCCTAAAGTGCTTGTGAGTTCTTTGGTTCACGTATTTTCAATCGGTGAAGGCTACATGGCATCTCTTTTATATATACAAGTGCTAAAAATATTGGTCACTAAATTTTTTTAATTTAGGTCAGTGAGCGGTAATAAGTTTCGAGGTACTATTCCAGGGGAAATGCGGAGATTGAAACTATTGTCACATTTGGAATTGGACGAGAGCCTTACATCTACTTCAGCCGCTAGATTCAAATATGTAGATTGCAAGTTTGAAGATGAGTAAGGAACCTTTACCAAATATATGCTTGTTGGTGTTGGTGTAATCATGAGTTGTGGTTTTTGCATGATTGATTTATCTTTTTTCCCCGCTTCACCTAGTTTTAACAGAATTGTCCATTTTATGACAAAACAAACCATTAAATTCATAGTTTCCAATTTATCAATTACCACATATGGTTATATTAAATTTTGGTAACTTATGTTTGGTTATTTCTCTTTGTAGTGTCTTTATTATTGTCTATATATAACTCTAACTGGTATGCATTTTAAATTGGTACAGTACATGGATGGTAAGGTTGAGACAACTGCAGAGGGCTTATTCACATATATTACCGCCATTTATGAAATCTCTTAGAGAATACATCCATAGCTTAGTATTCCAAATGTAAGTACGTAGTTTTCAAAAGAAAAAAAATGTATGTTTAATCAATTGAAGCTAAATAGCTAAAAACAGATGAGATACTTCGGAATGACATTCATTACCGTTTTGATGTTAGGGTTCATTCTGTTCAACCTGTAAAAGGAGGTTGCTGTTGTTGTAGTAATACCCCTGGTGAGTAGCTCCTCATCCAACTTTTTGTTCATTCCATCAAGCACTTTTTTTTAGAGAAGTATATATATATATAGTTCTCCCTTCTTGCATACATGCAGAAAGTGCAATGTCTGACGTCCCTCCCTTGATCCAAAATGTAGAGATTCTCTTCAACTTTGCGCGACGACGTAGACTCCAAGAACAACAACCTAGCAACCTGGTCGCTGCCGAACCGACCAGCAATAATGGACCAAACTTTAACGACATGATCATCGTTCCAATCACAAGAGGTAGCGGAAGTTTCCCTGCTGTACCAAACTCGAAGTCGCCGCCGTCACCTACTGCATCATCGGACCACGATGGAAATGCACCGAGTGATTCTCCAAAGGGACCAATCATCCAAGACCATGCACCGCCGTCGTTTTGGGACACTTGGATTTATTTCCTCTTCGCTCTAATGACAGCCATCTTGTTGGCTTCAATCTTTGTCATGATATTCTTGTGTCGTCGACGAGGAGTGAGACCCATTGGTCCTTGGACTTCTGGAATCAGTGGCCAGCTTCAGAAGGCATTGGTTACGGGGGTTCCCAAGTTGAATAGATCAGAACTAGAAACTGCTTGCGAAGATTTTAGCAATATAATAACCTCGTATGACGGTTATATCGTGTACAAGGGGACGTTGTCCACCGGAGTTGAGATTGCTGTGGCATCAACTACAACGACTTATCGCAAGTTGTGGTCTAGGAATGCAGAGAAGGCATACCGTAGAAAGGTATGAAAGTATCTGTTTGTAAAACCTCTCAAAACAACTCAAGTTATTGGAATCAATTGATTCTTGATATGGTATTAGAGTTGTTTTGATAGTAAAACCTCTTTGGAGAGTACAACCTCTCTCAAGGATTAGTTCTGATCTTCAGGGATACCACGTTAAATCCGTTGTGTTTTTTGGTTTAGCTCATACTAAATGACAGTATCTAGCTAGCTGGCATGCTTATTACAATTATATTCAGTGCTATACTACTTATCTTCATTTGGACTTGATGAATTTCAGATTGACACACTATCGAAAGTGAACCACAAGAACTTTACAAATCTCATTGGCTTCTGCGAGGAGGATGAACCTTTCAATCGGATGATGGTGTTTGAATATGCCCCAAATGGAACACTATTTGAACATATACATAGTAAATATTAACTAATTGTTACCTTCTTTTAGATGTGCTAATGTGTTTTCTGAGATGGGTTTAGGGTTTGGAGATTGAAGTAGTATTTTTATCTTATGGGCGCATGCAGTTAAAGAAATGGAGCATCTTGATTGGACGTCAAGAATGAGAATTATCATGGGAGTGGCTTATTGCCTAAAACATATGCATGATTTGAAGCCACCTGTGTCTCATACCAACTTGACTTCCAATTCAATCTTTTTAACTGATGATTATGCAGCTAAGGTATCAACTTCATTTTTTTATCCATAGTCCATGGGTTGGAGCACATTGCTTTTTTTCTGATTCACCATCTATTTGGGACATATATGCATGATTTTTTTCTTGCAGATTACAGAAATTCCTTTCTTGTCACAAGCTGCATCAAAACCCAAACCCTCAAGTGAAGACGAAGGGGAAAATTCAGAATTACCACCGACTGTTGATCCAGAAACAAATGTGTACAGTTTTGGCATTATATTGCTGGAAGTAATATCAGGAAAGCTTCCTTACTCGGAGAAAGAAGGCCCTATAGAGAAATGGGTACACAAGCTTTAGCTCACATGACAACCCTCTACCATTTTTAAGACATTAATTAGCATGTATGTTTCTCTTAAGTTACATATTCCCTTTTTTCCCGTTTCTAACATTATACAGGTCAAGCAATATTTAAGTGACAAGAGTAGAATCACTCATATGGCGGATCCATCCCTCAAGGCCTTCAAAACTAAGCAATTAGAAGTAATATGTGAAGTTGTTCAAGAGTGCATAGTTACAGATCCACGACAGAGACCGAGCATGAGCGATATCGTTCCTCGTTTGAGAGAAGCCATTACTATATCACAAGATCAGGCTGCACCAAGGTTGTCCCCTCTATGGTGGGCTGAACTGGAGATTCTATCGCAGGAAGCAAATTGAAGCTCTGAAGAATTGGTGTCCTCTTGATCAGTAATGTGACTTCATCATCAATGTGTTCTTGTGATTCCCCAATGAAAAGTACAGTCTCTTGTAGGAAATTTCTAAAGGTTCAGCGGATAGAAATTCAAACAACATGGTAATTCTCCTTAACTTCCCAGCTGACAGCTCTATTAGGCGGCCATTGACATATTGAAATCACCATTTGCATATTTAGACGATTGGTTCATTAATCACTTGTTAAGGATGAAGCAAGCATGGAGTCGAGCAAAATTAAGATATCAAACTTTGTATAGAATATTCCTCCTCTGTGTCCATAAGAGCACGTGATATATGAAGAGAAAAAGAATGTTCGGAAGAAAAAAAAACAATGATTATATGTAACAAGGTGATTGTACATTCCATGGTGTAAAATTGAGTGATTAATTAATTCGATCAGATTATTGTTTGTTTTTCTGTGATAATGAACATATTTGCTTAGTTTGTATAACAATCACATACGAACATATCTTTCTGAATTTAGTTGTTTGCACGTGGAATTGGGATATTGCTCTTACACTAAAACCTAATATTTACTTGAAAATAGTTACAATCATACCAAACATGTAATAGATAGGAATTGAGGGACTTAAATAGAAATTGTGTACAAAAGGGGAAATTAGTGTGTGCCAGTTGGTAAGTGGGGACCGACCTACTTAAGAGAATCGTTGTATTCAGTTAGAAGTCAATTAATGAAATAACAGAGAATTTATCTTCCCCTTCTCTCTCTATCTCTCTCCCTCTCCCTCCCCCTCTCTTTCTCTAACTCGGGATAATTCCGAGAATATTGTTTTTTTTTACAATTTACCACCAAAATATCGGTTTACAAACTATTGAAACAAATATTATGTTTTGAAGCCGAGAAAAGGCAAGTCCGCGCGAGCAGAGAAAATCGACCCAGCCTTCACGAAACCGCCCCATGGATAAGCTTATCCTTTCTCCGCGAATCTGCGTAGGCTCATGCAGGTCCTCCCTACTACTTTTAAGTTTTAACCTGTCGTCCTCCCCTCTCCCCACTCATCCCCACACGAGAGAACCAACATCCCCACAACCAGAAACCAATCCCACCATTAGATATCGAATCTCTCCTCCCTCCTTCAGTACGCGCGTACTCGCCTACCCTTCGTCCTCGTCTAGCGAACCAGCCACAGCCTTCTTCCTCCCTCCTTCAGCTAACGCGGACCCGCGTGACCCTTCCTCCTCCTACCCTCAACTCACGCGGATCACCTCTTATTCTTCCTAACTTCTCTTTCCTTGCGCGGAGACGCCACAGCACCAGATCCAGTTTTTTCATCGGCAGCGGAAGGAGGATGTCTGACTCCGACCATTCCGGCGAAGAGGAAGCGGTCGCCGGAAGAATAAGGGGTCGAGGGAGTGGGTTGCGAGCTCGCGGTGGTGGCAGAGGCCAGTACTGAGGTAAGGATTCTGATATGATCCCAAATTTCCAACCATTCACGTCATAATTACTTGACAAAGAAGCTACCGAAGTTGGGAAGAAGAAGGGCAGAATTTGGCTGAGTCAAAATCCTGTTCAAGGTACATAATTTGGAGGCATGGTTCTCTCAATTGGCTTGGTGGAAATTCAATTTTAAGGGTATGTTTTGTAGATAAAGTTACCATCTTTCCAATGGTATGCTTTGTGGATCTAGATGATGTCATTAAGTTTGTTCTCCAAGGCCTCAAAGTTGCTATCTCAAAACTGGAAAACTGCCTGAAAATGGCTAAGGCAGAAAACTGTTTTGTGAAGCCTACTTTGGAGCTCAATTCAAGGAGCATGGATGAGATTCATGTCAAACGTCTTCCACAACGTGAAACTAGGTATGTTTGTGAACAAAGGGAAGGAATTGGATGAAATATTGGAGTTTGGGAAGGCCTCGAACAAAAGGCGCGAAGTTAGTACGAAAGCTGCATTTTACTGTTTTGCGGGCAGCTTACTTTTGCTGCAAGAAAGGAAGTTGTGTCCGAATTTTGTAACCTTTTTAGAGTATAATTTTACCTTATTTGTTTACTTGTTCATCTATGTTTGTATTAGGTTTTCTTGGCTATAAATAGCCTTCTATTTACGTTGTAAAAACTTAGACTTTGTTGAATAGAAAAAAAACCGTTTGGTTTGTGCAAGTTGCGACTTGTTTTGGGTTTATTGGATTCCAAACTTTCTGAGCTTGTGTATCGATTGAATAGTCACTTCAATCGTGGTCGAGCAACTACTCTTTTATACCAATCGAGCTATCCGCAGGTGTGGATTTGTCCTTTTGGTTCCGTTTATCCAAGTTCATATTAAGAACGCTTCGTTCTTGATTCGAGATCAATCGATTCTCGATTGAGTCATTAGCTGCGTGACTTTGATAATATACACCCCCAGGGTCATATTAAGTGGTATCAGAGACCGTTCTACACAAGGGCAAAGAAGAGGAACCTGTTGTTTCGTACAGAAGAATTCGTCGCAAAATAGAGGAGATTTTTATTCGAAGAAGAGCCAATTCGAAGAAGTGACGATGGGAACTCTTCAAATTGACTTGGAGGAATTGAAGAACATGCTGACAGACGCATTTAACGCTACCTTCCAGCCAAAATTCGATCGAGTTTCTCGTCGAATGAATGAGCTTGCGTTGATGAGAAAAAACACAGCTTCGACGGCAAGTTTTACAGTACGTAATCCGATTCCAGAAGGGAATCGAGACCAAGGCGTTGTAATCAGACCTACCCACGACTTGGAAGAGAGAGCTAGGAGTTTGAAACGACGAACATTGGCGTCCTCAAAAAGCATTCCCGTCCAAACTTCCACCGGCATTCATCACCTCTGTTTTCCCTTGTCAAAACAGAGTCCACAACATGCAGAAGTCGATATCGAGCTAGGGGAAGAGTCAAGCCACACCACCAGCGCAGACATGGTCAAGGTAGCATCAAGAATCTTTACCCTCGAGTAGTTTGCGTCGATTCAAGCCCAACTGCAGAATCTAGATCGACCAGCAACGCCCCTGAACTCGAGAAAACAGAGCAGGAGAGAGGGCGACTTCGTCGTAGAGTTCGACGAAGATTCGAACTCCGCCACCAATGCCTACTTGACTCTCATGGCCCCAGAAACATCAAAATGTGCTTCCTTGGAGACGAACGAAGCTGGAATTGAAGATTCCATTGGCTCAAACATCTCCCTGTTCGTGACGAAAAACGAAGACAAAAAGGGCGAATCGGTTGGGGGAATCAGACGATATCCGAGCCAAAGCTAGGATTCAGAATCATTCAATGAGGACCCAGGAATGTGTAGGAGCATTCAATTGAGGGCAACACTTTTTCAAGAGGGAGGGCTTGATATGATCCCAAATTTCCAACTATTCACATCACAATTACTTGACAAAGAAGCTATCGAAGTTGGGAAGAAGAAGGGCAGAATTTGGCTGAGTCAAAATCCGTGTTCAGGGTACATACTTTGGAGGCATGGTTCTCTCAATTGGCTTGGTGGAAATTCAATTTTAAGGGGTTTTTTTCAGATAAAGTTACCATATTTCCAATGGTATGCTTTGTTGATCTAGATGATGTCATTAAGGTTGTTTTCCAAGGCCTCAAAGTGGCTACCTCAAAACTGGAAAACTGCCAGAAAATGGCCAAGGCAGAAAACTGTTTTGTGAAGCCTACTTTGGATCTTAATTCAAGGAGCATGGATGGGATTCATGTCAAAAGGCTTCCACAACGTGAAACTAGGTATGTTTGTGAACAAAGGGAAGGAATTGGATGAAGAATTGGAGTTCGGGAAGGCCTTGAACAAAAGGCGCGAAGTTAGTACGAAAGCTGCATTTTGACTATTTTGCGGGCAGCTTACTTTTGCTTCAAGAAATGAAGTTGTGTCCGAATTTTGTAACCTTTTTAGAGTATAATTTTACCTTATTTGTTTCCTTGTTCATCTAGGTTTATATTAGGTTTTCTTGGCTATAAATAGCCTTCTATTTACGCTATAATAACTTAGACTTTGTTGAATAGAAAAGAAACCGTTTGGTTTGTGCAAGTTGCGACTTGTTTTGGGTTTGGTGGATTCCAAAATTTCTAAGCTTGTGTATCGATAGAATAGTCACTTCAATCGTGGTCGAGCAACTACCCTTTTATACCAATCGAGCTATCCCCAGGTGTGGATTTATCCTTTTGGTTCCGTTTTATCCAAGTTTGTATTAAGAACGCTTCGTTCTTGATTAGAGCTCAATCGATTCTTCGATTGAGTCGTTAGCTGCGTGACTTTGATAATATACACCCCCTAGGGTCGTATTAGATTCTCGCATGCAATGAGTTGATACTATTATGTTTTTTTTAAATTAATTTTGTTTTGTTTTTTGTTTTTCAGCTCCTAGGATTATGGATACTTGTTCCATGAGGTGACCACGTGCGACAATTGATACATCTTTGGTCGATTCGGTAATTCCTTGGGCACAAGGTCAACATCGTGTCGACGCAGTTTGGGCAAATGAGGTGAGTCTTTCATAACCAATTTTCTTGAAAGTTCATTAGCTAGTTAGATTGGATGTTCAGATTAGATAGATTTTACTAAGTGAACTTAAATTAGAATTAATTATGAAATATTTTTAAATTAGTATAAGTTTATATTAGATAGATGTTTAGATTAAATAGCTTTTACTAGGTGAACTGAAATTAAAATTACGCATGAAATTGAATTAATATAAGTTTAGTGTACTATAGGCTGGTGATCGAGTCTACCAAATTCGCGGTCCGACCCGTATAGTCATGTGGCATCCACATTATAAGCCATACCTCCTCGAGGTGGGTTTGATTAGTGTTCTGCCATTTGTCCCTATGACTGCTTATCCATGTTTGATCACTACGCTCGTTGAGCAATGGCGACCCGCGTCATTGACTTTCTACTTGTCGTTTGGTGAGGTTACGATCACTTTAGAGGACGTTGTGACACTATGTCATAGTAGACATGCCAGATGAGGAATGGTCGTAGACGTGTGTGAGACTGTTAGGACGGGCTCCTACTAATCATTCCGGCAGTGCCGTTAGGATTGGTTGGCTAATGGATGAATTCAACCATCTGCTTGCAAATGTATCACCAGAGACTACAAAGCAGTTTGTACGAGCTTATGCTCTACCTATGATGGGAGGTGTATTTTTCCCCGATCGAACTGGAGCTATAATCAATTTCATCTATTCAAATTATTGTCGATTGTTAGCAGATGACAACAACTACCCCATCCTAAGCAAAGGTTAACCTAGAATGACATTGTTGTATAGTGGCAATCAATGTCATGTTTTACTCGGGTCCTGGTACCCTAGCCTACTTCCCACGTTGTTGTTATCTAGCCAATCGGTTTAAGGGTTTTGTGTGGAGGATATGAGTGAACTACTAGTTAAGAGATCAGGTAAAGGTAAAAGCAGGTAATTCGGGAAACTATCCCTCA